ACTTCCTCGGCTTCATCTAGCGTACAGTAGGACCGTGGCGGTGGTGGTTTGAGGGCCATGGTGAGTGTATTGAGGAAGTTGAGGATCAGGATGTAATGCTTTGTGGCCACGCCGCACTTGGAGAGAGCATTTGGAATTAGTGAGAAACGTAAGCGAGCGAATCGGAGGCCCCGGAGCACTCCTCCGGACCAATCAGAAGATCAGACGTAAGAAGGGTGTATACGGAGTAGAAAAGGGGTGTACACCGAGTAAATATAGGGTGTACATTTAGCAGCGCCCATACTTTATTCTTAGGTATACAGAACCCACAAAAGCCCGCCCAAAAACCCATCATCTCCCCTTCACATCCCCACAACAAAAAATCCGCAAAATCTCACCTATAAACGCCATCCTAACGCCCACATATGCGTTTGCAAAATCGCCGCTCAACGCTCAGAACGTCTTTCGCTCCCTTTCATGTGTCTCGAAGATCAAAGTACACTATAACCGCATTCCAATCCAATCAATCCGGTAAGCAGGCAGCCGTCCAGCTCCTATCCCCAAAGTCGCCATCGCTCGAAGTGCCAAAAACGCCAAAGTTAAAGAAGTGAATCAAATAGGCTGGCGCGAAGCGAAGAATCGTAGGTCTCATATTTATGCCGACGTAGGTAGGGGTTACGCAGTCATGGTCTTGCTCAAGCTTGATTTCTGCGGTGCCTGTTCTCTGCGCAGTGTACGGACGAGCGCTTCTAACTTGCGTCGTTCTTCTTGCTCGGCCTGTTTGACAATGTTAGTGAGATCAATCGGTAAAAGGTTACAGCGAGCTGGACATACCCTCAAAGCCTTCAAGCCCTCAGCTGTCCGGTCTCTCATCATCTTCCTAAAGTCCTCGCGCAGCATCCTAATGCTCGTCGCCTCGGGCGCCGCACCCGGCTGAGCCATCGGAGCACCCGGACTCCTAACGCCCAGCCAGCGCACCCGCTCGTCGCTTAGCTCCATCTCTAAGCTCTCCTTCTCGTCTCTGAGCGAGTCGATCATGGCCTCGAACCGATCGCGGTCCTTCTCGTTCTGGATCATATCCTTAGTGAGAGCTTCGTACTCCGAAGCCATGGCGCCGAGCTCCTGCTTCAGGTTGCGCTCCGTCTCACGGGCTTCGGTCTCGCTTTGCGCCGCGGCGTCGTGAGCACGACGGAGAGACTCCAATTCTGCGATTAGGGCGGCGTTGCTGGCGCCTAGCTCGTCGAGCTCTTTCTTGATCGTGGGATTTGCGGCGACTTCGGCTGCCCGTTGCGCTCGAGTGCCGTAAGCTCCATCCAGTTCTGCGCGAGCGATGGTGACCTCGGTTTGGAGTCGGATGACTTCGCCCTCTAGCTCTCTCAGCTCTTGTTCCTTGCTGGCGACAGCATTTGCGGCCTCGCTGGCATGCGCCTCGGCAGCCTCCTTCTCCGCAGTAGCAGAGCGTAGTGATACACTGAGAGACTCGACTGAGGCTGAGGCTTCAGCAAGCTCAGCACGCAACTCAGCAGCTTCGATCCGAGCATCATCTTGGAGTTCGCCGATCTGAGACTCGAGCTCGTGGTAGCGATCCTCTGCCTGGTGCCGCGCAGCTTGTTCGGCAACAAGAGCTTCTGAGTCCGCGGCGTTGCGATGTGATTCTTGGCTGTTTATATGCTCTAGATGATCAATAGCACGGCTAAGCTCACTCTCGGCTTTGGCTTGTTGAGCGCGGGCTTGATTAATTTCATCATTGAGACGGGCAAAGTCGTGCTCTTTTTGCTCATCCGACTTGCTGTTGAGTTCTCGCTGTTGCTTAATTTGTCGACGGAGAATAGCCTCTTTCTCCTTGAGCGTAGTAGCACGATTGTAAAGCCATTGGACCTTGTTAGAGAACGCGGGCAGTGAGAACTCTTCGTTGGCGTTGCCTTCTTCGTCCGGAGATACATCATCTTCGGCGTCGTGATTCGCTGCTAGCAACTGACGCCGCTGGTACTTCTTTTGACGAGCCTCTTCTTCGCCGGCAAGGATGATAGACCACAAGCCGGTTAGGGTAGCTTCGTATTGGGAAGACTGAGAATGCTGATCGGTTGACTTTGAACGGAATTCGTTCAAGTCCTCAGACATGTTGTAATGCAGTTGCTCGATGTTGTAGAATGCCTCTTCCATGTAGTTGATCTGATCCTGCGAACTGTGCCCTGATATTGCCGGAGGTGGTGGATAGTTCGCATCATCTTCTCCCTGGGCCGAGCTAATCAAGGCGTAGAGTTGGTTGTTGATACCTTCGAGTCGGCCTTCAGTCGCATTTTGGGAGTGCCTGGCCTGTTGGTGCAATTGGTTGTGCTCCGCTCCAACATCGTGCAGCGCTTGATCTAGAAAGTCCAAGTGTTGTTCGACTAACGAGCCTCTTTGGCTGTCCTGGCTGTTTGGCGCCGACTTTGGAGCTGGCGAGTAACCTTGGTTGCGCTCAGGGTTTGCCGAAACAATCAAATCCCTCAACCTATCATTGAAGTCTTCCAATCGCTTCTCTACCGAGTTCAAAGCTTGACTTTGTCGTTCAATAGCATCGTGGTCTGCTAGGGGCATATGGTGGGTGCCATTCTTCAACGCTTGCATTAGCCCATCCAGATTCTCCGGCGATCTGTACAAACTCCTCTCATCGAAATTACCATCATCTTTGGCGCGATTGCTTCTTCCATTCTCGTAGGTGTAGATGCTTGCCGGGCTATCCGGTCGGCCATTTTCACCGCCAGGAAGGGCGGAATTCCGGTCCTGGCTGCGTTTCGAGGGACCTTCGTGTGTAATTTGCAGAATTCCTGCGGTATGCCGCAATAGTTGCGTCTCGACTTGTCGCGATCGTGTTTCGAGTTGATGTAGCTCACGGCCTAGATCGTCACACTTTTTCAAGCTGGCTGCAAACTCGTCTTCTGATTTTGCAAGAGTTTCGCTGTTTCCACTGCCCGTACTGCTCCGACTGCCAAAGCTTCTCCGGTGGCTTTTGGCCGCTTCCCGCTCCTGATCTCTTCCCTTCTTCGAGTGTAGGCGGTTGAGGGATTGCGCGGCATCGCGCACCTTGGATTCGAGGGCAAGCTTGCGCTGAACAGCGTCGATGCGAGTATTGATGGTTTGTTGTTCCCTCTTTAGAGCCTCCACTTCTTCGAACGATAAGATTTCGAAGCCTTGGCTGTCAATTATAGCCGTCTCAACCAGGAGGTGCATGGCCACGGGGTCCCGTTTGAGGATTGTCGAGCTACGCTCCTGGCTCCCGCGCGTACTGTCGGGCATGTTGCTGGTTATCGGCTTCCTCTGTCCCTCGAGGAACACGTCTGGCGGAGGCACAAAGGTGTTGCTGGCATAGTGCGGCGTCCCTTGGTAGGCAGAGTCTTCGTAGGCGGGATTGGTGCCGCCCATGTACGCCGGGTAGTTGGAGGTCGGCGACGGGTAGTCGTAGGGCGGCTGGGGACTTAGGCCGTCTCCATTCGGCGCATAGGCATTGCGCAGGCCATTGCTCTGCATCTTCCACGGCTGTGCAGATGTGGGAACCCGGGTTCTGGGAGGAATGGTGCTAGGATCGCGGTTCAGTGTGGTGTACGAGGTCAAAGAATGTAGAGCGTAAAGGACAGCTGCAGGCGCGGCGACAGAGTAGGTTCACCGCGCACGACGCATGATGTATGCAGATGTGAAGACCAAAGGAGAGGCCTGAAGGGTGTGTGTCGAGTGCGAAAAAAAGGACGAGTCGCTCTGTCTTCAGGGGAGGCTGGCGGCATCCAGGGATCTCAGCCCTGCACCTGTGGAGAACGCGCTTCCTTCGTACTTGGCACGCGAGGCGGGAAAAAGTGGCATACTCAAGCAGTTCAACACCGTCTGAGGTGGCCCGGAGAGCTATGCGGTTTGTCAAAGCTGGTATTTCATAAACAACAACACCATACTAAAGGATGCGGTGCCAAGGAAGCATAGAAGTTGTGTGTGCCTGATGGATAGGAAGCTCCAAATCAGAACCCCGGATTCGTGGACTGCCAATTTCTATCTAAGGGGGCCTACCGCTTACCAAGTATGCTGCCTCATGTGTACACCTGTCTGCCACTGCTAAGGGTGCTTCAATGTCTTCGAGAGTGATAGAGTCTCTAGGCTATCTATGAGCTCTCCAAGCAGCGGCACACAGATGTACCCCGAGGCAGCTTATTCTAGAATCAGAGTGCCATCTTTTTCATACCCCGCGAGCTTGGCAGGGGAAATGCAGGTGCCAATCACGTGGATTAAATATTGCCCCGCGCTAAGGAGGTACTTCGTAGGGCCTTCACCACTTTTGACCCTCTTCGTACACGTCACCCGGATAAAGAAGGGTGTATAATTGAATTTGTAGAGCGTTGAGTCCCCCCTTCATCGAGTTTGGTTCTTGTTCTTTGCGTGGTTTTCGTTTCCCTTTTTGCATTTGTTGTTTTTCTGTCATCATCTTAAGTAAATGATCATCGTCCTGCTACTCCACCTGCTTCTGCAACGAGAAAATACTTCCATCCGAATTTCCGGAAATCATGCCGGCCCAGATGCCCACGTTCTCCAGAGACCAGGTTGAGAAGTATTTTGCTCGGATCAGGCTTCCCTCGAAGTATCAAAAGTTCGATGTTGCACAAGACAGTAATGCAGACGCACTCGCGTTCTTGAGCGTTCTCCAGAAATACCATCTGTCAGAAGTTCCGTTTGAGAATCTCAGCATCCACTATTCTCCGCATCGGCATGTCTCCATTCACGCCGACGAGCTCTACAAGAAGATTGTAGAGAGCGATGGGCGAGGTGGGTACTGCATGGAGAATAACCGCATTTTCGGGATATTGCTCAAATCCCTCGGGTTCAAGCTCTACTCTGCGGGAGCGCGTGTGAATGAGGGACATGGTTACACTGGCTGGTAAGGCTCTCAATGCTTAGTACTACCTACCACCCTTGCTCACTATCAATAAGGGGCCATATGATCAACCTGGTCTCAATCGGCGAGGACAAATATATGGTGGATGTCGGGTTTGGCCCAAATGGCGCTCTACAACCTCTTAAATTGGATCGATCAGGACTCGAATATCCACACATAACTCCGGGCTCAATCCGGCTCTCGTGGAGAAGCATCAAAGAGAACACCGATCCGGACCAGCGACTCTGGATATACGAGCACCGCATCAACGACAACGTCGATTTCGGAGAGGTCTATTGCTTCAGCGAACTGGAATTCCTGCCATGCGATTACGCAGTCATGAATTACCATACTAGCACTGGCGCCGAGTCCTTCTTCACGCATGTGATCATCTGTGCTAAACACGTGCTTGGTGGAGACGATGACGAGGAAATTGTCGGAGCGGTGATAATCCACAAGAACGGCCTCAAGTGGAGAATGCTAGGGAAGAACGAACGTGAACAGACGTTTGAGACAGAGGCAGACCGTCTCAAGGCATTGGAGGACGTGTTTAGGATCAAGTTAAGTCCGGCGGAGCGAGATGGCATTCGAGCACGGGTGACTGAGATCAGGAGCTCGATGGATTTCTGATCTGTGTAGTAGCAAGGAAGGCCTGTCTCGTGAAGTTCTGCTAGTAGTATACAGCCCCTCATATATTTGTATACACCTCTTGCCACTACTTGAGAAACGTCAATGTCCTGATGTCGATTTGGAACGACGGGTCAACATAAGTCTATGTACACATCCCTGCGGCTGATCGAGGTAGCTTAGCGAGTCGAATGGTTGTTCAAAATGATCTACTTTCATATACTTAGGGCGGCTTAACCTATCTTAATACACCCCAATTAGCGGAAGAAGGTGTATATACATATAACGAGGCATTGTAGTGGTTTGGGCATGGGCTCAGATTTGTCGCTTCACAGGCCTGACCTAATGCTGGACGGGCTCTTCACTTTTGGTGCCAGTGAATGAAACGGACTTGTACTTGAGAACATGGTGTGTTCATTGCTCCATCTTGATCTAGTAGAAACGCTTCTCCATCTGTACTAATAATTAGTCCTGGCCTTCTCGATGACTTAAACATCCAACATACCGTCCAGGGATTGTTCAGTTCGAATCCCTCTGGCGCAATGGCCTTGTCGGTTTGTCCTCTCGCGAATCCAGTCAATCGTCGATCGCGGTCCATCACTGTGTAGCTTAGCTTGCTGTTCTCGGGGCGCCGGAGGTGGTGTCATACTTTGCTAGAGGTACGTTAGCAGATGCCGCAACTCGGGGCATTTCATCACTTACCCTGTCCCATGCATCGAGTCCGCGTCTGCTCCTCTTGCTGCCGTTCTGCATATATCTGAGCTGCGCCAGACCGACTCCAGAGACGGCGAACATCTGCGTTTGCGTGAGCTTCGAGCTTCCCTTACGGAAGGGCACGGGTGAGGCAGCGTACGCCGAGCATGATCCCATAGGGGAGGAGAGCTTCAAACGGAACCCCCATGTTTGCTAGACGTCTACCGAGCGTATGTGGTGTGGGCAATGGATTGAAGTGGTTGTGAGGAGCTGCTAGTCGCTCACTTGAGGTCGCATTGGAAGTTTGGAAGCGGAGCGGGAGGTAGGCTTGGCGCGCGCCCGCAAGACCACCACGATTTCAAGGGGCACCTTTCAGTAGCCACGCCCCATCGACCTGCTATCACCAGGACCGGAACCACGTATTTACTTGTCCCTAGGCCCCTCACTGTGAGTTTGAATCGCGAAAGTGCCCCCATTCTGCCCCAGTTTCGCGCAGAACCGTGCGCGCGGCGCCGTCTCCGGCTTCACATTCACTGACAGCGCGACCGCGGCAGCTTCTCATCAGTTACACACTCCCGGAAAGGGCCTCCATCAATCTCAACCCCTCAAGCGCGGTTTCCAGTGCGCGAGAGGGCCCTTCGGCGCGTTGCGACTCCCTCCTCGACGCGACAAGACAACAGCCTGGTCTCATTGCATGACAGCACCACCGAGGTGCCAGTTGGTCGCACCTTCAATGTAAATCACGCTAGACGGATTCAATAACGCTACCCTGGAGTACCTCTCTAAACTGGCGAACGCCGTCACATATGCCATGGCTGAGCCGAGCCGGCTCTTGGGGCAGGGGACGAATGCCAACGACCTCGAGGACAGCGACCTAGACGGCGAGCACGAGGAGGACGATGTCGACATGGATGCGCAAGCTCACGAAACAACACCGGGCGGAGACACTACGGACGCAGAGGGCTCGGACGAGGATGCCGAGGGCGAAGATGATGAGGAAGCTGGGGACCCAGTTGGAGCTGTCAAGATATCTGCAAACAATGAAGCTTCCGAAGAAGAGGACGGAGAGGATGAGGACAATGACGCTGAAGTGGACATGGAATCTGAATCCGATGCCAAGCCTAGCGACAGCGAGGGTTCCGATTCGAGCTCAGAATCCGAAGCGGGAAATGAGTGGGAGGCAGCGAGCGATGCGGCCGAAGAAGTCGAAACCGAAATCGCCGATCCCAACCGCTGCGTGTAAGTGCTGTTTGCGGGTTGTGGTGAAAGGAAAAACTAATTGGCGGCAGGTTTTGTGGAGAGGACGAAGAGCACGATCCAGGCGAAGAGTTCGAAGAATATCTGGCGTGTGCCGTGTGTGGGGATAACGGTGCGTGATTTACCGGCAAGGCTGTTGGACGGATCGGGTAGCTGACATGATTTTGGTTCCTGCAGCACATCGGCAATGCGCCCGAAACGCTAATACCCTTAGGGCCGATGATGGTAAGCCTTTGTTTACTTCGCCCATCGATTCACCAGATTCACTGACGCATATATAGACGCCGAGCACTGGCGGTGCCAAACCTGTGTAGAAAATGGGCTTGAAGAAGACACCAAACACAGTGCAGAGCCCACAAGTCGTCGTAGGTTATCATCAGTGCCCAAACTTGCACGAGATCTCCTGCCTGCACACCGTGGTGTGGATAAGCCAGGACAGCACTCCGTGTTCAACGATCTGATATTGCCCGACGACCCCATGGATGGGTCGCGATCTCTACGGAAACGCAAAGCATCGAACGAGGAAGAGCCAGCACCTGTTCGGCCACTACGGAAGAAGCGCAGGCCGTCAGAAGAAATATCTGACGATGAAGCCGTCGATGCGTCACTAGCCGCATCGTCCCCTCGCGCTGTAAGAATTGCAGTGTCTGAGGCTATTGAGACTGACGATGGGCATCACACAGGGGCCGAAGAGACATCGCCGAAGCGGTCATCGCGGGCTCGTAGCTCGAGGTCTAAAGTAGAGAAAAAGCTGTTGGCATGGACTGTGGACTCTCCCGGCGTCAGCCTAATTGTTGCGTTTCACCTGGACAATGAACGCCTCCAGAAGATCCTGTCAACCAAACCCAAAAAGAAACGCATCCGCGATCGATCACGCAAAACGCAGCAAGTCGTCCCTGAAGAGCCGGAGGTATCACACTACCCTGCTATACAGAACCACTATGCCACGCCGTTCTATGCACTCGCTGAGAAGGACGTGGATGAGACGAAGAATAAACCATATGGTGGCATTCTCTCAGAAGCGGATGCAGACACATCTAAGACGTACCCCGGTCCAGCTGATCGAAAGAGGTTTGAGGAGGCTCGACAAAAGGCGGAAGAAGATTGGAAGCAGAAACAAGTTGCTCTCTATGGTATCCCGGAAGCTTCCAGTCGAGCCCACAAGGTGTCGGGGCCTCCAAGCAAGATCAAATGTATCAGCTTTGGTGGCTGGGAGATCGACACATGGCACGCAGCGCCGTATCCCGAAGAGTATAGTAAGAACAGGGTGCTCTATATTTGCGAGTTCTGTCTTAAGTACATGAACTCGGATTACGTGGCATGGAGACATAAGGTCAATTAGTCCCTATTCGTAACTTAGAGCAGTGCTAACTTCTTTCAGTTAAAATGCCCATCCAAGCACCCTCCAGGCGATGAGATTTATCGCGATAAACAGTTCAGCTTCTTCGAAGTCGATGGTCGCAAAAATCCTGTCTACTGTCAGAACCTTTGCCTGCTTGCCAAACTCTTCCTGGGCTCAAAGACGCTCTACTACGATGTGGAACCATTCCTCTTCTATGTTATGACAGAGAACAACGACTTTGGCTGCCACTTCGTGGGCTATTTCTCCAAAGAAAAGCGGCCGAGCTCGCTCAACAATGTCTCCTGCATCCTTGTCCTCCCCATCCACCAGCGCAAAGGATACGGCCAATTCCTGATTGAGTTCTCGTACTTGCTCACTCGCAAGGAGGAGAAAACGGGCAGCCCGGAGAAGCCCCTCAGTGACATGGGTCTTGTCACCTACCGTAATTACTGGCGCCTCGTCCTGTGTAATGAACTGAAGGACCAACGCGACCCTATCAGCATCACGACGATCTCTAAGCGTACTGGCATGACGCCCGACGATATTATATCTGCGCTCGAAGGTCTCCGTGCTCTAGTGCGGGATCCTATCACCAAGACATACGCCTTGAGGCTCGACTATGCCTTCTTCAAGCAGCATGTTGAGAAGGCCAACGCACGCAATCACCCACGAGTCAAAGAAGATTCTCTTGTGTGGACTCCATATGTTATGAGCCGCAACAACATCTCTCAATACGAAGATGGCCCTGCCATTCACACGGTCCAGCCGCGCGACGAGGAGCAGGAAGACGGCGACCTGGTACCAGAAGAGGGCGTCCAGATGGCCCTGGCCAAGCAGGTCAACGGCTCAGCCGGGGGAGCTTCCCGTCCCATGTCTAACACAGGCTCACAAGACAACGAAGCCGATGACGGAGACCCCATGACCCCGTTTCTAGATTCTATTGCCGTGTCGACACTCGGCACACCCCTCGCAAACGGCAATGGCAACGCTGCTACACCCCCTACAGTAATCGCCGCATATCGCATCCCGCCCACCCGCTTCGAAGTCTACCCTCCTCCTCCGGGTATGCCAGCTCCTAAGCGTCGTGCTGGTCGTCCCTTCGGAGCTCGCCGTCGCCCCAGCACACCAGCTAAGCGCAACAGTGTCAACGTCACCCCACTCCCTATGCCGCTTGGAAACTCCACGCAGATATCTCCATCACGCAATGGCACTGGCAAGGCTATGGGCAAGGCTTCGCCGCTGCTCAATGGCGTAAGCAATGGAGTCTCCACGCCATCTACGACCGTGAGGAGGACTCGTAGTAAGCTCCATGAATCCGTTAATGGGCTTGGCTTTGAACTTAGCCTAGGTCTAGGGGAGACACCCGAAGACGAAGGAGGCGAAGTCCGAGTCAACGGGACAAGTGCCGCGAGTGCGAGTCCCCGAACGACTAGGGGGAGAGGGAAAGTCATTGAGATGGAAGCTGACGAAGACCTCGATGCAGAGGGCGAGGAAGAGCCGTTGGATATGGTCATGGCGGATGCGTGAACGCAGTCTTTTGACATGGGTCTTTGCTTATACCGCAGCGATTTAGGCCGGTCGTTCTGCTGGATACGTGTACGATTCTTGAAGGTATGGTGTCTCGGCTCGGCTTTTGGTGCTGGGTGTCTACGGCGTCTCTCAGTCTTAGACAGACTTCTCTGCTTCTCCTCACCCCTTTCATCTGGAGGACATTGGGCGGATGGGAAAAGGATAGCGGGCTTGCGTTGCCGAATACCTTCTAATCTGCATGGCGTTGCATAACCTAGTTAATCCGGCCCATAATTGGATAGGTAGTAGTTCGTAAATAAAGTATCGAGGCAGTAACTCACATGCTTTAACCATCGATATTCCTAAAGGCTTGAAGGATAGCATTTAAGTATGGATATTCAGCCAATCAAAAGTGCTGAACACCTGCACAACGCTTCCTCGCTTACACGCAAGCGGTAAGTCTACGCGAATGGTCGTTAGGCCGCCCGTTGAAGCTAATGCAAGCTTATCACGATCCACCTGCAAACGTCACGTTTATCCCGTCCGCACACTGTACGGACTTCCTCCATTTATACCATCACCTTGCTCTCTAGCCTCGCCAACAAATTCCGAGAGTCTGTATAGACCTTCAAATCAGGCTTCAGACTCGTCACTATCACTCACAGCGGGGTTCTTTGTTGCCAGATCACCGCTGAACACTTTCCCTTCTGACTCAGAAACATGCTCCCCATCCTACCTCTCTTCCTCATCGTTTCCATCTCCTACCTCGTCTACACGTTCCTTATTACCCCCTTCTTCCTCTCCCCTCTCCGCCACCTGCCCGCCGCCCACTGGACTGCTCGCTACTCCTCGCTATGGATAAACCTTCAACGGTACCGCAGCCATGAGAATGCGGCGATCTGGGGTGCTCACAGACATCTTGGACCGATTGTTCAATTGGGGCCCAACGAGGTCAGTGTGAATTGTATTCAGGGGGGTTTGCGAGAGGTGTATGCGGGCGGGATGGAAAAGCCGCCTGGCGAGGCGGGGTTTTATAACTTCTTTCAGAATTTTGGGTGAGTCTGATTTGTTGAGGTTTCATTGCTATATGATGCCAAGGCTTCTGTGCACTCTAAATCAGTTCTTTTCTATCTCATCACAATCTTCTCAAACAGTTTTCATTGGTAAATATGGTTGTCATACATGCTATATTCTATGTTCTATTTCAAGACCTCTCGATACTGTCGCTCTGCCTCTTGCCCCAATTCATCCCCCCCAAGTCCTCCCACCCCTAACTAACACCCCTCTCTCTCTCTCAGCATCCCTAATATGTTCTCCACCTCCCCCACCCGCCCCCACTCGCACCGCAAACGCCTCATCAGCAGCCTCTACAGCAAAACCACCCTCGCCACCTCGCCCGCGCTCGCCGCCCAAACCTCCCTCATCCTCTACACCCGCCTCCTGCCCGCCCTCTCCGCCACCCAACCCACCGGCGGCACGCTCAACATCTACGCCCTCCTCAGCGCCGCCACCATGGACATCGTCACCGCCTACCTCTTCGGCCTGCGCGCCTCCTCCACCTTCCTCCTCGACCCCGCCGCGCGCGACCGCTTCCTGGGCTGGTACACCTCGCGCCACGGCTTCAGCTTCTGGGGTCAGGAGCACCCGACCCTCAGCGCGTGGGTGCATCGCTTCCTCGGCATCCGCCTCTCGCCCGCGTTCGTGGGCGAGGCGAACGCGGCGATCGAGGCGTGGGCGCTGGAGATGTGCGACACCGCCGCGCAAGCTAGCAGCCCTCGCACGATTGGAAACGAGAAGGAAAAGGGGGAGGGGCAAGGGGTCGCAGACACGCCGACCGTGTACGCGACGCTGTACGCCGCCGTCGCCACCCCACCCCCTTCGTCCAAGGAAGCGGTGGTAGCCGTGGACCGCACCGCGCATCTGACCACCGCGTCCGAGCTGCTCGACCACTTCGCGGCGGGCTTCGACACGAGCGGCATCACGCTGGCGTACGCGGTCCACGAGCTCTCCTCGCGGCCGGCGCTGCAGGCTGCGCTGCGCGCGGAGTTGCTGGGGCTAGAGCCGCCGATCATCCCGGCGTCTGCGCCTGCGCTGCCGAGCGCGAAGGCTGTGGATGCGCTGCTGCTGCTGCACGCGGTCGTGTGGGAGACGCTGCGGCTGCATCCTGCGATTCCGGGGCCGCAGCCGCGGGTCACGCCGGCGGGGGGGTGCAGGTTGGGGCCCGAGGGGGTGTGGGTGCCGGGGGGCGTGAGGGTGAGCGCGAGCGCGGGGTTGTTGCATGCGGAGGAGAGCGTGTTTGAGCGGGCGGGGGAGTGGAGGCCGGAGCGGTGGGCGGAGGAGGGGACGGAGAGGAGGCGGGAGATGGATCGGTGGTTTTGGGCGTTTGGGAGTGGGGGGCGGATGTGTGTTGGGAAGCATTTGGCTATTCATCGTGAGTGTGGTGTCTTTCTATGCTTTTTTTTGGGGGGGGAAGGAGTGGGGGAAATGATGGGGCTTTGCTTGCCTTGTTGAGGTTTGTGTTGCTAACAGTGGATTTACAGAAATGAAACACATCCTCGCGGCCATCTACTCGAATTTCACCACTAGCATCGTCAACGACGAGGGGATCGAGCAGCGCGATGCGTATACGGCGCCGCCGACGAGCGATGAGCTGATCATCACGTTGGTGCCTGTGTCTGCGGGCTAGTGCAGTGCTGCTTTAGAGAGTCTGTCAGTCCGTCAGTTAGGCAGTGCCACAGTCGGTGGATCAGTGTGAAGCGTCTGTTACTAGTATACAAGCATCTCTTTGTCCGGAGGTGACACTGAGACGGTCAGTGCAATAGCGTTGGCGGTAACCATCAGCTGATAGACAAATGGGAAGTGGAGCATAGCAGATGATGAAATGGATGATAAAAATAGGCATTCAGATTACTATTCCTGGATTGAGTAGGTGTGCTATGCGTCTTTTCTAAGAGAAGGAATGCATCTAAATATCCAGAAAAGCCATGCGTGATGTCAATGACAGGTCTCTAGACTCCCATCACTTCAGATAAAACAAAGTCAGCCACGCTAATCTTATCTCACCTCCGCACTCTCTTGCTGATCACTGCGAGCCAGTCGGTCCTCTTGCACAGACGCTGCCAGGTGGTCAGCCGCCGTGATTGGGCGTACCGGACTTGAGCGTGGGCCTGGGTCCTCGAAGTGACCACTCTCGAATCACTCCGATCAGACCGCGGCAACTCGTGACCATCCACACAAGCCGATCCGTCCAGTTGCCGCCCCCGCTAGAGAAGACGAACTTGACGGTCTGCTGCGCCAGCCACTGAACAGCTGCGTTATCGCCCTGCTGCAGCGGAGTAGAGCCCGCCCCGGCTGCAGTTGACACAGCTACGCAGCGCGACTCACAAGGGTTAGGCTTAGATCTGTGGCGAAGAGTAGGTCCGTTTTGAGTTGCTAGTGTGTGGGGCATAAAATGCGGATGCGGACCCGCAGGGGTGCTTTGGTCGTCGTGTGCCTGTCAGTGTCGACGAACCGAACGCCTGTGAGGGCCCGCTCGGGTGGCAGATGTCCTCCTGCATGCTGCGTCGTCCAGGGACGCCGACGGGCAGAGGGAATGAATATGCTGCGGTGTCTGCTGAATATGGCCAAGGACGTACATAGCAGATCGGCCTCGTGGTGGACAGGCAAGGGCGCCTGGTTTGTTGTGCATGCAACGGCTTTTGCGCAAGCGCGACAGTCGGCGATTTAATGGTCTCGGTGCTGCAGAGGGTGAGGGAGTGGGATAGTCCAGATGCATGTTAGTGGGGAGTGAGTCGTTTGGGCACAAAAGACTTTTCTGCCATTTCAGTCGGAGACGAAGAGAGATCGGGCAAGCCGAGCGCAGGGGAAGATGTGGTCTAGGGTTTTGCTGCTTAGTAGCTCGGGGGGTCTCTCTCTCTCTTGCAGAATGGATATTGACTTGTTGAAGCCCTTTTAAGAGAAGCGGTGTTCAGGCCACTTTTTGCTTGCAATTCGCATCGACGCTATGCTGTTTTAGGTGCTGGAGACATGTACGAGGTGAAACGTGCTTTCTCTGATTTTGATCTTCGGTCACTTGTTTCAACCATCGGCCTCGCAGGACAGGACTGCAGCTATAATCTCCGAGAGGCGCGGAAACTTGCAGCCCCCCAACCGACTGCTGAGATATATTTGGGGTAAGCGGGAATGCATCAAATGGGCGTTTGTTTCCGCGGTGTTTGTGGGGTTTGGCTGGCCTGGTCTATTGCACTTTGGGGCCTAAAGGACCCGACAGGCCGAGCGGTTCGCACATTGAACTGTCGCAAGAACTGAGAGGCTTGTGGAAGAGGCTCAAGCATGATGTTGCGCTCGCACGCAGATCCCCCGGGTTTGCTCAAAACGCAGGGTCCGGGTTCTTCCCTGTTCGAGAGCAGATGCAGCGCAAAGTCTCGGCATGTGCAGTTGCAGCATCGCTCGATAGCGTTTCGACTTACCGTTGACGGCTCCGCGCCCGCTGCGTGGATTGGTGGTCCGGGGGTTTCAGGAGCATGTGCAGCCGAAGCGCCGCTAGAGCTGCTACAGGGAACCAAGCGGGCGAGATTAAGTAGCGGGTCTCCTCCACATACAGCCAGCAGCCGACTTGGTAGCACAGGCGCTGTCCGTTTCTGCTATACGGAAGGTCAGCTTTCTCTTCGACATTCCTGCTCCGTCCTGCCGTCCTGCCCGGTTCGGGAAGTCAAGCAGGGGCTCAAGCCGCTTTCGGCCCTCGCTCGATACTCATCCCGGCATGGCGAGGGTCTTGCTGTAAGGCTCTCCTGGTCGGCGGGCGGCGAAGGGCGGAAACCGTTTGGGCGGTATAGCTACTCCAAGGCTATTGCAGCGTCGGCTTCAGGCTGGCCCAGAGTAGCAACAGTGGGCTAGCACCACAACGGATCCCGGAAACGGCGGTGGGCGTCGAGATTGAGCCCAACGGGGGGCTTCATGTGCATGCAATTGAGCAGCAATTGCGCCGTGCGGAGAAGGCTGGCGGCGCATAATGCAGGTACGGCGGGGAGAGGGTCTGTACACACAGCACAGCTCGGAACAGGGCCTGAAGTGCTGGCGACGGGGGGAGACAGGCAGGAAGCTGGTTCCGAGGGCCCACGGTCCCGCAGAGGCTTGGCCGCGGCGAGATTGCTTCGGCGCCTGGGAAGAGGAACTGAAATCCGGGGTTGATTGTCGCATGCTGGCGGGCGACTGGCAGTATGAGCAGGGCCGGGTATATGGCGACGTCAACAGGGAGACTGCCGAGCAATAGAGTTGTGCCTAAGACGCTGCCACGAGGCAACTCCGGTGGACAGCGTGCGCAGGAGGAGAGAGGCCGTCGTGGCTGAAGGCGCGGGCGAATAGGGCTTCGAGTGAGGTGTAAAATTGTAGCAACGCGGTGGTGCAGCAGTTGAGATGTGAGCCGTGCCGCTCAGACCTCCTCGACGACAACGACGACGACGACGACGACAACGACACCAGCCATCAGCGTTTCGGCCTCGCCATCGCCACAGCCCTCGCCCTCCCAGCCCAGCACTGTGGCCCATACTGCTCCGGCCTGCCGCTTGCCGTCGACTGGCGCCAATGCGTCTTCCCGTTTGCCCTGGCCGCCGCGCTCTGGTCTCCGTCTGCGCTCAACTCGACGTCCGAGGTGCTCGGGACGGCACCCTGGCGCTGCCCTCTGTCATGGCGAGGAACGGGAGCGTGTTCCTGCATTTCGTCTCGGTCGAGCGTCGCCCGGCGCGGTCTCGTTCGTCCTTCTGTGGCACGGCCGGTAGGAGCTGCAGCCACGAGGGGTTCGCAGGCCCGCAGAGTTCTATCAGTTTTCCAGCAGCCGGCGCCAACGCGCACCAGACGCATGTGCGAGACGTGGTGTGGCACCACGGGCGATCGGGGCCCGTCCAGAGTCGACCAAAGGGGACGTCGTTGCTGTGAGGTAGTGCGGCCCAGAGGGGGACGGGCTCGGCGCGGGAGAGGTAGGTTGAGATATGGGCGCCAGCGACAGCTATATAGACGGCCGCTCCAGCAATGTAGACGCCGTCCCGACTCTGACGGCTAGAGGGCTGGCGCTGCGCAAATGGGCGGTGGCGGGCGAGCTTCCGGAGCCCTTTGCGCTCCAGCAAGCCCATGCTGGAGGCCCGGATGCCGTCAACGCACGACGGACGGGCTCTGCCGCACCCATGCTGTTGCCAGCGCCGATGCCGCCATGGTGTGCACACGCAGCAGACTCAAGCAGACTCAGGCGGCGGAGAGGGAAGGTGGCCGGCGGGCTGCAGCACCGCCAGTGGACGGGCACTGTCTCAACTTCACGGCGCCAGCGAGGCCATATAGCGCGGCATCGTCACTCCACGCGCGCCCCTTTGCCTCTCTGTTCTCCCGCCGCGTCTGCATCTGTGCCGCCCGCCGTCGCTACATGTCCCTAGCGCGGCCCGTCAGAGAGCAGCCAGCTTCCTCCCTTGACCGCATTCCCGGCGGAGCACTGCGCGGCACTGCACCGCCAACAACGCCATCCCGGCCGCACGACACGCTGCACCGAGCGCGGCGACTCCAGGCAGCATTGGCAGCAGGCTGGGTGGTGCAGCGCCCCTGGAGAGTGAAGGCGTGCGCTGGGCATCGACATCGCGGCGATCAGCCGGGAGCAGGTCTGGTAGCGAAGATATCTTGGGCGGAGACCACGACTCTGGAGCGTGCTGTGGCGTCGGCCGTTGAGCTACTGTGCCCTGCGACAGCCCTCCTGCTGCACCTCGATCGTCTCGCCGCACTGGACGAGGCCTGCGGCGACGGCTCCACCTGCCCTGCGTCCCCCCGTTGGACCTCTCCCCTCGAGCGCCTCACTGGCCCTCTCTCTCCTCTCTCGCGGCCGCGTCTCTTCCGGCCGCTGTCGAGTCCCCATCGGCCTCGTCGTTGCTCCACACTGCCGCGCCGACTGATGCCTCCGCGGGATCCATCGTCTCGTCGCCCATCGCTGTGCTGCTGATTCCGACACTGCCGCACGCTGGCCTCTACCATTGGCCTCTGTGCAGCGCTCCCAAGACGCGCTCCTGCTGCGGCCAATCGTTGGGACGGGACGGCGGCCGGCTGCTATGCTTCCACGGTTGCCTCTTGACGACTGAGGCCATCCCCACGTCTCGCTGTGGAGGCGGCCCAAGATTGCGCCATCTCCCGCGGCGTCCCAGGGTTGACTGCTCGGCACACTCCCGAGCAGAATAGCGTGTGGCCAAAATTGGGGGGCGCGGGTGGAGCAAACGCTGGAATAGTGAGCTCACCAGACACTCTGCACTGAGCGAACCGCGCCGGCACGCGTCGGGCGAGTCCAGTCCCACAACCTTATTCGAATCGCCCAACGGCAGCGCATGCAGACGACCGCCGTGACTAAAGCAGCGCTGAAGACTCGCTGAACAGTCGTGCAGTCGTGGTTGCGGTGGATATAGCGGTGGATTCGACAGTGCGGTGGATGCCTCTCGTGCCTGGACTTCCACGGTTCTTTCCACAGCTCCATCACTTGCGAATCATTCGACCAGTCCGGACCTGCTGCAAACGCCGGCCCCGATCGTTATTCGTTAGGCTCGCTACCAGAGCCCACTCCCACCTTCCGGCTCCTACCAGCATCTGCGCTGGAAAGCGACTTCGTCGTCTCTGTATCTTCTCAACCTCGACATCTGCCTCGGGGTGGTTCGCCCAACATCTTATATATCCTTCTACAGCTCTCTCGTAGCACTGTCCATAAAAAAGTCCGATCCCCGAGGCCACAATCGCCATCGCGCTGCACTAAATCCTCTCCTCATCCTCAACCGTGTCCCTTGCTCGAGCCGTCCCCGTAGGAACCCAGGTAGTTCTTTTCCACGGTGCCTCGACGCTCTCCTACGTGCAAAGACCGGCCAGGCCAGGAACCTACAAACCTTGCCCCAAAGAGTTTGACGGCATCTTCACGGCGCCAGGTGACAGGTACCCTACTGTATCACTGCCAGGCCTGCTCCCGCTTCCTGCGTGGGCAGCCTTTTGATCCACGGGTGGCCTCCTCATAGTTGCTTAAGCTCACCCACGCGGACGCCCGCGATTTCTTTCTCCATGGCGCAGATGGCATACTACAGCCAGCACTTTGCGCAGACCTTTGCCCCCCCACCCATACCATATCCCGCCCCAGGAGAATTGCCCAGGTACGAGTTGAAATCGCCGTTACGCTCTGCCTCCCACGCTGCTGTCCCTACGACTAATCTCGGCATACGCAGCAATTCAACCTCGTTGTACGTCCGCCAGCAACCAAGAGTAGCGCTAGTCTCAACCACTGGCACCGAAAAGAGTCAGTCTGCTCTATCCTCCATGCCACCAGTTGGTGTCGATGCTCACAAGTGTTAGATCGCAAGCCGATCGACCCGCCTCCTTTTGTAGAGCTTCAAGTGGAGAGACGCGTAGACCCATCGCAACATTTTCTCAATAATCCCTACATTTTTTCGACTGTAACCCTCTACAAGGCGGACGTAGACCAAGACTACGACGACACACCTGGCAAGTCGCTAGCAGGAACTTTCGTCTCGTCTGCCAACCGATTGAAAAATGAGGTCAACATCGGTAATGATACAAATATCCCTTACCAACAAGTCGTTTGCTAACTGGTTCAAAGATGGCTGTTACTTCGTGTTCGGAGATATTTCTGTTAAGGTTGTCGGCACTTACCGCTTGAAATTCTCCGTATATGAAATGAGGAAGGATGGACAAGGAGTAGTAGTGTACCTTGGCGCGGTCATTTCAGACAAATTCCAAGTCCAGACACAGAAAGATTTCCAAGGATTGTCAGAATCGAATTATCTCACCAAATCTTTCCACGAGCAAGGCATGCATTTGAGGATTCGAAAGGAACCACGAACGACGCTAGGGTTTGTTCCCACCACTCTCCTCTACAGCAAACAAGACACTGACTTCGAAACAAGCAAGCGAGGATATGAGTACAAGCCGCCGAACGCGCCCCCCGCCACGCTTGCCGCCCGACCGTCTGTGGACGCTTACGCACCGGGAGGATATTCCAGCGGCTACTTTGACGATGGGTCATCGCCCTCCTCTATTAAACGCTTAAAGACTAGCAACTATGATAGCAGGGGGACTTACAACTCGAACATGTACCAGCAATATCCTGTCCAAAACGCCACCTTTCCGTCAACACCAGTACCGCACAGCAGTGCGGACTATCAGTTTGGGTCAATGAATACAAACGGGCTTGGTGTATTCACCTTTTCCAGTGGGCCTCAGTTGCCCTCTTACAGATCCGACTCGCGCTTCTCTACCTTAGTAGAGCGTTCTATGACGAGCGCTATTACTCCACAATACGGATACAGTCCAGAACAAGCTCATAATAGCCTCGGACAACAACGCAGCCCACATCAGCCCGTACAAGCCCCTAGTACTTACAGCGACGGCCACAGCTTCCCTGCATACCGTAGCTCTTCGAACAATGAGCATACCACCACGGATCATCGATCCAATATGTCGTTGAACGCCAGCACTTCAGAAGGGTTCCCGTCACAGCCTCTCCCCTACCGTAACCCGCCCGCCACGATCGGGAACGGAGGCGCCACGCATGGGAATAGGGATCATCAAGGTATCTCAACTTCGGGCAGTTTGCAGATGGGTGGGTTGTCGGCGAACGGTATGACCTACTCCGCTCCATCCAGGACAGGACATGTTGGGAATGGAAATTATCGAAACACCGCCTCTTCAGATAACCTATTGCCGTTAGAGGATCCACTTCAGGAACAACCGTCGCAATCGGGAGACCAGTTCTTGACGGTCAACTTTCCTAGTCTAGGGCGCTAGGCTAATGTGGCGATACAGGGGCCGGCCTAGGGGACGACGAAGCGGAGAACAACGACCCCGAACACCCCAGACGGCTTCCCGATCCTAGGGGAATGGCCTCGTCTCTCGATCCTATGGGGGGTTTGGGTGCTCTTTGAGTCTTCCTTTTTGCTACTCCTGACGGGTGTTCTAGGGCCGGCTTCCGCTAGCAGTAGACAGCTCCCAGTAAGATCTCGCGCCTTGAATGAGATTGAATGGAATTGCTAGAGTTGACGCCCCTCAGGCTCCCATACCCACCTTGTTCGGTCCTTTCGCCACGGCCGACAGCTATTACTTCAACTGGCCTGAATGATCCATTTCTATCAACCGGGATCTCATTTTTTGGTCTGCATCTTGCCCATCTTATCCCCTACCTTCGCTTATTGTCTTACTGCCGCGTTTTGTCCCTCGCGTTACGAATACCCACATTCTTCTCTGTTTTGGCAATCATGGTCCGGAGTACCGTATTCATCAGCGTTTTGCAACGGAGTCTGGGGTATCGGCGAAAATGGTTGACTGAGTTGGTGGTTTCCATCATCATCAGAGTAAAAAAACGGAGTAAAAAAAGGAGTAAAAAAAGGCGTGACGACGCTGTGGGAGTTTGGTGTTTCGGTTGTTTCTTTCTATTGCGTTACAGTAGTTTGTTTTCTTTCTTGATTTTCCTTTTTGCCTTATCATCACGCTCCGTGTGACTTCTTGTCATGCTTGGTATGACGAAGCCTTGCCGTTCCAAGGCTGTGTTGGGCCCCAAAGTCTACCTTGCTATCGGAGTGGAGAGGTGTCAATGCGTTGCAACAGGCGTTTATGGGTTTGCTGATATCCCGGCAGGCCGAGGCGGCGGCATGGATATGTCCATTCTCAGTGCAGCCTTGATGCCGCCGGCGGTGGTGGTGTTTGGATTGCTTGAACATTTTGGGATTTCTTGATTTTTTCATGGGATCTGCTTTTTTTTTTTCCTTTTTCTTATCTGTGCTTATACCTCTTAGGGGACTCTTGTGATCTTTTTGGAACTTTTTATCTAGGATTACTTGCTTTTCGGATTTGGTTTCATGGGGATTTAACGAAAGCGCGGAGTGTGGAGTTTGAGTAGACTGATTGTCAGGTCTACGCACGTCGCATCGTTTATCCTTAGTGTTGCTCTTATTGGTTTGTTGAATGTTTGGGATGCGTGTATGTATGTTGGTACGTTTGTTAGTATGCATGTAGGCATGGTGCGCGGGTCCGGGAAGGCGGAAATACTTCAATGGGAGAAAGAACTTCCAACCAATGGCTGTTCCTGTGATTGTGTGGGTGTGAACCTGGTGATGCGTGAATGGTGGTGTGACAGAGTGACTACCATGGTCCTGGACTGTGAGCCTCGAAGCCTCGACTTGTGATATATTGAAGTGAACACTTGACACTTCGCTGATCCGGTCGTGTGTCAGAAGGTAATCTAAACTAAGTTTGAGGGAGGTAGACGAATGCGCTCGATAGAGAGAGGAAGATGGTATGATGGGGCGTTGTGGCGGCGTCGGCACGGGTGAGAATTTCTCCTTTCACCGCTTTCGCTAGACGATTACACATCGCTTAGTAAGCCGCTAGCGTTACGGGGTCCGATCGCAGGACGTCGAATTGGGTATAGTCAATGCTGCATTTGCTGGTCCGTTGCTGATGACTAGTTTCCGCTCTCTGACCCCTTTCTTCAGAAGTTTAGACTCTAGCTCTGCTAGACTGACTTGCCATGGTTCTATCGACCCTCCCATAGTGGTAGGTTGTTGGCGTTCTGGTATAGAGGCAGCGGAGTGAAACAGGTCATCGAAGGGCGGTCGCCCTCTGCGATATGAAGGTGTCCAGCAAATCCGTCTGAGCAATGTTTGAATCGGAGCACCTGGTGCCGTCCGAAGAGAACCTCCTTCAGGCTCGGGTTCGATCGATCGATCGATCACGAGTTTCTGGATGATCTCGGGCCAACTATAGGGCCGTGCCCCCGTGCACGGTACTGTGTGAGGTCCGAGATGAACTCGATCGCACCCTCTGATCGATCGAACCCGAGCCCTGACTCCCAAGTCCTCCTTTTCCATGAAGCGGGGGTCTCAAGAACACGATGCCCAAGGCGAACTTTCAACTCCCCGGAGATAGGCGGTTTCCAGAGCTAGGATTCAATCAACGGCCGACTCAAGAAATCTTCAGTCAACTGAGGCCTCTGCTGAATAAGGAAGCTGTCCCTTCAATCAAGGTTGAGAGGCGCCGTTCGTTGATTGGCTGACTGAATCCTCGCCCTGGTAGTCCTCTATCTAAGGTGGAGAGGCTGAAAGGTATCAGACCTTAACACTCCTCAGGATGACCCTCACTAATCCTCCACGAAGATGTCGAGAGCTTTCGAGTCTTTGCAGTGCTTGAGACCTTGCCCCTATTCGTGTTCGAGCATAGCTTCCCATGGCCCCATCCAAAGGCGGAGACACTGAAAGGTATGACGACGTCGAGGATCAGCCCCTTATCTAAGACAAGGGCGTTGGAGGTATCGAGTGCTTATGGTGTTTGAGGTAGGATTGGGGCGGTGGCTAAGAGGTGCTTCTATGTCGACGATGGAGAAGTTGGATGGGTTTGAGCCTCGGAGGCTCGTGGTGTTTAGGGAAGCCCCTGAGAGTGCTCTCGAGAGACTGTTGAGAAAGCGAGAGGTGTTCGAAGGATGTGTGTGGAGGGTGGAGGATAGGACGGTAAGGGTCGGAGATTCAGGGGAGTGGGAGCATGATCGTTGATGTCCCTGTTGGAGGGGGTTGGAGTGTAGACAAGGGAGTAAGCAGGTGTTATCGTAGGGGGAAGAGGATTGGATTGAGCTACGAAGGGGTATATATTAGACCGCGAGTAGCGGTGAATACGGGCTTGGGGAAGGAAGAGAGAGTTTGAAGTCTGAAGCGTGCTGAGGAAAGTACACCGAGTCGTGACGACTGCCGTTGAGCGTCGTAATGGCTGGCGTGTGCGTTGACGGAAAAGGAATGGAGAAAGAAAACCGAACAACTATGAGGAGAAGAAGGTGACCTTTTGTACACGGACGACGACGATGACTTTTGAGTAAGCCACAGATATTTGATGTTGATTTCCAGAGAATTATATGGTTGTACCAGAATTTCACAATTCTAGATGAGGGGAAATGTATCACGTAGAAAAGACTATCGTTGAAACATGGTCCACAAGATGGGGAGCCCAAGGTACGGAAGCCAAAATGACGGCTCAAAGAGTCCTTGGAAATACAGTTACCCAATCATTACTAAACATGACTAGGCTCGAGGAACCCTGTAACCATTCTCCCGAGGACGCGTTCCCGCTTGACCAATCTCAGGTGGTACTGTGCCTGACGTTCATCAAAAGATTTCGATCTCCTACATTTGGCTCTAGATACGAAAGACAAGGTGGATTCAGAAAAGAGCATGCTCCCGACAATTGAAGTTTCGAAAAGAAGTAAGCTATTGGCAGTCCAGAAGATCCGATATCGGAGAGGGAACTATGTAGCGTTTGAGCTCTTTCTAGGCCGTTTTCGTGCTAACATTTTGCTGTGCCGGGAAGATTGGCACCAATGGTTTTATACACATCGATCCGCTCTTGCTTGAATGTTGATTGGTACGACAGAAGTCTGTCCGAAGCTTCCATCTCAAATTAGTTAGTGAGGAGGGTCTCAATCAGGTCCACACTCCTTGATTAGTGCTGTTGATACTGACCGTGACGGGCGCATTGAAGCGTATTCATCCCGTCTTATAGACGGTCACTTAAACACGGAACACGCTACACTTTACAAAGCTACGTTTGTAGAAGACTGATTCAGCCTAATCATGAGCGGGTGTTGCATCGGTGTCCTTGAAATGATACCTCAAGGTCTGAAGACCAGGCGAGGATCAAATGCTCTTGCATGCTAGCAAAACCGGTCGAAATACGGATAGAAGCTTCCGAGAGCTCATGGCCATGAACGAAATGGTGAGTAAATAACAAGCTGGGTCCTCAATTGCTACCAGAGAATCAGATTCGCATACTCAATTGCTACCAGAGGATCAGATTCGCGTACTCTAATGATTCTTACATATGAAGCAGTCCGTGTCTTGGGAGTTAGTCAAGTATTTGTCTTTCGGCCTGTGTTAAGCCTTGCAGAGTTGGTTCAAAGTCATTCCATCCTTCTAGAACAGCTAATTTGGGAGCATGTCCTGCGCTATCCGTCTCTGAAGACGTGTCGCTATCAAGTTAGATCACTCGGGTGGTTCGACAATGGACCACGTGTCTCTTGTTCATTCACCTGAAGCTTAGACAGCCTATCGTAGGTGACTGCTCCGAACAATGTTCTATTCTTGGTGGGGAGTGTGCCCCGGTTGAATGGCGTTCTCAGGCAGGAATTGGTAGGTAGTCAGTCGATGGGGTCATGTGGAGTTTGTTTGAGTGGTTCGCATTGCTTAGTGAGAATTGTTGGGAACATCATCTATGAGGAAGTAAGTTCTGGAACATCTAAAGATAGAGACACGAGAAATACACGTCAACTTTTGTGAGAATGTATAGTTTAAATACCTCGCCATCTCCTGCATGTTCTAAGAGAAGACCAAACATTGTACGCAGGTAGCTTCCGTTGCTTCGCCAAGTGAGTTGTAGCTTTTAATGAAGTCGTGACCCCACAACGGCGCAATCAAGTAGTAGCCATGGGCCCGATAATCCGGGCATCCAGCTATGTAACGATCGCATTCCGGCTTGTAGTGAAAGAAACATCTTTCCGTAGGAGGTATACAAGTCGATATGCGACATAGAAGCGTTGACTACACTCAAATGGCGACGAGCGAAGTGATACTAGACAGTGAACCAACCTCAAGTGAGATCTCATGAATCTTAGACCACCCCAAGACGGCTAAGAGAGACGAAGATGAAGGATCGATTCGCGGAATCTGAACTTGAAACCTCACTAGGCAACGTCTGATGGTATTGCAGTAGTGATGCCACGAACAAGGGAAAAGTAATATGTGCAGAGCACGAAAGAGAAAGTTTGAAGGAGCGCGAGCGTTTGGGCCTGCTCTTTCACTGCGCATACAAACGATGTTAATCTAGGATGAAGTCAAGAGGGTGGTCCTTTCATTTGGCGCGTGTTGGGGCGCAGCGGTCGGGGGGGCTTTTAGTGCGCCGGACCCGCCAAATTTGATGGGATATAATGGCGAACAAAGACTTGTTTTCAAAGTGCAGGGCAGATCTCTAAAACTACTTGCATTTCTCGAAGAACGCTCATCCTGCTCATCCTGCATACGGTTGTTGGTACCTTTACGGGGGATAGGTGCTTGTCTAGGGCGTTGCTAGCATAGTCGGACCTCTGCGCCTGGGGCAAAATTGAATGATTAACCAGCGTCCCAGAACGTCACCTCGTGAAGGCAAGAGTGTCCAAGCAAGCTGAAACAAGGAAAGTTCAAAGATGAGTTATTGTTGGCCGAAGGATCAAGCAATTCTGTTAAATTTTGATTATATACCCTTTTGAGGGGAGCATGAACACTTACCTCTGGTGCGTGAAGCAAGCGAGCCAAAGAATATCTACAGAACGCATGACTAACCCATCTTAAAAAGGCTTCGCGGTTCTCAAGCTTTTTGTACTGAAATTTGGAGCAGCTGGTTACGTTATTGTAGTTATTTGGTATGAGGGGTATTTTTAGGAGGGCATGAGGTCGTATCAAACTTCGTGGGACCTGCTTCGCGTGGCGTAGCTTGAGGCTAACGATAGAATACGAAGGCGCTCGACTTTAGTGTTGCATAACCGAAGTAGTGCGAAGATGCTTTGAACTTCCGTACACTGCATCCGCATTCTAAAATAAAAGGACGTCTAGCTAGAAGAATAGAGAAATATATGCTCAAGAAATTTCGAGTGTTTTTCCCTAATTTATTTGGCCTCGTGGTGGGTGCTGGATGTTGATAGAATGATTACACGGTTTTGGTTATGCACCACTAAAAACGAGCTCCTTCGCAAGAGGCCAAGCGTCCAGAAACACGTGATACTACCGAGATATATATATATATATACATCAGCCTCGTTCCAGGCTTATCCAACACCTCTCAACTACTGTATCACGTTATAATTCCAGGTTCTAGCATCATGATGTAATGTTTAGGTTCCCAGTCCTGCTGTATGTCGCGTAGATCCGGTCATATTCTTTCAATCCTACAGGAAACTAGTGCGGCTAACAAATCTCAGAAATTAATTTCCACACCCATTCCCCTTGCCGCTGTCACACTTCAATTTGTCACCTTTAGTCGCTCAATAAGCTGTTATAGCTTTATAGAAGCTATCTATACTCTTGAATTTTTAAACCTGGAAGCTCTACCTCGGACACACGCTCGGTCGCACTGAAATCATGCTCCTCGGAACATGTCAGATTACTGGAGATTGAACAAAGAACAACCAGACCAGCCCCCTCAACATCCTTTCCAATAGCACACGTAGTGTACCCAATCTTTATCCACCAATCGTGTTTGAGAAAGTGAATCGGGTTCATGAAAAGAAAGGATGGGAAGAAAATTGCGAATTTCTAGCCAATGATCATCTCCATTTCGACGGGATCGGGTCCTTGGATAACTTTTAGGTCTTGTGTTTCCGCAGAATCTCTCATAGTGACGTAAAAGAGACAGGAGTAGGAATAGCAGGGTATGGTCCCATCTACAGCATGGCCAGCGTCCCAAAGAACCCCTACAGCCTTCAGGGAGTCCGCTGTACCTCTTGGAGCTCTCTTGAGCACGATGGTGTCAAAAGAGCAAGCCTTAAATCCCCAACGAAGGATGTACAACCGCATGCTCGGTGTCTGAACGGTAAATCTGAACATTTCCTCCGGAAGCTGATAGCTTTCTCCAAACTCCAAGAGCCTAATCGCGAGATAATGTGCGTGAATGCCTCTGTCGCTTATCGATGCGTCCGGCTGGCTATGTCCATCAAAGCCATCAGATACACGGGACCATAAACGAACGTGGAGCAAATCTGAATCCTGGATATGCAAGCTTGTCACCTCTGTTGAAAAGTATGCTGTGGTGGACCCTGCTAATCATGAGCCATATGCTCTTTATGGTCTCATCATCCTGTAGGGAGGTATCTAGATAGTCTTGTGTGACATAATTCATGTCTAAACCTGCGATTGTTGCGATTACGAGTGCTTCGTCTCTCCGGACACTGCTTGATCGATCCTGGAGCATCATCAGCTTGAACGTGAAATTCGTTGAATCGGTACATCCGAGACGACGTAGCTCCCATAACAAGGTCTCAACTAGGTTTGATTGATCTTTCAGTGACTCACTCAGATCTTGCACTTTAATAGTGCGAACTTTGAAGGCAGCGTAGAGCTGTTTAACTAGAATAGCTTCTTGAAATGTCCAAAGGCGCCGGTTCCAGTCACAAGTCAAAAATCTTATGGCAAGCGCGTGCCAGGTTGAGGTTTCGGTCGACAAAGACAGCAGATCCTGGTCGATCGAGACTACAGCTGCAGCATTACGGTAGATGCTCTCCATCATCGATATTGACTTCATCTTCAGCCCCTCGTCTCGAGGAATGCAAAGTGAATCCAACCAAATCCAATCATGACTGGCCAGGCAATTTATTGATAAATGATTGCAGTCTACATCTTGCCAATCCATCATCGGCACCACTTCCTGCTCCGTGAGACCAGACGTGAGAGACTGCGACATATTGGAGACTCCTTGAGTAGAGTCGCACGGCGTCGCTTGGGTTGCTTCGTGTGTCAATGAGAGTAGGAATGTGTAGGACAAAGTAATTGTCAGTATCTAGAGCGTTTCGAATACTTGGGATCGAAATTTTTATCCAGTCGCATTTGCAATCGTCCTTCATATGGCGAGCTTGGAATGTCGAAGTTGACAAACTATTCGTACTGCAAGCGCCAGGAGTGCAGTGGTCGTGTCGATTTTCTTGCACGCTACTGTCATCCTGCAGAACGCAAGCATATTCAAGCTCACTGATCCCCCATGTTCTGAGCCTTGTGTATAGTGAGGGGCAAATACTGCTTGCTTTCAGTCGACTCAGGTAGAAGTCGTCGTCGACAACTAACTGACCCATTTGATCAAGCTGCCTGTCGATGCCCATGGCCTCGAAAGTTCTATTTAGCGTGCTAAGAATGTCTTCAATTAGAAATGCTTGGCGACAAAGAACTCTAATAGTAGAATCGCGGGATTTAGCGTCTCTGAAACCGGCCTTCAGAAGCACACACCATTGGCATAGAGTTCGATACTCTCTGCGCAGTGTGCATGCCATTCCAGCGAAGATGATGTTATCGGCTGTGTTTCCGAGTCGGTATACCTCTGCAAAATAGTCCTCGATGATGGGTCTTAGAGCAGTGAAGGACAGGCCCTTCCGGGGCTTCAAAGACGTAGTCGTTGAATGTAAGTGATGTATAAAAAACGCCCTCTAATAGCCCAAAGAAAAGCATGCTCTGAAGTCTGGCCAACGCCGCTCCGTCAGACAAGGCCTCCCTGTTGGGGACTTGAAGCTGAGTACGTTCTTATGCACTCCAGCCTTGGGATTCGGCGTATGCGTCAGCGCCAGGGTATGGGTCGGCACTGCTCGCTCTAGGTTCTTCGGGGCTTCGATGCTGGTATCCAAGCCATGGACAAGGAATGATGTTGGCGCCGTACAGTTCAAGCCCACGCTCGTCCAGCAGGTGCTGCATGGTGTTGCGAAGAAGCAGGTGATGGAAAACAGGTATTGATAGACCGTTTGATGATATAGAGCCAGATCATACATGAATAACCTATGTAGTGATGACGAAGAGAGCACAAGTGATGAGAGTAATCTTACAAGGCGGCAGTCAGCCATGCCTGACGCCTGGATTCCGGGCACGTGGCTAAACTCATTACAGTGAAAGTATGAAGCTTTTCTGCTATCATGACAGTGAATGGAAGGCGGTTGCTGAGATTTCTACGTAGAGGATACATGCATGTCGTGTGACAAGGGGGCGTCACGGGCGTCAGAGCCCTGAAAAGTATAATAAGTGGTTTTGGTCCAAGGTGGTCCGAGCGGCAACCAGGGAACGCGTCTATTCTGCGGGTCACCTCTCCCAACTTTGAACCTTTCACCACCAAATTTGTGACGCCCTCAGCACTCAGCATTTATCTTTTTTCACGCATTCATACGGACTCCTCTCTAGTTTTACAGAACCTTGCAATCAACTACGCAATGCAATCGCCCGTATTCTAAATATCCACCACCAAACACGCGTTTTCCTCATCGCGGCGCGTGAAACCAGCGGCCATTGAGACGCATTCTCCGCCATGTATCTCCCACGGGAACTAATATCACAGCTCTACCTTCACCTCCTCCGAACGAACCATACTCTTTCACCACCTGTCCTTCTCCTCGTCGCTCTCGAACCCGACGCGCTTTGCGCATGTCGCATCCTGACCGCGCTCTTGAAACGCGATTATATACAACACAAAATCCAACCAATCGCCGGATATGGAGACCTTACCCGTGCTGGAGAAGAGCTGGTACGACCGATGCGGACCATGGACGGAGGTAATGGTGGGGTCGTCATCTGTCTAGGTGTTGGAGGCATGGTGGACCTGGAGCACGAGCTTGGATTGGAAGTGGACGAGAACGGAGAGGGTGGATTCGGAGGAGTAGAGATATGGCTTATGGACTCGAGACGACCTTGGAACTTGACCAACGCGTTTGGATCGCCTCTGTTTCCAGATCCGCAAACCGGTGAACTGGTGCGAGCCCAACCTGGATTAGATCAGGGTCGCATATCTCAAGCTTATAAACCAGGAAGAGGAGGAGTGGTGGTATTCGATGATGGGGACATCGAGGAAGAGCTTGCTGCGGAAAGAGCCGCGTACTGTAGTCTCGAGGAAATGCCTGAGCTCGGCGACGTGGATGACGCGATGGACGGTGCCGAATCCGAGATGGAAGACGACCCTCCCATCTCGGGTCAAGCGCCGAAAAAACGGAAATCGTGGGGAATGGATGAAGACGACAGTGACGATGACGAAGATGGTCCTCCAAGGCAAAAGCGAAGAAGTAACTCAGTATGTTACGCTGTTCGTTTGATCTGAAATAGTAAAACTAATAGCCTCAGTCATCTCCAATACCCTCGTCTCCAGACCATGCAGAGCGTCCAGCGCGGCGTGGTCTTCTGACGCATCGTCTCGGCGGCTCTTCAGATTTCTCTAGGTCCGACTCTCCTCGCAGCCGATCCTCGTCTCCTGTCGTGCCAAAGGAGAAATCTACGCTGGTTCTGCGCAGGGAACTTATCAAACTACATGCAAAGCACAACAAGACTATTGAAGAGTACTACACCCTCGGCGCGTCCTACTCAGAGCCAGTCTCATCGATCGTCTATTCACTCGCTTCGGAACTCGGACGTGAAGACAACGACCTACTTTGGCTAGCAATCGTCGGTGTGAGCAGTCTTGAGCTATATGGTCGAACACAGAACGGTGTCAGCTTAAGTCCGCTTTCCACTGCCGGAGGCTCTTCAGGCTGGAATGGTGACCGAGGAGAACGGGTACGAAGTATTTTCCGTGACGAAGTACGTCGACTTAACCCGATCGATCTAAAAGACATAGCCCGCGAAACCAGTCTAGGAGACTCTGGAGGCGTGATACCAACGCATGCAAGATCACCCACGGATATGTCAATACGATTGTCTCCTGAACCACGATTTCTTTTGATTCGACATTGGAGCCTGTACGATAGCATGTTACATTCTCCCTACCTTTCGGCTCGACTGCACATCTGGAGTGATGCTGGACGACGTAGGCTCCATAAACTTCTTGCCAAAATGGGTGTGAGTCTCACACAATGCAAGCAAAACTATACGCACATGGATATGGAACTAAAACGCGGGCTTCGGGAACGACTCCTGAAGTTTGCTCCTGTCTATGGTCTTGACGGCCTCGTTCCACCACCTTCACAGCAGACAAAAGACGGGTGGGGCTTCGTACGATGTTGGGGCTGGAAAGCATGTCTCAGTGCAATAGACGCTGGGGTAGTCCTCGGTGCCATTCTCGAAGTCGGAGACGCGACAAGCTTTAAACAGACTAGCGAATTCGAGTCTCAAGACCGCGGCAGGAATGGTGCCTCCCAAACAAACGGGCACGACGAAGTCGTAGAAGCTTCAGACACCGCTCAACAGCACATCTCGGCTCGTTTCTGGACGGCATACGATGCCATATCGTCGGTTGACCTGCTCGTATCTCATATTACCACCGCACAGCATCTCCACCGCGCTATCCTGCGCACAGGTACCAGCCTCATCGAAAAGAAACAGATACGCCATCTGCGTGCTTTCCGCATGGCTGTTGTCAAAGAAGGCCCCGATGTTCAACTCTTCACACATCCCGGTGCTCTCATCAAGCTCGCCTTGTGGGTTGCCGAAGCAATCGGCGAGCTCAACGGCGTCAAAGGGAGACGGAAAGGCGGCGAGCTTGTCGTAGCAGGACTAGACGAGGCACGTGGCCTTTACGTAGTCGTCGGGCTCGGGAGTGGAGGAGGTATTGGACCAACCAAAGATCAAGAGAAGAAGAAAGAAGACAAGCGAAAGGCCAAAGCGAGCAAAAAGGAGGCAAAAGAGCTGGAAAAGGAGAGGAAGCGACAAGCACGGATTGATCGCAACCTCGCCGCCGGCCTCGACGAAGACGAGATCGAGGACGATACCGAGGACGAAGAGGAAGACGACGAAAGCGATCTCAGTGATGACGAGGACGGGCCTGAGGCTGAGGAGAGGAAACGGCGGGGCTACGGGAGAAATCGCTTCGGACTGGCGTTCAACGAGGTCGTTAATGAGACGAGGGCGCGAGTTAAGATCGATAGCTTTGAGCATTGCGTTGTTGAGGTGAAGAAGGAAGATCTTAGCGGGTTTTTGGAAAGCTTGAGCATGAAGGCTGTGGTTGGGTGATCACAGGGTGAGGGGAACTGGGTCATTGCGGGCATGAAGCGTGGGATTCGGGCGTGCATAGCATTGCGGCTGGCGTTTTAGGAAGGCTGAGCTACTGTGCTTTTTGGGTATGTTGGGTGTAAAGTCTCGCGATAGTTTTATACACTCTAGTTACTACTCCTTGTCTATTCTACGCTTTCTCTACTGTGTTTTATAATACTCGAGATTTCACTCGCTGATAGGTAGAATTGTAGAGCCGAGGCATGAAATGATGATAGCGAACGTGCTGCGAATAACAACCTTCCCTCGATTCTTCCCCAAGCCCCTCGGAGTATTTCTGGAAAGACGAGACGTTCACGTGATTCCTTGCCCATGCTGATGTGGGAAGTCTTGGCAATCCGAAAAGCGTCAATCTGGAGGATATCAAAGGGCGCCAACAGCTAATTTACCCTCGAATTTTCAGGTTGCTGTCAAGAGAGTGGAATCCAGGCTCGAACCTAATGTTCCGTCCCGGAAATCGAGAATTAGGCCTGTGCTCGAGGCGCTTTGACACATCAGTCACGACAGTGAAGGACCCCTGACCACACAACCCAAGTCAAATACAAGAGCCTAATTCGCAAACTTATGGAGTTCTGTTACCCGTGACGTCGATACTGAGGGGCCCACGCCGTCTCCATATGATCTCTCTCGTCAATTGGTGTCTCCGGCCCATATAGTTTCCGTGGAGTCTTGGGTATGAAACCCATTAGGTTCCATGGAATCGTGGGGATGAAGTCCATTAGGTTCCATCTAGAAGGCTGAGCGCGGCGCAGTTGATACTACATATTCATACGCATTAGGAAACTTTATGTACGCAATGATATGGTAATGAACCGGATTACGTGCATCTAGACTTACCATTCTGGCTGACTCTTCGCAAGACCGTTTGAGTAATTGAAGTTTTCTTTGGATTTCCTTCAGTGTGTCAAACGTGTTGTGAATGTCTCGGAGTATGAGTTGAGCACGTCGCTCCGAGAAGTCAAATTCCGATCTTAGAGAGCCCCGAGAGGTGGATTTGTAAAAGTACGCAATGTCTCCGTTGTCAAGATCTCTAAATCTTTCCCAAGTCTGGGTCGTTGCGGTGAGAACTTCCAAAAGTTGGCTTAAGAGCGTTATCACCCTAAGGATCCAGTCAAAACAATCCTTTCCATTATTTGTCCGGCGTTCTTGCTGAACTCCGAGATGTGGAAAAAAGTCGGGATGGCGATATCGCTATTGCGAATGTCAACTACCGTTAATGGGAGGGCAGGACTGTACGTACGTAAGTATTGATTCTGGATTCGACCGCACTCGCTAAATTTTCCCATTCTTCCAGAACATTCTTCCCACGCTCTTCGAGTGTCCTAAGAAAGTAGTCTCTCAGGTCCCAAAGTGGTAAATTGGCATCCGTATTACAGATGATTGGGTCCTCTTGAAAACCCTCGTAGGAACAGTCTTCTTCCTCCATTTCTTCGTCATCAAGGTCTCGATCCACAAAAGCATATGCAATCCAACGTCGGTTGTCCGAGCCACAGATCACAAGCGAGAATCGTGATTTGGATATGCCAATCATCGGCTCAGGTTGCGGGTTTGACGTTTGCGGGGTTAGGAACGATATATCGATGCACTGTCTTCTTGGTATATCTCGAATATATGGCATGGGCATTGGATAAGTTATGAGCGCAAAGAAGGGAATATGCAGTTCCATGTGGAAGTAGGGATATCTCCCAAAGCCCTATATCATAAAATAGTAACATCCCCGTTAGTAAAATATACTTCATCTTTTAAAGTATATTGACAGAGCATTAGAAGCGCTTACAGGCATCTTTATCCTTATTGATGTTTCCAGTGCTAGGTGCTTCCTGATAGCATCTCTTAGGGAGGTGACTTGGTGGAATGCTGCGGTCTCTGCCAGCGCGATTATGAAATTAGGATCCAAATTTGGTATATAGCTAAGCGATACAAATTAATTAGGTGGCTTACGTCAGATCGGGAGAAGTTCCTCTTACATCAAGCGTCGGTCCGCCTCTGGTAAATGTGGGTTGTTGAATCTCTAAACATACATTGGTTAGGCTTTGTATGAGACTGATGTGTTATGATTTGCTCTTTACCGGTTTTTGCAAGTGCTGGAGGAGCCCAGTCGCCGTTAACGGGTTCCGGCATTTTCTGACCTGTCCACCTCTTGCTTCGTCACTTGTTTGACGTAGAAGGCTCCTATCATCCACCCACGCGACCCGTCTTCCTCCCGCTGCTCCTAACCCATGTTCAACATCATAAAGATGGACATCTTGGCAGAACTGTATCACTTCGTCAAAATTGCATGAAGGTACAGCGTACTCAAAGTCGTCTAAGCCTAGGAAAATTGTAACGCTATTGGTTCGGTATCCACGAGAGTTCTCTTCCTGACAATGCAGGATTCTGTGTCACGGGGAATCCGGTCATTGGAAAACACAGGGTCCCACTCTTTGGTAAGGTAGTTGCTGGGTGGACCAGGAGAGGTGTTCTTGAAAGCGGGGATTGCCTCTTCCCAGAGTTCGGAAAGCATTCTGTCAGCAGCTCCAGAGGCCCTTGCATGACCTTTGACCAAATTGTTATCGGCTACCATATCCAAAATTTGGGACAAGTCTGAAGTGCCTTCAGCCTTGTCGCTCGGTATAGAAGGCTCTACAGTTTCTGTAGACTGCTTTGATGGAGTTATCATTTGGGAACCTGAGCAACAGGAGTGAACGAATGAACATCGGGCCAACACATCATACTCGGTTGGCAGAGTATCGATAGCCTTCAGCACGGATATAATTTCTGCCGCCTTGGGGCGATCTTTTGGCACTTTTGAAAGAGTTTCCTTGATCAAGGCAGCTAGAACCCGTAGTTTCATTGAACGACATTCTCTCAACAGATTTGTCCATCCATTCAGATTTCCGAGATTGGCCTGGAAGGAGCAATCGCCATCGCTCCGGAGTCCTTCCAGTTGCTGTAAAGGGAGCCGAGCGATACCATACGCCATTTGTAGATACGTACATCCCAGGCTAAAGATGTCCTCTGACCGGCCAGTAGGTTGCATCTGAGCTCTTTCTGGTGAATGGTATTTCCTGTTGATGGTTTCTCCATTGACCGAAACACTAGTGCTTAGATTTGAGATGTCTTTGGACCACCCAAAATCGGTTACCCATAGTCCGTCGCGCGAGATGAGGATCTGATCGGGCTTCAAGTCTCGGTGCCTGATCTTATTGATGTGAAGGTAATCAATTGCGTGAGCAATGCAGCCAAAGGCGGTACATAGTCGCCTGATCATGGCATCATAGATTTCGGCCGGGGAATTCGAGAGCTGTTCTTGATGAGGGATGAGGGTAGCCAAGAATCTGCAAGTCTCCTTTTCTTCGTCATCAAGTTCCAGCTGGGTATAGGTTGCTACTAGTTTCCTCAGTTTATCCAGTTCCAGAAGGAATACTCCAAGGTCGCAACGGGCTACCGGCCAGATCAATAAGCCCACTTCGTGGATGCCTCCAGCCTTGCTACGACGAACGTACGATCCCACAAGTTCCACAATGTGCTGGTGCCGTCGCATCTCACTTAAGATCTTTATCTCGTTAAGTTGGGTCTCTCCAATGACTCTCGTGTACGTTCGTTTCCAGGCCAAAGCTATACCTCCAAATTTCGTTTCGTAGACAGTGCTGACACCGCCGCGACCCAACACATGGCCTTGCTCAAACGGGATTTGGTCTTTCTGGCTGAATTGTAAATGTCGAGAGGAGAAGTTTTTCGCCCATATTTCAGCAGCGTCTGACATCGCGAAATATGAACGACTTTGAAGGAGTGAACGCGACTCTGCGAGGCAGAGAACGAGTGGGTGAAATAAACGGCTCTAGATTCTCAACGCTTAGGTACTAACCAATGATTGAGCTCTCATGTATCGCCACTGCAAATGATGAAATGACGAGCCCTAAGGTGTAGGCTTGATGGATATCAGAGATGAGGAGGTGAGCAGTCGAACAGCGAATTTGGGGCCGGGGATCTTAACTCGCCAAGCATTATCTCATGCAGCAATACCCAATTACAGGAGCAACTTCAGCAAATGGCGGTGGCTCAGCAAAACGCAGCCTTGTCCCGCTTCCGGTGAAAATTTTCAAGCCTCAGGTTCAAGGACTCTCGCCGAAGGGATGATTAGCGGTGGAAACGATGTCTATCCTGGATCCGCCTTGGACCTCCAGTGACTCCACTGTTGGAAGTATATAATGTTGCTTATTTTCTGGTCCCCCGAATCTTAGGCGGGGCGTGCTTTTTCATCCAACATCCACATCTCCTCGAGGCTAAGACTTGCTGCATCGAGTTGTATTGAGATACCGACGCACCGCATCGACATCAAGAGATAAGTTAGAACAACTTGATTCGATTCACGATAGTGCAGGCTTGGTTGGAAACACGGATTTGCTTTCATTCTACGCTACAAATCACTCATATGTGCCGGCTCGAAACATGCCTATCGACATTCCTTTTCCGTGAAGAGCTGTACTTGCACCCAGCTACAGGGCAAATAAATGGCGGACCATCGCTGAAGTTCTGATGGTTGTCGATGTTGATGCCTTGCGGGTCGGCGATGGCGTTTGGACCTTGAATTGTATGTTTGGCTGCCACATGGATGCTGCACAATACATGAGTCAGAACCGAAATCGAGAGATGGCATGGCGTTGAAAGAGAGGAGGACTTACTTCAGGGAATCGAGGGATGGAAACGATAGGGGACACGATGGACAGCCGTGATACGGGCTGGCAGGTACCTGCGCGGGGGCATTGACTGGTACCAATGGCTGGAGAACAGCCGCATCGTGAAGTAGAACTGTGGCATCATGTTGGAGAAAGTCCACATTGTGTTGCGGAACGGCCGCGTTGTGTTGTAGAATGGTCGCATCGTGCTCGTTGGGTGCTTGCCGGCTGTGAAAAGAGGGACTGATATCCTGAGGTCTAGGATTGGACGAGAATAGAGGAGGAACGCTGCTATGCCTTTGCTCATTCGGTGAAGAAGCGCCATCTCGCTGAGGCGGAGGAAGTGGTTGGTAGATACGGCTGTCGAGCAGGAACGGTTCGATGGTCCCAGAATGTAGATGATGTTCGTGATCAGCAAAGGAAGTTACTGCCCGATTACTCGAAATCTAGAACCCTTCTCCGGGTGGTGTATTGTCTCTGCGCCGCTGCAGCGAAAATATTACTTCTTCAAAGACCGAACGAATGAAGAGAGGACCAGGCACAGCAACGCGAAGAAATGAGGGGAAAGGAGTGACTGCAAAAGAGTGGCGACTAACGAACGCGCCAGCGCCGCAGTGAAGAGAAAGAAAAGAGAAAGGAATCGTACACGAACGCCAGGCCTTATATATCATCTCGACCACAGCCTGGCCTTCAGCCCGAGCCTCTCTAAGCTGTTCGTACAATTTTCGGGTGTTCCGCATCGCTGATTGGGTCAACGTTCAGACCTCGCATGACCATGCAGAGATAGAAGGCCACGCATGAAGTGACGGTCTCGGAATGCCGCTGGCGTCACCACTATGTACAAGATGCTGGGAAATTTTCATGACTCTCGCATCCGACTGGCCAGGGCTTATCAGAGTGCATCTTCGCCATGATCCGGTGAAGTGATGGCATACTAGAACGTCTCAAACGGGCATGATTGTTCGATCTTGTGCATTGTTCGTGACCGTGGTGGGGTTGGCATTGGCTAGGGGACGTCCCAGAAGTATTCCTAAGCAGAGCCCAGTGGTTAGTGAAGCGTCTGATGAGCACTGAGTACCCTATCCGGTCGAGGTCAGACACGCCTTGTGCAAGACATGCTGCAGTCGATGAGAGCTGCCTCCTCTGATTTACCGTATTTGCTTCCTCCTCGCATATATAAGGATGAACGTCTCCCTCTTCCTTTGAGCATAAAAAGCACCGGATAATTTAGCTTGTCTTCCCATTACGTCCAATACGATCACGGCGTACATAATCTTCGGAGTAAGGCGTAGCCTCTAACCCCTTTGCTAGGAATCAACTAAATTACTTCTAGATTCAAGATACAATGAGTTCCATATTCTGCTGCTCCCAGGTTGGGCCTTACAAATCGCGATTCTTGAATCATGAGTCGAAGTTCCAAGAATTCGTCCAGTGGGCGGCATTCCCGGCAGCAAGCTCTGTCGAGGAGCAAAAGGACGTGGTACTCCTCCTGTCTGAGTTGGGTTACCCCTATGTGGTACAAGTTGTCCGGCAGGTCAACTATGGCCCAATTGAAAGCAAACGATATTTCGTAGTCACCAAAGGAAAGGATGGGAAGGAGCCGTTTGTCGAGGTCACCGAGGACCATCTCATCCAGGGGAACTATGAAAAGCTGAATTCGTGAGTTTTCTTCTAGTAGTTATCAAGAATGCATCTATTTGGAAAAAAAAGATGTATCGGCCGAAGCGCATAGCTAACGGAGAAGCAGATTTAAGAATTATAGATGCACCACCCAAACAAGTTCTTCGAGCTGAATGTCTACCAGAAGGACCCCGTCAACAAACATCATTGGCGCGCTAACATCGCTCGTCCAGCTGGAGAGATTGACTTGTGAACGCACGGCAAGGAAGAATGGGTAGATACGTTCAGATAAGGAAATGAATTGGACTTCGCCGTTTACTTCTGCGTGATGGTCATGCGCTCCCAAATTGAATCTGAGTTGAATAGAGCTTGCTAAGCTGGGCGGAAATAGAGCATACCTGTGACTGGCGTACAGCTCATCGTGCTTCGTGGCTGACTATGGCGTTTCCAGCCACCTTGACGCTGAAGTTAGCACGATTAGCGCAAGGGCGTTAGCGGAGCCATAGTTGCAGATTTTGCGCTAGAAAAGAATGTAAAAGACCTTGAAGACGTCGAGATGCGGATATCTTTGCTTTCCTCATTGATTGCGATCCTGTCTGGGTACATATATAGAGAGAAATGTGGTGTCGGGTTTGCTATCGTAAAGATAAGGAAACTCGAGGGCGTCCAGCAGGAAAGAAACTGAGAGGAATACAGAGCCGTGGGTTTCAAAGATGTCGCCTATAAAAAAATTCGCAATGCCTAAGGAGTCATAAAAGCATAAATCTAGCATGTCGACCTATTTCCGAAAGTAAGATAGCCGTTGCTTGCCAAGACAGTTGCTTTGAAGACGGCCAGGTCAATCTAAGAGCATTTCAGGTGCTCAAAAGATGGAAATTGGGGAACATGAAAAGAATGATGAGGATGGAAGGGAGACGAGGACAAAGTCGACGCGTGCAGTCAATAGCGCACAGACCATCCGAAATGAGGGACTCGCCCCCCCACCTCATTCGAGTCACTTCAGCGTTGCTCAGCAGACTCTTTAACGCACTGCTCGCCACCTAAAATCTCTCCTCATACTCCTCTAATACCTCTACTCGCAACACCTACCATGGCACCAAAGAAAGTCGCTGGCGAGGGCTCCAAGAAAGCAGCTGGTCAGGCCCGCAAGGCAGAGGCCGCCCAAGCAAAGCAAGCTGCAAAGGACAACCAGAAGGCCGCCGAAGAGGACAAGGAGTGGAGCAAGGGCTCAAAGTCAAACTCGAAGGCGTAAGTGCCACCAGCTGACAAGCCACGAAGCCCGCCTCGAGCTGTGCTTTGATACAGCTTCTGCATTAATCATAGCACTTGCTGACATTATTGCCCCTCTACAGTGAAGCAGCTGCAGCTAAAGCCGCCGAAGCCGCCCGGAAGAAGGCGGAGAAGGATGCCCTGCTGAAAGAGGAGGAAGCCTCTCTACCAAAAGCCAAAACCGGCAATGCCAAAACCGCGCAGAAGAAGTCAAAAGGCATCGACTCTGCACTGGGTTCTTTCGACAAACCCTCATCACTCAACGCGACTGGTATCGAAAACGCTTTGGATGCGCTTGACATAGCGGCCGACGCCAACGACAAGGTGGACAGGCATCCAGAGAGGCGGTTCAAGGCGGCCTATACGGTGTTTGAGGAGAGGAGAATGGAGGAGATGAAGGACGAGAAGGGCCTGCGACGAAACCAGAAGATTGATCAGATTAGGAAGGAGTTTGAGAAACACCCTGATAATCCGTTCAATCAAGTGGCTGGCAAGTTCAACTCGACAAGAGAAGAGCTGGCGGAGATTAGGGAGCAGGAGAAGGGCAAAAAGGAGTCGAGGCTTGCGAGCCCGACTGGATGAGAAGCTGTATGAATATGCATAGCTATATGATGAGTAATGAGGTCCCGAATACTTGACGAAGTGCTCGTTGAGTGGGGAGAACAGTGGTTCATTGTTTATGGCCTATTGCGTTAGGAATCGAATAGTCGCTATTGGTGCTCTTGTCAGTATTAGATGGCTTCTGAACATTCAAGATCGAGAAACAAGTAAAATCCTTTGGGTCCAGTGAGAATTCAATAGAGAATGTCTTTATCGTAAAGCGAACGGATGTAATACTTTGAGATGTGAAGAGAGTGACTCGGTGGCATGATTCCAATAGCTAGATCTAGTTCTGAGCCCTCTGCGTGATAACGATATTGTTTTTCGGTTCCTGAACATATGTGGGACGCGGAACTAGCTATACGCGGTAGACTATCTGTAGAAAAGAGAATCACGCTAATACGATTGCGGCAAGAGAAGAAGCGCCGGAGGTCTGACGACATTCCAATCTCAAAGGAAACCGAGGTTGTTCGCGAGCTTCGTCTTTCTTGACATTCTTATTATACGGAATCCTAACTATAAGTACTAGTCTCTGCAAAGGGTGTCCGCGTGTTTCCAGTCTTCACCGCAAGAGCTAAATCTGTCACGTCAAAGACAGATATCCAATACCTATATTCCTTTTCTATCAAAGTCTACGACTCGTGTCTATCATATCGCCACTCTTTTCATTTCTTGCTACATCTCGAGTTCCTTGTTTCTTTCTCATTCCGAAACTCCTCTCGAGCACGTCATGGCATCAACCACTCCCAAGGTCATCTTCTTAATGGCTGATTACGGCCACGACCCAACCGGTAGCACCCATCACTTCTGCTTAATTCATATTCAAGAACTAACCCATCACAGAGACCGGCCGCCGGGGAGGAATACGAGGTTGTAGGGGAATAGGGTAAAGCCGGAGGTGTTCCAGGAGATCGGAGAAGTATACTCCGGGGCGGAAGACATCTCTTTATAGAGGTTCAGCGTTGCTTGGTTGGCTCCCTAGTGACGTAAGATTTTAGATGAAAGTTCGTGTGCGCTTTGAGGGGGCGACTGGGGTAGACTGACGAGGAGCTTTTGCGTCCATCCTTGGAGCATCTTCTTATCGCACTCGAGCGCTTTGCCTGCTTCGGTTGCGAAGGCGATGATGAAGCCGGCGGCCTTGAATGCTGCGTACGGGACGGCATGAATAAGGGGTCCGCCAAGTGATAGACTCGCCCATCATCCAAACTCAGCTTGCGGCTTACTTCCCGCAAACTTTCAAGTCCTCGAAGTCCGCGAAGGCGGTGGCGGCCATCTGCCACGGCGTGCTCGGGTTGTCTGAAGCGAAGGGACCAGACGGGAAAAGCGTGTTGTATGATGTTACGACTACGGCGTTGCCGGGGAAGATGGAGCAGGGGATCTTTTGGGCGACTAGGGCGGTGTTGGGAGATTATTACAAGACGTATGAGGCTGGGAGCGAGAGCGTAGAAGCGGCAGTGAGAGGAAGGATGCGAGAGCCAGAGAGTCAGTATAAGAGTAGTCTTACAGGGAGTCCGTAAGTTATGCGTGGCTTCTTTGAAGGTAATGAGTGCTAACGTTAGTGATTTTAGATTTGTTGTTGCGGATGAGAAGTATAATTATTTGAGCGGAAGATTCCCGCCGGATGCACAACTGCTAACTGAGAAAGCAATTAAATTGGTCAGAGATATCGTGAAATGATGAATGTTCTGGTTTCCTTGATGATCATAATAATATCTCTCTCGTCCTACTGTACATATCTTATCTTGTATTCCACAATATCCCTAGCATCAAATCCTATCCCTTCTTTTCAGTCCCGACCTTCTTAGCTGAGCTTGGATTGACGCCCGCCATAGCGTTATCAACGCCGCTCCACCGTCGCACTAGATACTGCAATCCGGCTGGTAATACGCCTAGAACATCAATCCATCTCGCGTAAAGCGGTACCGCAATAGTGCCGCCACGACCTCCATCGACCAGACGAATGATCTCCTTGGCTATATCTACCGGTGCAAGGACGGGGGCTAGAAATGCCGATGGTGTCTTCACGTTCGCGAACATTGGTGTAGAGAACTGCCCTGGTTTGCAAAGGATTGTGCGGATGTATTGGCCTCTAGGATCTCTAGCTAGCTCGGCCTCCAGGGAGGCGTGCATGGCGAGAAGAGCAGCTTTCGAGGCTGTATAGTCTGAGAGATTTGCGGCGCCGAGATGACCGAGCACGCTGGAGACCGTGACTACGGTGCCTCGTTCTTCTTCGAGCATGCCCGGGAGGAACGCCCTAAGGGTATGGAAGTGTGAGAGTGTGTTGATTCGGAAGGTTCTGGAGTATGTCAGCATTATTCACGCTTCAGTAGGAAGAGTCGTGGGCACTTTTCTATCTCCTCAGATGAAAGCTCGAGTAGCGATTTGCCATGGACAATGCCAGCATTGTTGATTAGAATCGTAGGGACACCAAGCTGTGCGAGGTCAAAGTCAGCAGTGCTCATTCCAAAGTGACGTATGAGATCGCATACATCTTCAACGATTCGCTTCCCCGCCGCCTCCACCTGCTTCGGGTCTCCTACATCACACTCATAATATGCAATGCCCTTCTCCTCAGCCTCATCTTCCGAGAACTTCTTCACATCCAACACAGCAATATTCGCATTCCGCATCCCATACACCTCGGCGATCAACGCGCCCAGCCCACTTGCCCCGCCCGTTATCACAATCACCTCCTCGCTGAGATCCACCTCGCGCGGCGGGCCGTACGCGATGCGGTCGTTGATCAGGCCCAAGATACCGTAGACCGTAAGCAAGGACGCCCATGCAACAGTAACATACATGGACGGGTGGTCGTACGGCGTTGCCTGGGCGCGAAGGCAGAGGGGTATCATCCACGCGACGAACGGGTGCAGAACCGTGTAGCTGAGGACGTTTACGATGAGGTCGAGGGTCAGGTAATGGTGCCATGGCTTCTCGACGCCTGATACGATTGCGCCTTCGGGCATCTTCGCGGGTATCGTTTGAACCATTGTGGTTGTTGGGGGGTATATTGCGGCGCTTAGATGGCGGGTTGTTCTAGACACTAGATTACGATATGGATTAATTTGAAGCAGAAGAAGAAGCTATCCTGGATCCCGTGGAGTACAATGGAGAACTGTTAAAGGGTGACAAGACGATACAGAAGACATGGTGTTCTCTTTGCCGCCGCCTTCTTCACGCGCTGCGTTTCAAGGGGACCATTCGGCGATCGAAAGACTTTCACCGCTCCAAGGGATTGGCTTACATACTCATACGGCATACTTAACTAACGTAGTCTGCGAGCCAGTAGCCACCCCAATTTTTAGTGCAACTCGGACATTTTAGCACCCCAGCAATCTCAACAACCACAAAAGATTTCAAGTTGGAACTTAGGATAATGATATGCGTAGCCATTTTAATGTAATTAGTAGACCTTTTTAGGTCTCTCAGTAGCTCTATTTAGTTACAGTAGAGTTTTGGCCCTCATAATCAGTAATATCTACGATACAGCGGAAATACACCTACATATCGCTCTAAACCTTTGTACCTTTCTGTAGCTATTAGAAAGGGCTAAGTAGTATACGCCCTTACATGATTTTATTTAATAGTATGTGGTTGTTGGGGTGCTAAAACGTCCAAGTTGCATCAAAAATTGGGGTGGCCACTGGCCCGCGGCCCGCAGACTACGTTACGAGTAGTGTATTATGTTATCGTATGCCGTAATTCACTACCCCTGACATCAACCTGCACCATAACGGCTGTCACACGCAGCCGTGCAACGTTCATTTAATTTGCAAGGGATCTTGTATGACCGCATAATCCATGATCTTCAGACGACCCCCGGAACTGCTTCTTAAGGTTACATTCGAAGCCGCCTTCTCCGCTTATGGATATCGACATCACAATATCATCAATAGAACATGACATGCAACGCCGCGAGGCAATTAGATAAGTTAGATGTGACAACTCCATCACAACCTTGGAACTCTCTATAAGAAGCTTGGCAGAGTTCCAGATGCAACTTGCACTCTTCACAAGACAATCTCACAGTCGCAGCAAGGTACATGGTACAAGCACACAGTACCATTCCGCTAGTGGCAACAATATTCGCGCGAGTACCTTCACCGACTCCTTTCTGCCTACTAGCGATTCGGCCTTTTAGTGATTCTAAGCTCTTAGCATAGTCATACCTGACCAGAACGGTCTGAAATAGATTGGGTATGGTGCTATCGCTCCCGAAAGTTCTGGAATTTGCATCTGGTCTTGATTTAGCACTTCAGGCTTTACCCTTCCAGGGCGGTTGGTACTCCCTGACGGCTTGTGACTTACCGTGGGCGTATATCCGGGTCTCAATTGGAAACATGGTTACGGATCACACAGCATATTTGAAGTAGAGTGGCAGGAAATGACCAGAGGGTACGAATATCTATAAAGCTTTGCTTTGCTCAATAAAGTTCTCGTCTCTCATCTACATATGATCATCTCAAGATTACTCGTTAGCTACTATGCGTTTCCTTCCAGCTATCATCTCCGCTCTCGCGGTCCCCCTCCCTTTAGCCCTCGGAGTAGGAACAGCCTACGTCGTGAATAGCTGCGATTACGATATCTTCGTCTGGTCCGTTGGCTCAAACGTCGGGCCTAAGAGTACGCTTCACCAATTCGACACATACAGCGAAGGGTTACGCTATGATAACAAGACCGGCGGCATTTCTATCAAAGTCACGACGAAAGACAACGGTCTCTACGACGCCAGTCCGCAATTGAACTTTGCATATACTTTGGACACAGCAAACAACACCGTCTACTACGATCTCTCTGATGTCTTTGGAGATCCTTTTGCGAACGAGACCGTGCTGCTGTATGCGAAGCAGGAATGCCCGTCTATCGCTTGGCCTGAGGGAGTTCCTCCAGCTGGTAGTAAAACGCAGGCGTGTGCTGATGACACAGGCCTTTGGCTGGCTCTGTGTGGCCAAGAGGTACCGCCCAGTCTGCGCCTCCCCAGAGACTCCAAATCGGAACTAACGTGTTTCAGCAATAAGAAAGAGTAGGCACATTATGTGGAGGCCGATGGTGGTTTTCGTTGAAGGACATATGTGTTGCGAAATGAAGTCCGTCCGGTAGATGATATCATGTACCTCACTGTTTCTTCATACATTTCGACGGCTACTTGAACACTTGCAAATGATTCAATACAGGGCTTCAAAGAACACATGACTCAAAGTTCCCTATTGGTTTGGGTCTTACATCTCGCTAGCTCCCTTTCCTCATGCCTCTTTCCTCCTCAATCAATTGGCGGCGATAAGCCGAAAAACATCCCTGCCGCGGTGCAAGTGCTGGAAGGATGTGGTCGATGGACAGTGATGGTAGGTACGAACATGGCGCCTCTCTCGTAAATAAATACTGGTGCTCGCCCGCTTCTTCCCTTTCTTCTTCACATCCAAACCAACAGCTTTCCCCACCAAGAGTATTACTCGATCCGCTCCAAGCTCCGCAATTCATCAGCATCATCATCACTCTCACAGCTCTATCTTCTAGCCATCAGCTTACCTCTCTCACCCACTCGCCTCTCATCCGCTCGCCATAGTCCCATCCTCGACCGCATCCGACTTGGTACCACCACCAAGCTGCCCCGACCATTCGGGCCTGACATCGTAAGCCCCCACCTACATCTCTTCAAAGCTTCTACTGACTTGGCAAAGATGCACTCCACCATGATCTTGTCGTCTGTCTGTCTCCTCTCGGTTCTTTCATCCCTGCCAGCAGTCACTGGCAAAGGCACCGCCAACGTCAGGAACGAATGTGACAAACCAGTCTACATCTGGACCGTCGACAGCAAGTCCACCGGCCCTGAGATCGTCCAACCCAACGAGGAATACACCGAGGATATCCACGTCGATGGCAGGAAGCATGTCGATGCGAAGAAGAAGGCTGGCGTTGCCATCAAGATTAGCCGTGAGCCGAATGGCCTCTTCGTCAAGAACTCCCCACAGCTCCTACTACAGTACAACGCCGATCCACCCAAGCTTTGGATGAACCTCCACGAGATCAACGGACATCCCTTCGACGGAAGCCCTTTGTCGGTGGCCGGTTGCGGAGACGACATCACCTGGCCGACCGGTGTCAACTGGAAGGATCCGAAGGGAACCGGGAACGGGACTACTCACTGCCAATATGGTCAGTCCATCACGTTGACGCTGTGCGGTTTGTCAGAACCTACTCCTAGTAGCAATGAGCTCGATTGCGGCCCAAGACGGAGGGCGCAGGCTTGCGCACCTGCGCACGGAGTTTGTGCCGGTGACCTCGTTAAGAACGCTGGTTGTTGCCCCGAGCTTGTTTGCATGGGTGGGATATGTCGAGACTTTTCACTCCCAGTGGGCGTGGAGGAGCACGTGGACCCCTGGGAGATTATAGGGACAAACACCACGGCTCTGTAGTAGGCCGGAGGTGCTGCGGCTCTGAGGATGGCTTCGCTTTGTTTCTTCTTCTTTTTTTTGTACTGTACACAGCTTCTGCTGAGCGTTTCAATTGACCTTCTTGTCCCGTGGTTTGATATAATGTTCCCTGCGTGACACGCTTCAACCCATGAATGCGAGCATCTCCCAGACTGGAAAACCATTGAGACGTGAAATACAAACGCTCGATCCACAGAATATCGAGGATAGCTGTGCCTTTATCTGGATGCCCTTATGTCACGTGCCAGGGCCGCACGGGCCCCAGAAGTGAAGAGTCCGATAGCCGACGCTAAGCTAGAAGCATGAGCACCAACGGGTCATGCTCCACTCGGGCTGGGCGGCGGATGATTCCCAGCTTTATGTTGCCAATTGTCCAACACGTCTCTCTACCTCTCTTACAACCCTCAAACCCTCGCTAGACATGCCCTAGCTAACCTTGGCCTGACTTAGAAGCTCTCGAGACATAGGCACCTACGACCTAGCTTCTGGCCGCTCTCCATCACCACCGCATCCTTCCTCGCAAAAACCGCCCGCTATTGCATACAACAACCTTGGACACTATGGCACGGATTCGCAGTGTGTCGCCAGCGGACGGCTTCCCGCTGGGTCACTCCGCAACCTCGCCGCAGCCGCAGGTGTCGAAGCGGGACAAACGGAGGAACATGCTCTCGGACAAGCTTCAGGAGATGGTGGCATCTTTTGCGGACAATAGGGACACCCACTACAAGGCCCAGCTGGCTGCGGTACAGGCTGACATGAACCTGATTATGCGAGCCGACCCCTATGCGAACAAGCCTCTAGAGGACGGTGGTGAAGAAGCCGCCGAGCTCATTCAAACCATCTTGGGAAACCACACACGCCCGGCACCAAGCGCGGAGACAGACTACGTCGCGCAAGTGGGATCATACTATTCACGGTTTGTGGAAGCCGTCAATGATGCCATGGAGGAGAGAGACTACAACTTGACCATGCTTTGGGTGCGTACACGACCTCAAGCCCTTCCATCCGTTCGTTGTGCATGCGCTGACCAGGTTTTGATCCGCAGAACAAACACCAAAGCGCTAGGCTAGAGCACGAGAACACCCACCAGTACAAGGTTCGCGTTGCCGAGGAAGAGCACCGACTCTTGGCTGCGACGGTGCGCGAGCGCCTCACTCAGAGCATCACGGCGCGTAGAGCGCGATTGCTACGCGAAAAAGAGCAACTCGATCTTGCAGACAGCAATGCGCTGCTCCTCCACCCCAACCAATTTAGCATAACAAACCCCGCAAGCCCCGGAGGTGTCCAGAGCAATCGGAAAACGCGGCACACAAGACATCGAATCGACCCAGACGACTTGGCGGGCGCAGCGGCCGCAAATGAGAACAAGAAGAAGCGGAAGCTATTTGAGGCAGAAGACAATGGCTCGCCAGGACCATCTGGCAGAAACGCCGATCTGGGGACGAATTCGCCCTTCAGAGACGCCAAGGCGAGGACGATTCACACCCAATTCGAAGCCCCGGCATATTCGATAGAGCGTCTCTTTACCGAGAAAGAGCTCGCCATGTCCATGAATAACGCTGCCATAGCAGCCGCACACTTCTTTGCCAAGATGAAGAATGCAGATAACACTACCTCTCAAGATCCAACCACAAATGGTACGAACGGCGTGAGCCATGAGAATGGTTCGGACAACGAAGTCAATTCCAATGAGATAGACCACGATTCGGACTCCCCCCCAGGCCCGCCTGACATGCTCCGTACAATGTCGCAATCACACCACGCAACCCGCGGTGCGACTCGTTCCGCTTTAGGCGATCTCGCGTCCCTCGCCACACGCTCATACCCATTCACTGCGGCACAACCAATAATCCTACCCGCCAACATCGGCTCGAAGCCGAATGCCGCTGCTCCGAGTCCTGCGCCGTTGCAGGCCCAAGATGCGGAACAGGATTTCATGATCATATTCCGAGACGCGCCAGCAAATGATGCCCTGAATGAGAAACTCCTCGCCGATGCCGTCGCGCCCCTAAGAACTCGCGAATATCAGTACCAGCCTCCCGGCTGGCAACCTCCAGTTCCGGAAATCACCACAAATATTCGGACTGTGGCTCCGCATCTGGAGGTCGGCATTGGCGGCACCTCAAGCGGGATAGGAGGCGTGCCTATGAGCGCGCAAAGTAGTATGGGTGGCTATAGTGAAATCGGTGGGGGTGTGGCGATGAATCGGTTTGGTGAAGGTAGCTCGCTCGGTGGTGTCGGGATGCGGAGGACGGCGAGTGGTGCTGGATATTCTGAGATTGGGGAGGAATCCGGACCAGTACGAGGAGCGGGAAGCGGAAGGGGCAGGAGGGGCGGTAGAAGGGGCGGTTAGGTGAGGCATTGGCAAGGTGATCAGGCTTTTGGGCTACGGCGTAGACGGGATTCATTCACCTTAGGTTTTGGACTACTATATCCCCCGGACCATCTCATAGCGAACGGAGCTCGCCATGGTAGGCTTTTAGGGATCTGAGCATAACGTTACCTTAGCGGCTGGTGCTATGTGTTTGTACAAGATTGGCAGGCATCGGGAATTTAACTCTGACTTCTTGCGTTGAGCCTGTTGTTTTACGAGTGCGGTGTGTCTTGCTTTCTTTGATACATATTAGACTAGTATATCTCTGTCTTGTTGTCAACCCACAGGAATGCGACCCCGCTTTAATATCCTAAAGACAAAGAGCAGTGAGATTAACGCCTTGCTCATGAACATGTATGTGGATGAAGTCCGCCCATGATCTCTTGGGCAGTTACGGAGCTCACCATTGGCAGGTGAAAAGGAAGCTTTCCGCTCCTCTCCGCCACCCCACTTCGCTCCGCTGCCAAGCAGCTAGGTAAGCGTAATAAACACGTCTTCAATAAATATCGCTCCATCGCGTCGCATGAAGACCGCCACAATCACAATCACCTATTCCCAGCTCACATCCGCCGCCAAGAATGTCAAAAGCTTCCACTTCCTACAAGAAGCAGGACGGCAAGCTTCTGGTAGCTCAAAATGGCAGGACAGTGACCTGGAAACCGAATGCCCCGTCAATGCCATCGTTGACGATAGCTATTTCTGAGATTGCCAGTAAGACCCCCAAGCCTTCCCTTTCGGCTGTGCAGCCTTGAAGACACTCACGCACGCACAGAAGCTCATTTTAGTCGTCACAGATCTTCAACAGACACCTGAGAAGAGCGCCAAGGTCTCTATCAAGATTGTCGTCCAGCGCTTCCCAGACGTCCCCGCAGAGAACCACACCTTCAGCTTCACATCGCCAACATCTGCTCGGGCGGAGCAAGCAGCAACAACCGCCCTCCTCCGAAAGCACATCGAAGCTGCAAGGGCCTCAGGCGCGAACACTCCAGCACTGGCAGCAGAAGATGCGCCCAGACAGCCAGCAGCCCTGGCCATCGCCCAAGCAGTTTCCGCAGGCGCACGAGCTGAAGACAATATGTACGAAGACAGTCGGCTGATGTCAGATACCGAGCTCCAGAAGGGACTGCTGAATGCAAATCCAGAGCTCTTCCAAAGATTCAATCAAGCTTTGAGAGAAAAGCCGGACACGATCTCAATAATCCAGTTCTCTACACAGTTCTGGGCGGCAAGAGTACACCTGCTACGTGCATATGCCGTAGAGAAGAGTCAAAATCAAGGAACGTACAACGTGCTGTCAGAGATCAAGCCGGTGAATGTCGACGGTGCTATGAGGCTCAACATCAGTAAGGAACAAATCCAGCTTATCTTCAAACAGCATCCTATGGTGAGGAAGGTGTACAACGAAAACGTGCCCAAGTTGAACGAGGGCGACTTCTGGAGTCGGTTCTTCGGTAGCCGACTGTTCAAGAAGTTGAAAGGCGAGAAGATTACTGAAAATGACACCGTTGATCCCAAGCTCGATCAGTATTTGACCTTCAACGAAGACGCCGACCGCACTGAACAATTTGTCATGGCTCACGTACCCCATATCATTGATTTGGAAGGAAATGAGCAGAACCACAGCCAGAGGCTGGGCAACCGGCCGGATTGGACGATGCAACCTAGCACAAACGAAAAGGTGCCCATCTTACGCGTGCTCAACACCATGAGTGAAAAGATGTTAGCCGATGTAAACCCCACAGATGCTGCTGATCCGCACGCACCGGCAGGTATGGACGAGGAAACGTATAAGGAATTAAAGCTACGAGATCTTCAGCGTGGGGCTGATGACAATCGAATCATGCTCAACATCAGCAACCAGGAACAATTCTTCACGGGCAGTCATGGCACGCAAAACTCCAGCAGTGCCACTTACGCGAAACGAAGTCCCGGCAAAGTTCTTTCCGCAGTACGAGAAGACTTTCGGAACATCTCGGACAGCATGTCAAGTGGCGGAGGCCTGAATCTCGAAACAGCTATTGGTACCCAAGAGGATACTGATAGCGAGGATGATGAAGAAGGCGTAGAAAAGAAGGCTCGCGTAGGCAACAAACAGAGTCGAGGGGCAGCCACACTGCAGATCATGCAGGCGATCAATCAGCGCCACTTGCACCTGGATGATCAGCTTCTCTCGAACACATCCACAGCGGAACAAGCTGCAAAGGTTGGGCTGACATCGAGCGTGCTTGACACACTGACTATGACACACAACACCACCGTGGAGTTCCTGCATTACTTCTGGACGGTATTTTTATCTGGCGATGCAGACCGGGCTGTTGAAGCCGAGAGGTTGGTGGAAACACTGGCCAAGTCGCTCGAAAGAATCAAAGCAGTGGCTGACACCGCGGAGAAAGAACGAGCGCACAAGTTAGGGGAGCAGAAGAAGCGAATCGAAGAACACCTCCAAAAGACAGGCAAGCGGAGGAAGTTCGACCCCAATTCGATCAAGGGCGGCTCCAAGGCAGTCAACGAGATGATGGGACCCATCACGAGGGCGATCGGGTCGGCGCTGGAGCAGTATAAGCGGGCGTATGAGGAACAGAGGGCACAGATGTCCCAGCTCCAGACGATGCTATAGGGTTGCGGATCTCCTTCTCTCCTTTCGTTGTCTTCATAGCGATGGCGTTGTGGCTGGGGAGGACCGGCTCCCGGAAACCAATGGTCCGTGTTGATCTCTGAATTTATGTCTTGCTGTTATGCTCGCGATTCATGAGGTGCATCTAGCCAACCGCACGCACGACACCGCCGGCGGGTATCAGGCGTCGCCCGGGTAAGGTAATACCAATACCGGGCGCGTGGAACGGTAAGATCAATCGGTACCCGCGCGCAGGGAGGGCGTGGGACGGGAGTCCCGGTGACGAGGGCCCTCCCGCAAGCCAATGGCACGGGCTGGACACAACTCCGCCACATGCCGCAGTCTGCCGGGAAAGTGTGGAGACGGCCCTGGTCAAACGGCTTTCGGCTTGGCAGGGCGGCGGGAGTGAATGGCGGTGGAGGACCTGACTCGGGTTAATTTGGAATCTTTGAGCTCGCCAGCCTCGTGGGCGTCAGTTGGGATGCTCGGAGATGGCTGGCCGATGGGAATGGCGGCCCTGAAGCAGTATTTGGCGTCACAGATCGACTCTCGCGTGGCTGCGATCAGCAACTCTGTTTGAGAAAATGGCCTGATTCTCACAGCAGCAGCTGCGTCTCCGGCAACAGTGCTGAGGAATCTCTGTGTTGTTGTGCCTGCGCGGTGGTCCGGCGACCTCGATATGTAGAAGACCCTGTGACATCATGGAGCTTGGATCCGGCGTCGTTTGCCTAGTAGATAGACGCAGCTTAAAACACCCGCTGCCGGCCTCCTTTCCCCCGCGAAACAGCTCCCCTTCCGCCGCGCAAGCTCCGAATTCCTTCCATGATATATCGTTTACTAGCCTGCAGCTTCGTGTCTATGAGTTCTGTGCGTGTCACGCGGTTGCTTCATTGCTTGTGTTTCAATTGGCACTGGCGCGTGCTCGGCGCCTTCAATCTGAGACCCGCGCCAAGCATGTTGCAATCCTGCCTCCAATGCTTATGTTGCTTATTCATGCTTAGGCATACATATGTAAGTGGTTTTTAGTATTTCAATTGCAAAAAATCAGCATGAAAGAGCTTGGGGCACAGGGGCTATGAGCAGATAGGGGCTAGGACGTCACGCCCCAGGATTGGTTTAATTGGTTAAACATACTGCCACTTAAGCTATACTCCGGTGTTACCTCCAGCTATAACGAGTGGTGTGTCAAGACAAGGACATGAAATCGCAAAGGAAGAGAAGGAGAAAGAGAGACCATGAACTCCCAGAGAGCATACTGTCGCTAGGAACCTTGATGGTTCGACTAGCCAAGTACGGCAACTCTTCCCTCCGAAAAAACACCTTCGGCGTATGACATCTACACTCTTTTTGTTGTTTAGACCGGCATGCGTTGAGCTTTGGTCCTTTTTCCGACACCGTACCTAGGCATGTGCGATGATAGCTGACGTTGTTAGGCGCACACATCAACCACCCATCGCCGCCCTGCGTGTCGTCCTAGTTCAGGTTTTTGACGGGGTCCCAGTACGTGACTACTCCCGAGGTTAGCGCGTGATCGACTGTCACATGGGTACTGCTGGACCGCAGCCTTATGCTGAAGCTACGCACCTTGAGCAGTATGTTTCCCGTGGCCGGCATTCGGCTCCGTGAGCTCGGTTGGACGTCTACAATTCCGGTTGTCTCTATATCGGAACACATGCCAGAGGGTCCAACGAATTACCCAATTATCCCTGGTGGCCTGGTTTTGGATTGACCCGTAGTCGTAGTAGGGACGAGTCTCTTCGCTAGCGAGCTTCCAGATGTTCAAGACCTCCCGGTGCATGGCCGTCTCCGTCATGTTATCTGCCGAGTAAGGGGGTCGAATGTTCGGATCGCGCATGTTCTGGGCGTAGAGGTTGTTTGGATCTTGACTCAATCGATCCCTGCCGGCAGATGCTTCGTCCTGCGCCCCCAATTCCGATCAGCAACGTCAAAGAAGCGAGAGGCTGTTACATACCAGCAAGTGTCGGTATAGCAGCTTGTGCGAGTGCTCAACGTCATTCAAACCAAGACGAGCAAGAAATTCCTCCTTCCTCGCACTCCTGGCCAGATAGGAATTTTTTGGAAGAGGCATTTTTGGCCAGTGTCGAGCTATTGCGAGTCAGGAAGATGCTTGTGCGGTAAGGAAGCAGACAAAACCAGCAGCGGATCCCTTGTTTTGACGGAGTCTTCCAGCAGCTGAAACCGACGGTCGATTCTTATAGTTCGGTCAAGGACTCTCCACAGTGAACGGCACAGCAGATAGGCCGCTAGCCATTTGACTAGGGGTGCGGTCGTCCCACCTTACCGGAACTCTGGGACCCCTCAATCGCACGTTGGGCATGATGAGTGGTCAGTTATGCTGCAAGATGGCCTGCGGACTGGGGAGAGTGAGCCTGCCAGCACAGCCTTCGCCCCATGCATGAGCTCTGACGACAGTTCCCAAACCCGGACGAGCTAGGAGGGGATGGACGCAGCCAGTCCCCATCAAGAACTGGCACTCTTTTCGGTTTTCGCCGATCCGTCGGGTGATCTGATGACAGTTTGCACTGGCTGCATACCGGTGCATCTCTATGCAATGGCGGGAGCGCTTGCGGACTATCTCATTCGTCAAGGAGGCGTTCAACAGTCCAATGGCGGAGGTTCGCTGGTCGTTGGGGAGTGGAACAACGAGCAAGGGCTTGTTCAGCTCCTGGCAATGGACAACAAGGCTTATCTCATCGCGGCGACGGTATTCGAATTCGGCACTAGCATCCGATCGGTTCACTGGGCGGAGTCTTCCGGACCAGCGATCTCTGCGGATTTCCTGAGGGCGCTGTTGGATCGGCGCATTGTCTGGCGCCAACAGTAGACACGACGAGCGAGCATGGACACGACGGCGCTGGACGGCACCCCAAACGAACAAGACGTGCGGCACCTGTCCCAAGGCAGCAGCAGAAGCTCCCTCAGGCCATTCTTGCATTTGTGATTTGTCTAAGGCGCCCTGTTGTCTTGGTGTGCTCAAGTCAGGGGTCGACGATGGCCCGGGCTCGGAAGCATATGGGTGCCATCACTTCACGCTGAGTGGCTGGAGAAGCGCAACGACACCACATGGCGGGCTTGGGGAGACGTGTGGGGCAGTCTGCATTCCAGTTCCTCGCCTGGACGGCTGGCGGGAGCAATTGGGGCTCGAGGGAGCCGTTTTTGGCGGTACATGGGCCACGATTGGGCTCGCCGTGGCTAGCTGTTGAGCAGGCCAATTGGGGAGGAGAGGGGATCGACGATGGCAGTGATTCGATGTAGCACGATTTGCATGCAAGCGGCGGCCCTGACGCAGGCCGACACGGCGCCACGATGCTGAATTCTGGCGTCCTGCGACAACATCATCCATACTCCTCGACACGCCGGCTCAGCGCCACGCTCAGACGTCGTGCCGGCGCTGTGGCAGAGCCATTCTGACAGTGCACGGAGCGTCCCCGGGCTCGGAGAGCTTCTGGAAGATGCATCGAAGGGCCTGGCAGCGCCACAGACGGGCCTCCTGCGCTCTGGGCACGCCGCTGTGATCGGCGGCTCTCAAACCGGCTTGTGCTCAGGACCGGCACCCCCAGCGCGGGACCTGCCATGTCCCGTACCGCGCGCCCGAACTCCCAACGGTGAGCGGCTACCCGACGGTCGCTTGTGCCAGTCCAGGCAGCGCTGACGCTCAACTGACGCCGAACTGGCGCTCCACGCCGCTGCTCAACTCTCGCTCCCGTCGCCGCGCCGCGATGCCGGCTATCTGCCCGCTCCTTGCTGCCAGGGCCCATCCTGGCGCATCTCGCTCCGGCGATCTGGGCCGGAGATCCACGTCCGGGGGATCTCACCACGACGCCAGGACGCACTGCTGAGCGGAGCGCGCCAATGCCCGTCGAGCAGCGTCTGTTACCACCCGTCCCTTGGCCGACAGCCGCCACCAGCAGGCAGGCCCGGCGGTTGGGCGTTGCGAGAATGTCGGCTAGCCTCCCGACGAGCAGAATCCCGGGTTGCAGCCCAGCCTGCGTGCGCCATGATGGCACTTCGGGGGCGGCCGCTGCTCGTCACTGAGCCCTTCGGCCCCTATGATGCGTTTGCAATGGCAGGGCCTGGCAGCCCGGGCCTGGCAGCCCGGTTCTGCCAGCGGGCGGGCCAGCCGCAGGGCTCGCACCCCAGGGGGCCGTGAATCGTCCCGCTCGCGCTGCCAAACAGGCCCAAACGGGACATCGAGTCTCCATGGACACATCGAGATCGCTCCGAGCTGTCAGATCAGACGAGATCCACCGGATTGCATTCCAGAGCGGCTGAGGCGCTCTTCCACGTGGCCCGCAGGGTCCCGCTCGGGCGCGAGGAGCACTCGTTTCTGCTCTCCAGGCCACCGGCGCAGAGCGCACCGTCGGCGTTGGCGTGGAGCGTGCGGTGCGACAGGCGCTGTCCAGAAATCCCTCTGTACGTCGTGGCCCTAGACGTTGCCCGTGTGGACCAACGCCTCCTCTGCTCCCCTTCTCCCTGCCCGGCAGTGGCTGCAGCACTCGCTCGACACGGCAATAAAAAGCGACACCAAAGACAAAACCTGGAGCCGTACTCGACTCGGGATTTAAGCTTTCTTTTTGCTCGAGACATGGGCGTTGCGTTGGGGGGCGTCCACTGTGAGGCCCGAGCACAGACAACTCCGCCCCAGGCTGCTGTACCACCATCGTCAGCTGCTGCCGCGACCCTCCCACGTCTCTTCTCCCGCGAGCGGGCTGGCGGCGCGATTTGGAATGCCATGCCATGTTGGTGCCAGTGCGACCTGGCACGGGGTTCTAGAGGCCGCCTCCTGTGCCAGACGCCGTTGCTCTGCTCCTGCTCTCCACATGCCTTGGCATCGATCGGTGAAGCAACGTGCTCTTCTCCCCGTCACAGCGACAGGCAGTGGCGACGATGCGGAGGGCAGCTCGAGCATTGGGCATATGCTTGGTGGTTGTTTCTTTCAATTTTCAGCCCTTGTAGCCTGCTCTGGTCTGGATGATCGGACAGACCGACGCTCGATCCTCATCACTCGTCTTCGATTGGCAATCGGCCATGGCTGCCCCCAAACCAGACACCAAGACTCCCCTTTGCCAGGAGAAGAGTCACCATGGCCTGCTACTGGCTCCCTCCCCAGAGCCATCTGACGAGCGGGCTCCCCGTGGCCCTATTGACGGCGCTTCAGGCATTTCGTCAGTCCTGCCCGCCCTCCACTCTGCAAACTCTCCTACTGGTCCAGATCCCCTTTCTGGCTTGTTGACTGCCACGTGCGTCAACGAAATCGGCTCACCGATCCAGCCTGGGGAGCCAGAGCGCGTCATTAGCCAGGACGTCGGGGACGATGCGTACGCCCAAAACAAAAAGGAGTCCTGCAAGGATCCCAAACCACGTCCCGTGCCGTGCAATCTGGCACTTCGATTTGCCAACCGGCCAAACGGCACACAGCTCACAACTATAATCGAGCAGAGATCTTACTCGACGCTAAGCTCGCTGCCGTCTCTTATCAGCACCCCTCGTCGCTATACGTCTGGCCAGTTGAGCGCCAGCCATTCATCCAGCACTCTATCACCTAATACGAGATGTCAAGAAGGTGCCAGCCGGCGAGAGGTGTCGAGGAGTCTGGACGAGGTGGCTTTGCACAAGGTCTTCGAGGCTGCCAAACAGAGATTACAAGAGGCTACGAGCGTCAAAACTCATAGCACACCGAAATACGCTCCTGAACAGCCCGTAGTCGATACGCCCAAAGATGTCCCAGTTGCTACTCAACTTGACACGACCCCTAAAGACTCCAGCAAACCTCCACCCTCTCCTGTCACTCAACCTCAACCTCCTCCCCCGGACCATGAACGGGAGGGCAGACCAGTGAGGCAAGTTCTTCGGACCCTTTTCGACACGGTGCGTAAAGCACCTCGACACACGCTTTCTCTCTCTGCCTTGAGAACTCGCCCAAATCAGGACACATCGATTCACGACACGTCGATCTTTCGATCAGCGAGATACAAGGGACTTTCAGAGCCGTCAACAAAAGGTGACTCGAGCGGCCACACACACAGGAGGAAACGCGCGGTACACGAACCCAACGTTACTGGGTCTGTCCATGTTGGTTACAACTTATTGTCGGGGCGATCTGCGAGTCCTACCCGGAAGGAGAGGGGAGGCCGCGATTCCAAGGCGACCTCTCACCAGCCAGAGAACGCGCCCGGCAGCGAATCACCAGCAATATTCCTGAGAGGACACCATATTCAAGAAGACCAAGCAATTACGCCGAGCTGCACAACGCCGGTATTGTTGAGACCTGGCGAAATCTCAGCTTCGCCTACGCCCTCGCCGTCGCAGTTCTACACACCACCGACCGCGCCCATCATCTCATCGAAGCGCTTCTCGATCCCAAACAATGCACCGACGATCGTTCCCCCTATCACTCCTCTTCCGCTCTCAGTCAGAGGTAGAGATGGCGAAGATGCGCGATATTCGTTTGATGGAGTCCTTCTCTACCGTCCGAACGCCCCTTCACTCCACAAATACGACCGTAGCCGCACCACCAGTGGCAGCTCCTTGTCAGTCTCTAGTTCTATTCTAGGGATAGACGGAGAGTCCAACTTAGAAGCTACCATAGCACGGAAGGCAAAGGCTACCTTAGTCCCTTACCACGCCCATAGCCGCCTCCCTACGTACGCGACGACAAACACCAGCTCGAACCCCAGCACTCCCCTTCCCTCCAACGACGGCAGCGACAACACCCACGCAACAACTACCGGTACCGACTTCAGCCTCAGCGTCAACGCCGCCCTCCCAAGCGTCTTCCACGCCCCTAAACCCGCCGCCTGGTTCGCCTCCAAATCCCCCCTCCTCACCCCCCACCCGCCGCCCACCCACATCAAATCCCACACCCTCACCTCCGCCGCCCTCCCCGTCCTCCTCCCCTTCGCCGCCGCAAACGGCATCGTTACCACCTCCACCACCTACAAACAAACCCCCAGCACCTCAACCACCTGCGTCACCTCCTTCCACTCCCCCTCGGGCAACCTCATCCGCGTCACAGAATCAGACTCTGAGCCCGACGTCCCCCGCTCCTCACACCGCCACTCGCGCATCGCGAGCCCGTCCGCTATCGACTCTTTCCAGCACCCCCTCGAACCCCTCGCCCGCCCTGTCACGCTCCCTGCGACTGCGTCGCCGCCGTCCACGTACCCGTTACCCAGCTGGCTCAGGAAGCCAGCTGCACGACAGGGAGGTAGTGAAAGAGGTGGAGGCGGCGTGACGTATCGCCCGCTGAGCAGCGAGAGCGTCCCGCGCGTGCATATCCCGATTCGCACGCACGTCCACCCGCCGCGTGCCCTCCTTATACAGCCGTCGGTCGAGCCCAACACCGGCCCTACCCTGAACCACAGAGCGGGGCTGCCGAAGGGCCGCCTCGTCGCGCACCGCGATGTGCATGGCTGTGGGGGAGAGGTGAGGGCGGTGAGTTTGCAGCCGAGGAGTGGGGTGAAGAATAAGGCGGTGGGGATGGGGATGGGGATGCAGGCGAGGGGGTGTAGGGCCAGGGGCGTGGGGAGGGTGATGCAGAGGGTTAGGTTTGTGGCGGTGGATGGGACGGTGGATGATGATAATGAGGATGATGAGAGGAGGGATAAGGGGGGTGGTTGTGGGGTTTGTGGGGGGGAGAGTGTTGGGTGGGCGTTGAGGGTTTGTTTCTGTCAGCCGAGGGATGATGGAAGGGGGGGTGAGTGAGGATTGGAGAGAGGGTGTGTTTATTGATTGATGGAAGTTGGATGGGGTACTGGTACGTCTCGGATACCACTTGCTGAATGACGCTTTGAAGACGCCGGATGGACAACGCTTTGGGTACGACGACACGACATACTTTACGACTATGGTTACGGAAACGGATGATTCTCATGACTGGAGTAGATTTTGGTATTCTTACACTGTATATACATACACACACCTCTGTATAATAAAAATAACAGTCCGCTAGCGTATGCACTCACTTGCTATTATGATCATCGTCATCCTCATCATCATCATCATCACCACAAGCCTCATACACTACCCACTCCCCTCCTTCCCCCACACATCCCTCCAAAACTCTTTAAACCCATACGCCCTCCCGGGCCTCTCATCCTTCACCCTCACGCCTCCCCCAGTTAATCGCTCCACCATCCCGGCACCCTTTCCAAACCCAAACCCATCATCCGTCGGCCGCTTAGGGGCTAACGCACGCTCGGTAATCGCGCTCGCGATTTGCGGCGCGACGTCTGAGTAGCAGGCGGCGAGCTCGCGGGGGAGGGAAAAGTAGGGTTTCTTGGCGAGGTCGGGCGCCATGAGGTTGTACGTGCGGGTTAGGGCGTTCAGGGAGGTGATGGAGAGGGTGAGGTAGGCATTTTCGGTCGCGAGCCAGGTAGGGTCGCGGAAGGGGATGGGGGGAGGTGGGGCCGCGCTGGCCTCAGCGGATGGGGGGTCCGGTTTTGAGGGCTTGGAGGATTCAGGAGACTCAGCAGAAACTGGATCTGGGGTTTGGGTTTCTGTGATGGTGATCTCGGTGACGGGTTGGGTCTCAGGAGAGGCGGAAGGCGATGGTACGCTGAGCTCCCCTGAAAGGGAGATCTGAGAAACGTGGCCTGCGTCGTCTATGGTGTTGAGATTCTCCTCTTTTCGCCGAGGAGGGTTGACGATGAGTTCAGCGGCCGCGTAGGCTTGCGCTCTGCGGACTTGCTCTTGGAGGCTCCCTCCTCTACTAGCAATCATCCTAGCAGCATGCCGCTTCCAGTCATTTCGTAGTCGGGCGCGGAACTTGGTAGCAGTGCTAACAAGCTCCTGCTGCTTCTCTATCCAAGGCGGGACTATCTCTTGCTTTTGGATGATCTTGTTCATGAAATACTCCGTCGTATCCAAGAAGGGGCTACTAGCGTTGTAGTCCCGCTCAATCTGCTTGCCACGATTCGGAAGATTCTTAAACTGTCCCCTGGCAATAGCATCCTCAATACGCTCATTCGCCAGAGAAGCCAGTCCCTGGATAGTCGCCGGAACCGCGCGAGCGTGCGGGGAGAAACGATCTTTCATATCCTGTCGCATCTTCTCCTTCTCCTTCTCAGATAGCCCAGAGTCCTTCAACGTAGCATATATAGACGTCTTATCCCTCGCATTCGCCAGCCGCGTCCCCGTAGACCTATGCCCCGGTCTTCCCGTATCCACCCTCTTCGGCGGTTGCGCAGCCGGCGACGGAATCCTCGTCTTCACCCTTATCGGCTTATACGAATCCGTAAGCATCCGCAACGACGCATCTTCCACGCTCTCCGTGCCCGTCCACGCCTGCGCCGCCGCGATATCCCTCGTGCCCCTGCCCGCACTCGACGGCAAGCCCGCTTCCGCAAACGCGCTGGCGTACTCGTTCTTGAAGTTTGCGGACGCGATCCGCTCCTCCAGTTTCCGGCGAAGCTCTTCGTCGAACCCGGCTTCCTCGACGGCTTTTTGGGCGCTTCGTCCGCCGGTTTCGAGGCTTTCTTCGCTCAGTTGTGCTAATCGGCGGGCCATTGCTCCTCCGCCTTCCTCCTCTTTCGCCGTGCCATTGTCCACGCTTCTGACATTTTCGGCGGGGGGAGTTTCGTCTGATGCGGGGGGTGATGCGGGATCAACGAAGTGGCGGCGCTGGAGACGGGATCGTGGAGGGTGGAAAGCTGCTCGCAAGCAGCGAGTGCATGTGTACGATGTCACAGGAGAGTGCTTTGGCATGTAGATTGGAGAAGGCTGAGGATGGATGGTAGAGCGGGTTGAGAGACAGTGTATTTAGAGAAGATGGGTAATCGCTAATCGTCATGCATCATTAGATACGGGCGGAGCGGACTTGGCGCCAGCGGAAATGTGCACGGTCCATTTAGAAATGTGGGGATGTCAGGATCCGTTGGACATGTCAATTTGATGCCGTTTGAGGTGGCTGGAGAGTTATTGGGCTTTTCGAACCTGTCATTTTTCCAGGTTTTGGTAACGTATCAGAGGACCTCAAGCGGTGTTAAACAAGTATACACAAGCCTAGAATGGTCGCATATCTTTACTGGAGGTAAGTGAAGTATATATTCAAGTTATTATCTATACCAGCCGGCCTGATTGAACTCCTTGCTATGATGAGTTGCGATGATTCCCTGGTGTAAGACTAAGAAGCCGCCAAATGAGTAGGCCATCCCAAAGCTCCGCTCCGGATAATTCAAACGCGCAAATGAAATTGAGAGTAAAGACCAAAGACGGCCACCTATAATCGAGCCCTAATCCAAACACCGCCCAATGAGTGATATCCAATGTCGTTGTGTCGTCTCGTTACTCCGTGTTCTTCCTCTCAGGGCTTGCAGTAGGTTAATGTCCAAGTGGAAGTGGTCAAAGAGAAAACCGCCGTTTTAGGTTGTATTCGCAAAAGTGGATGTCCGGAAACCGAGGTCCTATTCGTAAAAGCATGGTAGTTTTAATCTAGCCGTACCTCATTCTGATATTAAGAGGGAGAGCAGATACTAGTAGAAGTGAACGTTGCCACTTGTGTCTGTGACATCGGATTGCTCATCGTTCGCCAAGATGGCCAGTTCGGATGGGTTTCGAAGCCTGGCGGGTGGACTAACAGCCTTGCCGTCTAACGACGCATATTACTTGAGGGTTCGTCAGTACCTGTAACCGCCTCCAGGAGGATATCCGCCGTACCCGGGCTGAATCGGTGGCGTGGGAACCATGGGTGGGATTCTCGTTCTTCCTACCACAGTATATGAATGGTCCTCCTTGGTGGACTCTCGTCTCGATCGCCTGTCCCGCTCGGGTGGCGATGAAGCGTCCCTGTCTCTCCTGCTCTTCTTCTTCTCTTTGGTAGTAGTCGACAGCTCATAGCCTTTATCCACGTACCCCGATACAGCAAACGGGGGCTGTGACACGCCCTGGGCCCGATCGCTGGGGAGCCGCACCTCGACAAGGCTGTAGAAATAGTCCAGGACCTCTGGATACCGCACCACCGAGGCGCGCCAGTCGGCATCAATCCCGCGTTTCAGCTCAGCATGCGCCTCAGAGATCTGCGCCTGAAGCTGGCCAAGCAGGAACGGGTGGAGCGGCGGGTGGCCCGAATATTGCATGTAGATGGAGTAGTTGGGCAGCGAGGCCAGGTACGCAGCATGCGCCTGCTTTCGGGTCGACGTGAGGCGCTCGAAGGCGTTCAGAATGTGCTTCCGGGCGTGCGAGATGACCCAGTCCCTGCCACAACATACGTCAGGTTGGTGATACTTTGCGTGCGGCGAGCTGCTACCCACCGTATCTCGGCCAAGCGCGAGTCCATCGCCCGTGTTTCTGCTTGCCTCACGGCGATCTGGAGGCGCTCCGACTCGCACGGGCACTCGGGGTATGCAGGCGCGTTGCATATGGCACAGTTTGGGGCCGCATCCATTGCGAGTGGGGTCTACTGATGCGGCGAGACCATGCTGGCGAGGGCGAGTTTGCAAACAGAGAGGTGGCGATGTTGTGCAGGTGAGGCTCAGGCGGCGAAGGTGGTGGAGCAACCGAGAACACGATCCGACGGCGAGTGTGTTAGATTAGACAGGCGGTGACGGCGTACATGATACATGACGCGGAACGGCTGTTTGGGAAGAGTGTTGGTTTAGCATCGCGAGCTTATGTACGTGGGATGAGTTGTCGCTGTCGCTAAAGTCGAGACCCGCCGGGCTTGTTGACATTCCCCAGCTTTTCCAGCATCGCATGCATGTCGTCACAAAGCGGTGAGTTCGTGTCGCTGAGGGCCACGGCAGCTGTTATTGGTGGCAGCGAGAACCTGCGGCGAATGAGATGTCAGTCATCCGGATTCCGGGTGTTGAGAGGCGGGAATCAGCTGCTTTTGACAAACTTGTGCCCCATCGAGTCATGGCATCTCAATGCTCCGATTCGTACGCCGAGTGCTTCTATTCATGAGCTGGAGTGAGCAGTTAGTTGTGTTGTTGTAACTGCGCACATACCTCCCCATATTGCTACTATCTTGAGTATCCCGGAATCATGCGTACCCATTTTGAGAATTGAGCAATTGAAAGTCTGTGCTGCCAGTGCCTGTGCCTGATAGGCACTGTGGAGCAGAATCACCAATGTTAATATATGCTGCCAGCGAAGTGTTGCACAGGTAACGACGCAGCTTTTCCGACTGAGAAGAACGAAGACGACCAATAACGGATTCAGCAGAGGAGCCAGCTGGCTCTTTAACAGTTGTTAGGCAGCAGAGCATAGTATCGAGTTTCACATTGACTTGGGTGCCTAATTTAAGTTGTACATCCCGCGCACTCGCAACAGCTAGGACTGAAGTGTGCACCTTGTATTTTGATGTCTACCTTGTACGCATCCCAGCTACTGGCGATCCGTCGTGTAGTCATGGCGTCGTGTCCCTGTCCCAGACGCCGAGTGGGTATGCTATACTATGCTCTGAAAAGGAGAACTCCAAGTAGATTCAGTCGCCATATAGAGAACAAACGCAAAGCCACGCACGGGTATCGAAAGCTGATGAACCCACCCATCTAAAAGCACCCAGGCACCTTTTCGCCGAGATATTGATCTGTCCGGTACTTGTCCCCAATCTCACGACGCAAACACACGCACATTTAAATCCACGCTCCCTGTCGCAATCACGCACCGGATGTTCAACTTGCCAGCCGGGTCTTCCTTCTTCGTCGATCCATTCACGGCGCCATGCCCATTTGTATCGCCATTTACAGGCGCGTCTTTGACCACACTCGGTGCCCAGCGGATGCAGCTCACAAAGTGCCCGTGCGCATCCTCGACCGTCTTCACGCACCGTCCTTCTTGGGTAAGGTCCCAGCAACGAATGGTTTTGTCGTCACTGGCGCTGAGGAGGTACTTCCCGCCCGGGTGAAACACGAGGGCGCGTATCCAGTTGTCGTGGCCGATGAGGGTCTTTATCAGCGTACCGCGGCCATCCCATAGCTTGATAGTTTTGTCTCTTGAGCCGGTCGCCACGAATTCAGCGGAGCTTGAAGCTGGAGGAGGATTCTTGAGACCCGCTAAAGCGGCGAGATGAGGGTACGATCGCGGGGGAGCGAGGGCCACACACTCGACGACATGCTCATGGCCAAGGAAGACGCATTTAGCATCGCCCGAGGCAGCATCCCATAGGCGAGCAGTCTGGTCATTGCCGGCAGAGACGAGCCAGCGACCGTCGAAGGAAGGCGTTACGTCGCGGACCCAGTCGGCATGGCCACGAATTGTTTTAACGCAATATCCTGTGGTGACGTCCCATATCCGAAGAGACTTGTCTCGCGAGGCAGAAACAAGGAGGTTGCCGGAGGAGGGGGCGCCGGCAGCTCCGCTGGGAATGAATCGAATGGCGGAGACTGAGTGATCGTGGCCGGGAAGAGTGCGGATATTCTTGTAGTCATCTGAGGGGTCCCATAGCTTGATTGTGAGGTCGCTAGAACAAGAGGCAAGGAGAGTGCCGCCTCGTGGTCCGCCAAAATCCACGTCTAATACGCCTTTTGTGTGGCCTTTTACAGTTCGCTCGAGCTCACCGAGTTCCCAGTCCCAGATCTTTATTGTGGTGTCTTCGGAGCCGGAAGCAAGGGAGGAAAATATGGGATGAAATGCTACGCAGGTAATGGGCTGGCGATGCGACTGAAGCGTATGACGAGCGGGAGATCGAGGGAGCCAACTGGCAGGGTCTTGGTTCCTTCGAAGGAGTGATGTGGGGGTCGCAGAGTCGAGGTCGGCTTGGAGGCTGTTGTTGCGGGCTTCGAGCTCCATTATCTAGGTCGGATGAGCACTTGGATAGATCCATATGGGGAGTCATCGTACCCTTTTCTGCAACCGCACCACACTAGTCCACTTCTTCTCGAGTATGCCCTCATATTTCTTCCGTGTTGCGTCGTCAAAACTGTCCCCTATGCTGAGCTCTTCACGGAGGGCTGCTGCTGTGGATGGGAGATTGGCGGAGGAGAGGTATGCTATCAAAGCCTTATGACTGTACTAGTGTCAGTAGTGTCCTCTTCAGCGTAGGGGGGGAGGCCGCACAGCTCCTCTGCTTGCCGCGGAGTCAGGATCTGGCTCATCGCGGCGGGCGTGTGCTCATCCGGCGAGCCTCTAGACAGTGCGCTTGAACCACGAGGTGTTTTCCCAGGCGTCAAAGTGGTCCAGCTCCAGCTTCCAGCTCCAGCGGGAGTCTTGTCTCAGGAATTCGCCTGGATATCTCTGGTTTATGCGTCTTGGCGGTGGTTGCAGGGGGCAATTCCACGTCTCGTTGGCAGCGCAGAGGAGGGGATGTCGGCGGCGGCACACGTGGTATTCGTCTTGCAGACTGAAAGAAGGTCAGTGGTCAATCTCGGGGTTGCTGGGACGCGCGCGATGGTGTTTTGGCATTGTGCGAGGCGGCGTGTGGGCGGCGTTGGATTCGATGATGTCGGGCACGTTGCCCCAGAAAAGACGTTGTTTACTTCGTTGGCGGGCCTCTCGCACCGACCCACCTCCTCCACATCCCACCTCGCTGCCTACCTACACGTCGCCCTTTCACCAGTCTCGCCTCAGTGATACCCATACCCTCTGCGCTTTGTATTATTGCATCTATTGTCGCATAGTTTCCACCATCTCTGCCGCTGCCCGCCAAACGCACCAGCCTCACTGCTTTGCGTCGAGATTGCTTTATAGCACCACCACAGTTGTATGTGAATTGCGCCTTCTTCGACCCCCTCCCCAAATACTCTACACCCATATGGCCACCCGGTCTTTTGTATCTTACTACCTCCTATCACCATGCGCAAGCGCTGGCTCCGTCGACTGACCTCACGAATAGGCCTCTCATCGTCTCCAAGAAGCCCCGACTCCACGGGCCCTCCGCCCAGTAGCCCCCAATCGAAGAAGTCCACACGTAAATTCACCATGGCAGACGCCGAGCCTGAAGACTTCAGCGCCCTTCCGCTACCAGACCGCTTCACCCACAAGAACTGGAAAGTTCGGAAAGAAGGATATGAAGCCGCTGCCAAAGAGTTTGATATCGCCCAGAGCGAAGCCGATCCTCTGGTCAGACAGTTCATTCAAGATTCTGGAATATGGAAAGGCGTGGTAGCCGACTCCAACGTGGCCGCACAGCAGGAAGGCTTAGGCGCATATTGCTCATTTCTACAGATTGCTGGAGAAAAAGGCTGCACGCGGTAAGCTCGCTTGAAAGTCTTGCATCCCTAGGCGACTGTATTCTTATGTTTGTACAGGACGCGAAGCCACACCATAGGTCCTATCGTCGAAAAGGGACTTGCCGCAATGCGCCCGGCTGCGAAACAGAAGGCCCTCGAAGCACTAATGCTATTAATTGAGCTCGACAAGGCCGACCCTGTCATCGAAGAACTCCTCCCAATGCTCTCTCACAAACAGCCAAAGGTCATCGCCGCGACACTGTCCGCGTTAACCTCGATGTACCATGCATATGGCGTCAAGACAATCGAGCCGAAGCCATTGCTGAAGGTCTTACCTAAGCTCTTCGGCCATGCGGACAAGAATGTGCGCGCCGAGTCGCAGAACCTGTGTGTCGAGTTTTATAGATGGCTCAAGGAAGCTATGAAGCCCCTTTTCTGGAATGATTTGAAACCCATCCAACAACAAGATCTGGACAAGCTATTCGAAAAGGTCAAGGACGAACCTCCACCAAAGCAGGAGCGGCTTCTACGTTCTCAGCAGGCCATCAAGGAAGCAGCACCAGCTGCAGCCGCGGAGGAGGAATATGAGGAGGAAGAGGAAGCGGCTGTTGATCTAGAGCCGGAGTTCAATCCCATCGATGTCACTGCAGCGATTCCCAGTGACTTCGGAGATCGACTAGCCTCATCCAAATGGAAAGACCGCAAAGAAGCTTTGGAAGATCTCCATAAGGCCATCAACCATCCAGCAATCCAGGACGCAAATTTCAACGAGTACATGAACGGATTTGCGAAGAGCATGAAGGACGCAAACATTGCAGTAGTCACAATTGCTGCAAACTGCGTAGAAACCTTTGCGAAGGGCTTGAAAAAGAACTTTGGTAAATACAGATCAACTGTCATGGGCCCAATGATGGAGAGATTGAAGGAAAAGAAGCAATCTGTCACGGACGCTATTGCCGCCGCACTGGATGCTGTTTTCATGGCGACGAAATTGTCAGACTGTCTCGAAGAGATCTTGGAGTTTATGAAACACAAGAATCCACAAGTCAAGCTCCAGTCGACTCTCTTCCTCATCAGATGTCTCAAAACTACGCGCGAAGCCCCACAATTACCAGAAGTGAAGTCAATGGCAGAAGCATCGACGAAACTTCTTACCGAGTCACAGGAAACGCAGCGATCTGCAGGTGCCGAGGTTCTTGGTACGCTTTGGAAGATCATGGGTGATAGACTCATGATGGTACACTTAGAAGGCCTGGACGAAATCCGGAAGACAAAGATCAAAGAGTACCATGAGACAGCGGAGGTCAAGGCGAAATACAAACCAAAGGCCGCTGCTCCACCTCCCAAGGCTGCCGCCGCCGCTCCTGCGCAGAAAAAGATGTTTGGACAAAAGAAGGCGAATGCGGCCGCAGCAGCCGCAAAACGCCCTGCGCCACGCGCCGCACCACCGCCGCCGGTAGAAGAACCAGCGGCACCTCTGGCACCACAACCAACAGCCCGTCCCGGTGTATCCAAACTAGCGCCTCCTAAATCTGGTCTCGCACCTCCAAAAGGCGGACTCAGACTACCAAACAAGAGTTCAGGGATTGCCGCTGCATCACCTAGACGAGCAGTCGTCTCACCTCCACCAGAAGAGTCCGCACCACCACCGCAACCCAAACTCGGTCTTGCCGGTCGCGGTCTTGCAGGGAGACCACTAGGCAAGCCCGCGCCGCCACCAGCCGAATTCGCCGCACCTCCCCCACAGAATAATGGCCTCGCCGCTGTCGAGCGCGCCGAACTCGAGGAGCTTCGCGGCGAGGTTGAGCACCTCCGTCGCCAGCACGGAGAGTGGCGGTCCGAACGCACTAGATTGACCTCTCAAGTCCACGAACTCCAAAACCAGAACGCCCAGCTCATCGAGGACCACACGAGGGACGTGCTTTCCATCAAGGCGAAAGAGACACAGTTGGTTCGCGCGAGAAGCGACTACGAGTCTGCAGAGCAAACAGTCCAAAATCAGCAGCGCGAGATGGACCGCTTGAAGCGTGAGCTCAGTCGCCAGGTGCGGGTATCAAGCCCCCCGCCCCAGGATTTCAGCGACGCGATCTACGCCGAAACAGGTGTCAACGGCGGCGCCGGAGGGCGCTTTGGAGATTCAGGCTACGGCGGTGCTATTTACGGTCGACATCGCGCAGCAGTGCAGTCACAGAGCCCGAGCGACGAGGGTAAGGAGAATGTCGACTCAGATAACTTCACAGCACAGAGAGACGCGAAACAGAGTCCGAGAATTAGCCGGGAACGGACGGCGCCATCTGCCACTGCGAGAAGCTCGCAATCGAGCAGATTGGGCAGTGGGACGGCGGGCCGAATGACTCCTCCAGATACGATTGGAGGTGCGGCAAACGGAGCGGAGAGCTGGAAGCGTGCAGCGGAAGTTACACAGAATCTGAAGGCCCGGATCGAGCTGATGAAGGTATGTTGATATTTGCTTAGAACGCGTCTGCTTAAGCGGTCCAGGATCTCTGAACATTACACTAATGGTTACTGCAGGCTAAGCAAGGACTCGGTAGGACGCCATCGCAGTCGTGAGCGAAGCGTGATGTGTGAGTTTTTGTGTGTAACGGAATCAATTCGCGGAGTCAGGTGTCAGGTTTGCGTCGTGAGCGAAGACTACGATGAATTTCCGGTGTAAACCAGCCTGCTTCCTTTCAAAACTCCTCTCTGCTTCTACCAACGCATTGGGCTTGCGTAGAAGCATCAATCATTTCTGGTGTTCGGTGGGGTTTGGGTTTCAAAGAAGACTTCGTTGCCTTTTGTGCTGAACAGTCTTCCTTGGACGACATGGGAGATGACGGTGGGACTATCAGATATCCTAGTAATGCATGCAGCGAGTTTGGTTATTTTTTGTTAATTCGAGATCTTGGTGTGAAAGACGGCAGTCTGCCTCGCTCAACATATTCTAACGCATCAATTCCGAAGACACTTGTCGCCACCCCTCTGATTTGTCATGTTTAGGATTGTAGGGTCTTGTCTGAATTACTCACAATGCGCCGGAGTGCCTCAGACAGTGGCAAGCAAGAGTTCCGAGAGTCTCGTCTAGGTACTGTATTCCTCGCGAGCGGTCTAGATAAGATGGAAGATCGTGATTCAAGAATACAGGGAGAAAGTGAAGTACAGGTCGGCGGTCTTGGAACCAGTCGCTTATTCTGCCCCTGATTAAGCCGTTGATGATGGTATCGTGGGTGATGTTACTAGAGCAATTCACCCCTTTTTCATTTCGTCACGTGCTCGGTTCGGGCGTAGCGCGATGTTTAGAGGTAGTCCATTGACTGTTGACACTGGATGGGAGATGTGGCAATGCTTTAAGATGACTGGAGGTTGGTGTTGAGGTCCTCGTCACATTGCTAAACCCCTTTCTGAACAGAGCGAGAACAGAAATAGAAATACTGCCAAGATACCGCCAAGGGTTTTGGTATCTTGGCGTTTCTCGAAATGCCAAGCTACCACAACCTTAAGATTTCCTGCAACGATAGGGACTTATAGAGCTAAATGAGTAAGGGAATACGTCTAGAGACTCATGTAATTGAGGAGGAGAAACGCTGCTCGAAAGTAACACATTTTGGAGGCCCTTGAGAAGATAGACCGCCACCGACAGGGACCACCAGCAAGACCTCACAAGCTCGATACGCTACGACACCCATGCAGTGATCCCGCACCCGGAAACCGCGGCGTAGACGCTGCCGCAGACGCAATTGCCAGGTCAGTCTCTGGTTCTGGGTCCGACCAGGATCGGACCGCCGGGTGAATACCGACTAGGATTAAGTTTGGTTCGGGAATCCCAAAATCTGGGTTGAGGTTAGGATAAAGTTGCGCTGGAAGCACGGTTCGGGTCGATCACGACGTTAGTTTCGCCGAGGGCGCTCGACGACGTGCTAAATTCTTGAAGATGATACTGACGAGATGTGGTAGCTAACTTTCTATTAAGATATTCTTCGCCATTCTACTGCAATAGTATATATTATAGATCCTATACTTCGCGAGCGATCTTCTAGAGACTCGCAACACGATACTTAGCTTTATCGTGCTTTTATTCCTCCCCTCACGTTTGCATCCATTCAGTCGTCTAAGAAAAGCAAGAAACCAGAACTACTGTAGGATTCCACCATGCTTGCGGCACGCTGTCTTAACTGATGCAGGCGTCGTCGTCGATTTGATGGTGTACCTAGGACGGTATTAACTTCGGAACTCGCGGGATATCGTAGGCTTAACTTACGTAGTAGTGCGGGTGACGGTTGTAAAAGAGTAAGCGAGGGTATAGATGGTCTTGCTCTTTGTGGGCGTAGGGGCAGTTACGGTCACAACGGGTAGCACTAGAAGGATCAGTCACGCAAACATTAAGATTCAGGGTGCGTGAGCGTACCTGTGACACCGTTTGCCACGGTCACGGGGCTTGGTGTTAGAGTAGATGTCGTGTTGACGCCGGCTGTGCAAACAAAGAGTCAGTATACGTTCAAGTTAGAGAATCTTGGGGCTCTCTTACTAGTCAAGGTAATCGTGGTTGCAGGAGCAGTGCTGCCGTGGTTAGCTTTTAAAACGTTGATGATGTATAATGTTGCGCTTACCTAGTTGCCGTTTCGGTGGTCCAATCCGAGGTGGTCGAATCTGGGACTAATTAGTGACGGTTTCATGAGGAACACAAGGTAGTTTCAACGAAGCGCACCTGTGACCACGAGTGGCTGTGCGTCCGGAGCGCGTGCCTCCAGATTTCTCGCCGCAAGTCTCGCCTTGCGCTCCTTGAGGTACTTGGCCATGTCGAATTCGCCTGCGTTATTGTCGATGCGGCGGAATAGCCTTGCCGCCGGGGTCGACAGAGCGGCGGCTGTGGCCACGGTTGGTGTGATTGTGCAGGTCGGGTCAGCTGTAGTTGCCCTTGTTGGCGAAAGACAAGAGGCTGTGACAGTCTTGGTGGCTTTGGCGATCGCGAGACTTCAGAGGACTTAGCAAATGATCAAGGGCATGAACAAAACAATCACGTACGTATACTTTGTAAGCTTAAAAGTGTAGAGCGTCTTCGTGGTCGTCGACGTAACTTTCTTAGGCGTGACCCTTCCAGGAAATTAGCATCATCTAAATTATACAACCAGGCGAACATACGTAGTTGTCGGCTTCACGGTTACAGATGCGGTGGTTACGGTCCTGCAGCTGTTTAGCATAACTCCTCGGACGGAGGATTGGAGAGTAGGGGACGCAGGATGGCATACACAGGGTTTAGCGTTGATGTCGAGGTGTCTGTGGTGGTAACAGTACTGTTGACGACTGGCGTTGTGGTTATAGTATTGGTCACTTCGTATTGACTTAGTGCTCTGCATTCATCACTCTAGGAGGTTTTCTGGAATACCTGTGGGTGTGTACTAGATCGCTCATTAGTAACGACCTGCGTAGATAATAAGCTGGGAAAACATACTGTGCTTGTATTTTGGGGCCCGACGGATAGCTCAAAGTCACGCTCATAGGCAATTGGCGCATCATTGCCATTGTTGCTGAGGATCAGGATTGACCACGGACCTGACCATAATTGGTCCTTGTCCAAAGGGCTGTAATAGTTAGTGCTCTGCATTCCAGCTACATGGATTTACTGCTTACCAAGTTGACAGCTCGTCCGTATCATCCGGCTGGAGGTTAGTATCCGTGCAGAGGTATTGGTCGCCATTTGGATCGACGAAGACATTCGTGGCGGTATCATTATCGCAACCTTCACCATTAGTTAGTGATATTTCAAGAGTCTTCTTTCGGTCAATCACCTTCAAACTGCGACACAAACGTGAATGGATCACTGGATAGGGAATTTTGGAAGTATGAACCTCCATCTTGAAAGTCCATGCCAAAAGACACGCAATCCGCCAAAGCTGAGCGAGCCGTCAAGGCCAACAGGCCTATCCGGCAAGCGAACGTCGAGAGGGAATGCATACTTAGCAACAGTCTCAATTGATGTTTTTTGAGCGGAAAGAAAGAGAAGAGCTATCTGGAAAAGGAATGCTAAAGTAGGAGTGCTCGTGAGTGATCGACGCGAGCCCAAACTTTTAAAGATCGGACTGGCATCAAGGTAAGCTAGCTATGTAAGTACTCCACAAGCATGCAGGATCGAACGACTACGATAGATGCGGCTTGACGCTCGCCGAACCCCGTCTTTGAAGCAAGCACTGCCCGGCAGCAGCTTCGGACAATGCAGTGTCAGCTAGGATAAGCTTTTTTTTTTGGTCGCCTTGCGGCTTGGGCTTCGAGGACGTGGACGTGTAAACGAACAGCCATCGGTAGTCTGGGCTACAAAGCCTTGTAGCTGAAGCTGGACCGCATTGGCGGACGGTTCCACAACAGTCTCCCGGGACGGCCCACGAGATCAGCATGTGGGCAGAGGAGGTTCACCCACGATGCCTGTGGACGGTGAGAGATGATAGGCGGCATCGCGTTGAATCAATAAAGTGTTGGTGGGGCTCTGGCGTCGGATCGCCTACAGTCGAAGTGGCTTGCCCGCTCGGCAGGGGTGAACTGATTGTCGTGACGCCGGATTAGGGCTGCTGCAGGACAACCCGTACCCTGCGACAGTCGTGGCGATGACGAGAGCGCTGAGAGCCAGCATGTTGCGCCATATTCCATGCCTGCCGCCCGCTTCTCCGGATTGACTCCGTAGGGCCAGACTCTATTTTCGGACCTATCTTGATGGGGTTGAGTCTTTTCGAAACGTAGGCTGGGGCCACATCTGCACAGTGGCGTCTGACGTACTAGAAGCTTATCTTTGGGAAGGAACTCGAAATCATTCTTCCGAAGCCGTGGCAGGTGCCAGTGACAAGTGTAGAGGGGGAAAGCCTTCATGGCTGAAGGCTTTGCCAGCTGTCACTGTATCCTGCAGGCGGTTCTGCGGCTGCAGGAGTCAGACAGCGCCGCAAAGCTGCATCTCGCAGAGACTCGGGACGGGGCTCGGGTCAGAGCTAAGAGGTGGTGGACAGACGAATGATCGGGTCCGGCTGCGGGAGGATCTATTCGCCGATTGGCGAAGATGTGAAGCTATCGCGAAAGCTCAAGCAACGATCGGAGGGGGAGGTGGGGAGCCATGGCCAGTGGCGCACTGCTGCACCCTGCGCAAGCCACAGGCCGTGTTGAGAAGCGGTAGCGACTCCACATATGCCCGTTGGTGCAGCGAGCAAACGAGGGCTGGCTGGTAGGCGGCGGGCGATGGGACAATGCCATGGTCAGTCAACGTGAATGGCGAAAGGCAAAGGGCCTGGCGGGACAGGGGGCCAATCTCCCGCGATCTTCCCGGGGTCAGATGCATCTAGCTCTAATCGGAAAGGCGCAACGGTTATTTTTACTTCTCTCCACCGCGACCCGGACCATAGGAACCCACCACAGGATCGTGATGAGAAGAATGCGATGCATCAGACACCGATCAAGCGTACGCTGCTCAATCCCGCTCTCCACGGCCCCGCTGCACGTCTTGCACCATACCATCGATTCGTCGCGGCTCCGCCGGAGTCCTGATGAGGCTTAGGCGCGTATTGTGCCACATACCACCCCGTTACGTCGTCTTCCCTTGGACTTCGGGTTGATACGAACCCCTTCGCTGAACAAAATACGATGGCCTCGAGCTAGAGCAAAGCACGCAAACCACTGGAGTGGCAGAGTTTGCAGTTGTGTGTGGTGGGTTCCACGAGAGGGCCCCGGGCTGAGACTTGCAGCGTATGAGCATCGCGAGGCCAGCGTCTGGTGTTGAGGCCCAGCCCGCCGGCTCAGCATGCCAGGTCGTGGATTGTCCAGGGACCAGGCACCGATGTGAAGATCTCAGGCCCGTGCTGCGCGCATGTATGCGGGATCTCGCCTGTGAGTTTCCAATTACGGATCATGTATGTATTCCCATGCGCCAGCGGCAACTTTGGTGTTGCGTGCTCGTCTATTCAACCTCCTTGCAGCCTTCAATCATGCAGAACGGAACTCTTTCCTTTGGAGATCTTCCACGTCGGAAGCACTTAAGGTCCGAAATGGTGGCGTTGATTCTAGACTCATCGCTTCGCTATGTTCGCGTCACCGTCGTCGGGAGAAAACGTGCCTGTATTCCTGTGGCGGCATCATTTCTCCCTAGTGGGCGGACCGTCAACTAGTTCCAAACGACGCTGCGCCTTCAGGTCGGTAAACCGGGGAACATGATGCCGTGTAACGAATTCAGCCGTATCTGTCAGCTGCCCGAATCGAGACCGAAATAACGAGAGACAGAGTCTGAGATTCGTTCCTTGTACCTTGCTCAATACATAGTGTGTCTCCTTGCAGTGGGGAGGAGCAGTGACGAAGCAGGAAGCAGGCGATTGATGCCAGCAGAGAAGTAATCCCTCTGCGGATCAAATTCTCGTATCAGCCACTAAGTACAAGCTTCCGCAGTATTGTTGCCTGCAGCCACCTCTTGGTGGATCGCTTCCACTGGCTCGGTATCGGATTTCCTGGCTGGACCGCCTGCTGATGGCCCGCCAGAGGGGACAATGCCATAGGCCTTGCATATTTCGTGCCTTCTGTCAGCCTCAATCGGGGGCGCATCTACTTATTTCCCGGTCTCCACTGTATCTTCGCTTTCATGCAACGTTTCATTCCAGCCGTGGCAGTCTGGAAGACAGCAAAATCTGCCCATTCCGCCTTGGAGACCCGGTCACCACGCGAATTCGTGGCAATCTCGCCCTCTCATTCGCTGGTGGTGAAGCCTCTCTTTCGACGGGTCCTTGAGCCGTGTAACAAGCTTTTTTCAAATACCCCTCTTATTCTATTCCAGCTTACTTACCCCTGAAGAATATGCAGCCACTTCTGCCGGCCCCAACATCATGGATCGCGTAGCTACTCCGTACCCGATCCATGTGCCCAGGTGAGGTGGCAGGGCGGCATGTCGATGGCTGCTAGAGTCTAGGCATTTCTCCCAAATTGGCATTGGCATCAGCGCACGTCTACAGACGCTGAGAATTTTCGGACCCTACATGCGTATAGCATATATACCAGCTCCCTCCACTTATTGGAGTGCACTCAATCTCAGTTCAGCCAAGTTTTACACTTTGAAAGTCTTCTTCGTCTCAAAATCTTCCATCTTTTCTACCTCTAGACCATTGAGTGCGTGTACTTGTCATTCATTCTTCAGGCAATATGCGCGTGACGCAGTTGGTTGCCACCTGCCTTCTGGCCTTAGCGTCCACAACAAGAGCTACACAAATTCCCCAAGATCACATTTTATGGGGACCAGGCGGCTCTGCGGCGGCAACCCTTCATAATGTCCGTCGTGCAACTAGCTCGGTTGCTCCAAGTTCGACATCAAAGGCTGCCGATGCGGCTTGTACCAACGGACCAACTTCACGCAACTGCTGGTCAGGTGGCTATTCCGTCTTGACAGATTTTGATAAGAAATGGCCAACTACCGGCAACACGGTTTCATACACCCTGACAGTCACGAATACGACGTGTAATCCAGATGGGAACGGTCCTCGGATATGCTTTCTTTACAACGGCCAATACCCTGGTCCCACTATTACAGCTGGTAAGTGGTCCTTCCATGACATACTCTAGACGTCGCTTACTGATTCAACTAGACTGGGGAGACACTGTGCAGGTCACGGTTATAAACAAACTGACAGGAAACGGCACAGTCATCCATTGGCACGGCATCCGACAGCTCAACACTAATATAATGGATGGTGTCAACGGTATCACCGAGTGTAAGAAAAATCCCTGCGTCTAGCAAAGGTATTGAGTAATTTTGACTTACGAAAACAAGGTCCTGTCGCACCTGGTGACACTAAGGTATATACGTGGAAAGCTACCCAGTTCGGCACGACCTGGTATCACTCCCACTATTCCTCGCAATATGGCGATGGCCTCATTGGTGCCATTCAAATCAATGGCCCTGCATCTGCAAACTACGATGTTGATCTCGGCACTTATCCAGTCAATGATTGGTATTATAGTACCGCAGACCAACTTAACGTTATCGCTTCCAAGTAAGAGTTTCTGTACGTAATGGTAGTCCTAAGCGTATACTAATATTTCTTTCAGCAACCTTCAGTCGGGACAGGCCCCGCCGCCTGCGGATACGCTTCTCGTCAACGGCAAAAATAAGAGCCCGGGCGGCGCAGGAGCCTATGATCAAGTCACACTCACGAAGGGTAAGAAGTATCGCTTACGTCTGATCAACACCTCCGTAGACAACAACATCCGTGTCTCGCTAGACAACCACCAATTGCAGGTTATCACGTCCGATCTAGTTCCGATCAAACCGTATTACACAAATTGGGTGCTCCTAGCCATCGGCCAACGGTATGATGTGATTATCTACGCCAACCAGACCGTCGCCAACTACTGGTTCCGCGCAGAAGTTGCTACAGACTGCGCCAGCTCCAACAACTTCTATGGCCGTAGTATCTTTAGCTACACCGGTGCTACCTCTGGCGACCCAACGACCACCGCTTTTACATCACCCAGCGGCGGCTGCGTGGAGGACAAGACACTCGTACCCTGGGTCACGAACACGGTCTCCAGCTCGGACTTTCTCAAACAAGTCAGCAACCTTCAGGTCGACCTGACCGTCGAGCAGGTCACGACTAACGGGCAAAACATCGTCGTCTGGGGCGTGAATGTTTCCGCTATCGATGTTGATTGGCGCAAGCCGACACTACAGTATGTGAAGGATGGAAACACGTCGTATCCGGCGGTGTACAACCTGATCGAGCTGCCTACAGAGGGAATCTGGACATATTGGATTATCCAGGAGACACCAGGGACGAATGTGCCGATTCCGCATCGTAAGCCTTAGCCTTTTTCTGTCTTTCCATTCATCTTCCTGCTTTCCACTATCCTTCTACCTCTTTGACCCCCGCTGACCCAAATCCAGCCATACATCTCCACGGTCACGACTTCTACGTCCTCGGCACGGGTTCCGGCACCTTCGACATCAACTCCTCACCGTCGACCCTAACCTGGGCCAACCCTACCCGCCGCGATGTCGCCCTGTTGCCCGGCGGCGGCTGGCTGGCCATTGCATTCCCAACAGACAACCCTGGTGCCTGGCTTATGCATTGCCACATCGCATGGCATATCAGCGAGGGTCTCGGTGTGCAGTTCTTAGAGGCCAAGAGCCAGATCACGCTCCCCGGCTCTGACTGGGATACGCAATGTACGGACTGGAAGACCTATTATGAGAATCCGGTATATGAGAAAATTGATTCTGGGTTGTGAGTAGAAGCAGAAAAGGTTCTAGCGGTTTCGCGTGTTGTGTAAAAAGAAACATGGCTTCCGGGTTGGGTCTGCGGTAATGTGGGACTGTATAGGTTGAGGTAATGAGTATTATCCATTCTTGCTTGAGCTGCCTTCATGATATACTAGATGTAATACCGTGAATGAGAGTGAGTGATTTCGTGTCTCCAATACTCGAAGACTGAGGAAAATGCAGGAAAAGGGGAATTGAGGAGGTTCTCTTGGTTGACTTGACGTGTGGGGGCTCCAGGAGATTATATATTTGGAGCTATGAGAAGCTCTTGCGGCCAAATGAGCGAGTTTTCCTCGAGAGCGAGTTTCCCACCAATAACACATGCTTGGAAGTGGAGGCCGGGGTTGTAATCAAGCGCGGTCTATAGCTGGATGGAAAATGTCTGATCCCAACAGCAAGAGATTGGATTGGAACAAACTAGTAAGGCTACGAACAGTTACAAGATTCAATGCTACTCGGCATGTGCATGCTGGGAGTCTGTCCTAGTCACGTGATGGGGCCAACCAGGGGAAAGAAAAGTTGCACTTCTTCTTTCCAATTGCAACGTCGAGAAGGTGACTCACATTAACGACACGACCAGCTGCAATTCTGTGGACTCAGCGACTGGACGAATTAAATGGTATCTTAAGTTTGGCAGCATGTAATTTTGACTCAGCCAGGTGGAGAAAAGGACGATGGATGAAACTACTTAACTTTCTCGTCTGTCAATAGCAAGCAGACGTCTTATCACTACTGTAAGACTTCTTAAAATGGTAATGAATGAAGCAGAGACGTGGTGGCAGATGATGCGTTTTGACACTTGGTAGAATGTACTCCCGGAGCAGAGACTCTACAGTTCCGCCTTTCCACCCCAACGATCAGTTTATCCTTCAAAGACTGGCCCGGTGTGAGAAAGCATCATAATCGCTTCAATATCTGAGCTCAGTCCAAGCATTGTTGCTCGCAGGCCTGTTCACAGTTACTAGAATAGCTGTCGGGCTGGGCGAGTCAGCGGGAACTTGCGATAACGCAATATGCTGAAATGGGAGAGAGACATAGGAGGTTGGGAGAGACACAGATCTTTCAGATGGGTTCATTTCGTAGTTCTGATATTGACAAGAGTCTGGGATTTAGGAGAAGGTGTTGAGCTTAATACATGAAAAGAGAAGTGGTACAAGTCTGCGGTTATGGAGTGTACAAGGGGAAGTTTCTCCGCACTCTCATTCGATACATCATCACTAGCTAATCGTGTCGAATCGAGGTTGGATGGACGATTGAATAAGCGAGCAGAGAAAGGATAGAGACAGGAGACAGGAGAGAACAAAGCGCGGGAGCTGTCCGAAGTTTCACACAAGAACATCTTGTAGAAATCGGCCTACGACTCGACTGCTCGGTGTTTGTGCTTGCGCATCTAGAATATCCTGGGTTAGAACCGTCTATTATGGTAATATGCTTCTTTTGGGGTTGTTACTGAATACCATGTGAACGTACTCCAGAGTCACCCTTTTCATTTATTTTGATCTTTTCAACCCCAACTTTGGCCTATGTCGCGACCTCCGCAGTCTTCGAAACCGCACCACTCTTAGCCTCAAGCCTCACATTCATGTAATCCTCCCCCTTACTCGCCGCTACAATCTTCACATCCATATCTTTACTATCCGGCAGCGCATATCCATAATCTCTCGAAGTGATCATCGTCCGCCACTCTCCCGCATTGACTGGCTCGTACGGCGTCGTCTCGCCCTCCTTCACGATTGGCACAATCATCGTCGCTGGGTCCGGATGCACAAAGAACGCGGTACTGTACCGAGCTGGTAGCATCCCATCAGCCCTCGGCTCCATCAGTGGCATCATGACTCTATGCCTTGTAGATCGTAGCTTGTCGTTTGACAACCGCTGCAGCAGATCTGCGACATTGATAATGCAGGTGCCGCGCAGCGGCGTGGCCGGCGCAAACTTCCCATCGTGGAAGCGGTCAACTTCCAGTCCACCGACTTCGTCTTGGAAAAGAAGCGTACAGAGGCCGTAGTCGGTGTGTGGTTCGATGCGGTAGTTGCCCTCTTTCTCGAGGGTGGTTTTGGGGATCGACATGTAACGCAGGAAGCGCAATTGAGGGTCGGCGGCGGCGAGTTTGTCGTCCCAGTAGGTAGGGGCGATACCGAGGACTATGCAGAGGGCACGGAGGACCTCTGTAGCGAGGGTGAAGCATTTCTTTGGAGGTTATTACACAGGAGGATAGGTTGGTTACGTGGAGAGGTCGGAGGGAGGGCATACCTGGTAGAAAGAGTCTGCAAATTCTCGGAAGCCGTCTTCACCACCGGCTGCTGGACAAAGGTCGTTGTTGAATCGGCGGTGCTCGTAGCACTCTTTATGACTCCTGCCGCCCTTCGTGTCGCTTGACTCGGCACCATTCGCGGTATACCCCTGGCAGTAGGCTGCTGACACGACTTTGTCCTTCAACTTCTCTTCCTCTGGTCTATCGAAGAAGCGTTTGCTCTGAGATTGATATCAGACCGACTTGTCATGCAGGACACTAGGGCGGGAAACATACATATCCGAACATTTCGTCAATCTCCTCAGCAGAAATTCCAAACTCTTTCAAGTACACCCAGCCATAGGTATGGAAGGCATCGTACAGCTGTAGAGCTACTTTGGCTTTCTCTTCTTCACCTCCAGTCAAGATTGGTTGGAAGGAAACAACTGGAAACGGGAATTCGTCGTCGACGGCCATAGTGAAGATGATGCAAGAACTGGTTTATGTAGACCAGGGATGTGACGCTGTGTAATATCTTGTGCAACAGAACAGCCTTAGCTTTTGAGGAGTATATAAACGCTGCTCTCAATTCTAAGGAAATGTTGCGGAGGGGCAGCGTCACGTGAGCACCGTAAAGCTCAGGTTAGATGCAGAGAGGAGTACCGCTCAACTGTATATCGGCGTATTACGCAGGCACTGTTAGGAGAGGCAAGATTTCAGTCTTGGACTGTCAGCGCTGCTGGTGTCGTGATTCGAGAGTCAGGATCCAGGAATTCGCCGTCCGTATCGCAGCTGTTATCTTAGAAGCCACGTGCGGCTTCCTGTTATGGCTTCATGCAGGAAAGATACTCTATACTTCTCACGCTCATTCTCGTATAGCAAGATATTGGTGGGCAGTGCGAGGACATCTTCGCACAAAAGAGCGAGCCGTTAGAGCTGGTATCGTTGACCTCGCTGCCGCTGACAACATGGCTACTTTTGATACTGCCTCTGCATCGAACAGGCAAAAGCTGTCTATCGAAGACATCAGAAACCTCACGAAAGACCTCGGCATGCAGCTCCCAGACGAGCTATAGGAAGAATGGAGAGACCTAATCGCCTCGGTTCAAGACTCGATAGACATGATAGAGTCCTTACCGGACTATGTTCCTAGCGTTGGCTTGGAGCGATACCTACGACTTGATTTTCATCGGCCTACAAGGGAGAGCAACCCCGGAAATGCCTGGGCAAGGAAAGTAAAGATCGAAGGTACTCCGGAAGGTCCTTTGGAAGGCACCACATTCCGTTTGAAAGACAACGTCTGCGCAAAAGATGTACCAATGCTAGTTAGCACAGACGTAATCACCGACTACATTCCAAATGTTGACGCTAGTAAGCTCCCGAGCCGCATTCGTTTTGGTTTCCGGTAGGTCGAATGAGAGGGCGGGGTAATGCTAATGGGATTTCGCAGCGGTTGTAACAAGGATTCTGGAGGCTGGTGGGACTATTGTGGGTAAAGCAGGATGTGAGAATCTGTCTTTGTGCGCGTCGTTCTTCTAGGCCGCTACTGGGCCAGTAGAGAATCCGTAGGCGGAAGGGTACATTGCCAGCGGCTCATCTAGTGGCCGTGACAGTTGACTCATTGGTCGGAGCAGGACTACATTTTCGAACAGTGTTGGATCGTCTAGAACCGTCTGATAGGCGCTGCTTTTAGCAATTAAGCGCAAGCTGAGCCAGGGTAGATACAGACATTAGTAGGGACCAAGGGGGATCGATACGTTTTCCCAGTAGTTACTGTGGCCTGGTTGGTATGAAGACTACTTGGGGACTGGTGCTATGAATAGGTAAGGATATCTACCTAAGAGTTTGGCCTTCATTGACGCTGAAAAAGGCATGATGACCCACGACGCGGTACATGACTGACACCACTAGGCCGATAACGAGGACGGCTGAGCTGAATGATAAAGTATTTCAACTAATAGCTGGAAGAGACAGCATAGATGACAAGCAATTTGCTGCGCCGCTGCTTTATAGTTTATCAAACTACTCAGCGCCCCTCGGAAAAGGTATCTTGAAAGTAGGCTACATATGTGGGCAAAAGGAGGAGGCTTGGAGGGGGCGGGCTAGAATAGTGCTGAGCCCAACCACCCGATTTTCAACATGAAGGAGGGATTCAAGTTCGATAAAGTCTTAGACCCGCGCGTTCGCGATAAAGTTCTAGAAGCCACGAAGGTATTTGAATCGCTGGGTGCCGAGGTCATTGAGATATCAATCCCGTTGCATTCGATTGCAGGCATATCGTGAAATGCGCTCTCCGTCCTGCAGCTACTCAGCAAGACTCTCTTGGGAAAGCTTGTGGACGTCGCAATTTGTGTCTCACCGGACTGACTGAAAATTTGGCTCCACTCGACCAGTCCCAGTTTGATAGGGTATGTGTGACTCTCGTTTATTAATGGCGCTTCTAATCCAATAATGCAGATGTTTGCCGCATCCAAGTCCTCGCTTTTCTCTGGTCTCCTGGTCTGGTCCACAGAACACTTCCTTCTCCTTGACGAAAAAAAGTCAAGTCCTGAGGTTGTTGTTGCTTTATACCATGGAAATTTGGATAGCATGTGAGATGCACGTGACTTTCGGTGGCGACTCACTCCTGAGCGTGCCCGATGTGTGTTAGGCATTATACTCAATGTGTATGCTTCGGGGAGTTTTGGAAGAAGAAGTATCGGATCTAACTGCAGCGGTTGCTTCTGGGACTGTATAGAGCGGATGTGGTAGACGCGGAGGGTCCTATGTGTGGCACGATGTGTGGCACGCGGTCGGGCCTATAGGTGCACGCAGAGGGGGTAGGATTTAAAGAAGTATCGTCAGATAGGACCGTAGAGATGAGTTTCGGAAGTCTTGAAGTGAGTTTGTTGGACGTAGAGGGCGTTTGTATCATTGTATAGGACGCGGAGGCCGGGCGCGGAGTGTGACCTTGTGTCAGAACAAGTGTGGGATCGAACCGTTGAGATTACTTTTGGGGGCCACTTTAGGCGTATATGGTATACCCGCAGAGCCTTTTTTGCGAGACGCTGAGGGGTTCATGTGTGTAAGCGTAGGAGCTAGGGCTGTTGTAAGAATAGCGGAAGAACTATCAATGCAACTGTATAGAGGAGTTTTATGGGAACAAGTATGGGGGTACGGAGAGTCTTTTGTATGGGGTTGGTGGAGAGTCGGATTGAAAAGTCTTAAGAGTCAAGACTGAGTGACATGTATTGAAGTGACTCGACTCAGTTTACTCCTGTCTACTAGAAAACAAGGCCTACAATTTATAATTTGAGATGCGGACGCTAAGAAACCTTCCTAAAAGCAAAACGCCGGAATACACTCACTTATCCGTAGACAAAGTGGAAAGAGAAAGCAGACAGTGTGATAAAAGGAAAGAAACCTCGAAAGAAACACCATTATACAAATTTTCACCCATCGTCTAAACCCGCATCGTCGTAAACCTCCTCGCCAAACTCCCCACCCCATTTCCAAACGGACTGTGGCTAGTCGGGCTCTTGATACCCGCACTCTTAATCCCAATACTTTCCCTTCGCTCAAGCACCAACTTCTGCTCGTTTGCCGAGAAGAGCATCGCCTGCGCCGCAGCACCGCCAGGCGAGAAAGTCTCGTCGTCGATGAGTGCCTTCCTGCGTTCTGCAGACAGCGAGAAGCTGGTTGCCACACGTAGCGAGGGAATAATCCGCGAGTTGACCTTTTGCGCGAGACTCTTCTTGCGGGTCTTGGGCGTAGTAGACGTCAGGAGGAAATAACCCCCCTCGCCAGTAGTCGCGTTGGACTCGACCCAAACCGATGTGTACTTCCCCTCGCCAATTGCTTCGTGCACGAGGCAGGCTTTGATGAGGAGGAAGCCGTCGTGGGGGGCCATTTTGACCATAGTATTGTGCCAAGGGGTGGGGACGTGCAGGAGGTCGTCGGTCTTCTCGGGCGAGTAGTCGAGGAGGGAGGCGGTGGTGCGGCAGTTGAAGCGGGAGAGGAGATTGCAGCCGAACTTAGGGCCAGAGTTAACGTGGGCGTGAATCGAAAGACGGACGGAGGCAGGGAAGAGAAGCTCGCAGAGATTGGAGTAAGCTTGGTTGCGCTTGAGCATCTCGAAGGCGATTTTGGCGGCGAGCTTCTTTTGCTGAGATTTAGATTTCGACATCATGAAGCCGTTGTGGGAGAGGTCCTCAAGCATGAAGCGTGTGAAGCCGCGGTAGAGGGCCAGTGCTGCCTTGTCGCCGCTTTCAATTTTGTTGCGTAGGGCTGAGCCGTCGATGCCAAAGGCATGTACCATGAGCTTGCGGCACAGGTTGGCGTCCTCGGTGTGTTTGGTATTGACGTAGTTGGGGAGGTCAAGTTTAGCAACGGCAGAAGTAGGAGCGTCGAGTTCGCCGAGAGCAAAGAGGGCCGGTAAGCCAAAGAAGCCTATGCGGTTGGATTCGGGGCCCAACATGGCGTCCTTCATTTCGATGAGTTGAGAGCTGTAGGTGTCTACTACTTCGTCGTCGACGCCGACTGTGCTTGTCAGCATCCTCTCTCTAGAAAGACTTGCAGGTACTTACTGTTGTCACTGAATACATGGCCATCAGACGCGATGAAACAACATGCACCCGGAGGGTAGATCTTCTCGATATCCTTCACGAAGAGGTAGAGACCTTTCAAACCAAGCTCCTCGCCCTTGTCTGGGCGTGTTCCAGCCACCTTGTTCAGAGAGGAAGACTTGCACGGGAATGCTGGGAGAATCATGTCGATCCTTTGCTTTCGAGATGTGAAGAGAAGGATCCTGTCCCTAAAGTAATCGCGGCCTCCGAAGTCCCATTGATCCCCATCGGCAATGTTTCGTAGCGTGTCCGAGAAGATATCGGTAATCGTGTTGGCCAGGTTCATCGCTTTCTCGTCTTCTTCTGGGAGGGGGTTGCAATGTGCAAGTCTCGCCGTATTCAAGACTAGTGAGACAGCCCACTCAGCAACAGCATCGGTGACTGGCTTCTTGAAGTATGAGTTGGGGAGTTTCAGGATGCCGCGAATCTGTGTCTCGTCCTCGAGTTGGGTCTCCCATATCTCAATTGTTTGTGAAGGTGTGACATAGCTGGAGTCTAGGGGGGTGACATCGACGCCTGTGGGATTGTCGACCTCGAAGGCGGTAAGAGAGGGGTTGATAGTGGTGATAGTCCTCTTGCCGGTAGTGACATTAGGCCGAATGAATTTACCCCAGTACGCTTCCCAGTCTTTCTCGACTAGAGGAGCTTCAGGGCCAAAGACGACGAGTAGTTTGCCTTCAACATCTCGGGTGTATTGGGCACGGATCTGATGATAAGGGGAATCGCCACGCTTGACTTCGACCATTATTGCGGTAGTATAGGTGAAACTGAACAGAAAAGAGTTATTTCACGAGAAGTGAGCAATTGATAAGTAGAAGAAGCGACGGGAAGACGGTGAAGTTGATAATGGATAGTCTTGGTCTGCTTCAGGAAACTATATAGCTATGCCCGAGGGTGCATTCTAGCCTCCCCAGCCCTCAGCTTCACCCTTCGAATTCAGACCACTGACAAGCGTTTGCAGCATCCTTGGCCGCCCACCGATACAATGGTCAATGGTCTATCAGGGCCTGCCAGCTGTTCCAGTCGCACACCTGGCTGCAGCCACGATGCCAAGGGCGGACGGGCCCAGCTCGCCGTTAGCATGCTGAGTCTGTCCTCGGCGACATGTCGGTGGTGCATGTCGGTCCCCGCACGCCATGTCTGGAACCCGTAGCGTGCACCGCCGCAGGTGCTTTTTGACGGATTAGGATTCGAGGTTGCTTGGGTGTGGGTTGTCGTGCGGTGTGGAGCCTCAGCCCTACAGCGGCTGGAGTTGCGGTCCAGCACGGCCGCGCCGATCGCACCATTCTTAGACCGCCGTTAATATGCGTTTCTTAGCTAATCGCAAGATTACAGCCTTACTTGGCAGCTGGCTCGCACAGTTCCTCGGTGATTGGTGAAGGGTGCATGCGTCCAGGCCAGTGGCTGGCGCGTTATTTCACATGCGACTGGCTGCAAAACGGAGTCAAGCTCAAAGTGGCTGGGCTACCAAGCAGTGAATTGCTAGGCGACCTCAGCTCATGTCGCTTCCGCTCCCTATGGCGTCTCCCCGACCCAACTCACAACGTCCAGCAGCTCCCAACGCAGCAGGAAGGCTTGAAGCTTGGGAGGGGGCTGAGATCTGCTCCTACTTGGCTCCCCCGGCGCACGCTCCGAGTTTTCCAGACCAGCCATGCACGCATACTCTAAAGCTAATTTCCATACCAAGATGCATTCCACAGCCCACGATACGGCTGTGCTTGCCCTGACCCCGCAGTCTGCAAGCGGCCGTCTCACGATGCTCACCGCAATGTCGACTCCCAAGCCCGCCTGAGATAAGTCCAAGACGCCCAGCCATTGATCCCATGCGCTGCATGGACTGGCCGCCGCGTGGGGCTGAGAGATGCTACGGGTCGAGGCGATGGTGCCGCAATAGGGCAGTCTGAGTTCTGTTTGAAAGGTATACGCCGTCTACCCGCCTTATCGCCCTTCCCCTCTTGTGTCTCTCCTCTCTCTCTGCTCCGTGTTCCATCACTCCACCATGGCAACTCCCTCCTCGGTTCCGCTGCAGCCAATCTACCCTCTGCAGAAAGTTCCGACCATCACCATTGGTCACGAGCCATCCTCCCCGGGCTATCATGGCCATTATTCCAACTACTCTTCAGTCCCTGCAGCTGAGCCTGCTATTGGACATCACCGCAACTCTTCCTCATTCTCTCTGCTTTCGCAGACTGAAACAAATGGCCCCACACCAGCTCGCGACTTCTCTGACTCTTCTCTCCTGCTCCCTCGAAGCGAGACTGAAGCTCCTTTGCTGAAACCCCAGAAGCCACCATATACAGCGTTCTCTGATGGCCGCCGCAAATTTCTCCTTGCCATTATTACTGCCGCTGCCTTCCTAGCTCCGGTGGCCGGAAACATCTACCTTCCAGCTTTGCCTCAGCTCTCCGTAGACTTCCGCGTTAGTCGTGTGGCCATCAACGCCACAGTCTCCATCTTCATGCTAGTCTTTGCTATCGCAGTATGTAATCGCCTATTTTTGCTTCTATCCCATTACTCAGACAGCTAATCTCTGCTAGCCTCTCTTTTGGGGGGCATGTGCAGACTTCATGGGCCGCAAGCCGCTGTACACCATATCGTTTCTGATATTCGTGCTTGCCAATGCCATTCTGATTTTTATTCCTGCCAACTATGGCGCCCTCTTCTTCTTACGTATTTTGCAAGCCACCGGCGCATCAAGCGTCGCCAGTCTAGGGGCAGGCACCATTGCAGACATGTACGAGCCAAAAATCCGAGCAGGAGCTATCTCAATGTTGGTGCCACTATCTACGACAGTACCACAGGTGCAAGTGACTAACACAAGTAGTTTCATGCTCGGTCCCCAACTCGGACCTGTTCTCGGCCCAGTCATCGGGGGAGCTATTATAGGTGGCACCTCATGGAGATGGATATTTGGCTTTCTCGCCATTCTAGGTGCCGCAATTTGGGTCTGGATGCTCTTCTGCCTCCCCGAAACACTGCGAGCAAAAGTTGGGAACTCAGCCATTCACGCCGACAAACCCTGGGTCGCATTCCCCAATTTCCATGCCCGCGCTCCTATCAAGCCAGGAACTATAATCATGAAGCGTCCCAGCGCGATGAATGTCTTCAAGCTGCTCAAATACCCCCCGATCGTGCTTGTCTCTGTCAACGTAGCAATCCTCTTCGGCTCTTATTACTGCGTCGCGGTCACTCTCCCCACCCGTCTTAGGTACGAATACCACTTCTCCGAAACCGCGATCGGCGTCGCATACATCCCCATTGGCGTTTCAATGATAGCCGGATCACTTCTCAGCGGCCGCTATTCTGACTGGGACCACACCCGTGCCCAACGCGCGAGCCCTGATGGGAAAGTGGCACCAGAGAACCGCATCAAGTCACAGCTCTTTGGCGTGGTACTTTTCCCGGTCGGCATCGAGCTCTATGGCTGGTCCTGCTACTTTGCGTTCCACCCCGCCGTCGTGCTAACGGCGACGGCCGTGGTCGGCTTCAGCATGAGCTGGGTCTTCGCGACGAACACTACATACATGACATTAGCTAAGCCAGGGCAAGCCGCCACCCTCGTCGCTATTGCCAGCCTCTTCCGCAATCCAGCCGCGTCCTTGGCCTCGCTCGTCATCGACCCTATTGTGACGAAGATTGGTATTGGATGGACGTTTCGCGGCCTAGCAGCTCTAGATATGAGCTGTATTCTGATTGTGATTGTCCTTATTTGGTACGGGCCGGGCTGGAGGAAGAATATAGAGGACGAAATGGCGGCGGAGAAGGCCAAAGCGGCGCCGAGTATGGGTGCAGGAGCTGTTGGAGTATCAGCGGTCAGTCTGGCGCCGTCGACGATGCAAAGGTGAGAGCGAACAAGATGGTGTCCGAAATAGAGCCTTGATTTTAGCGATCTGCATAGTCGGCGTTCTAAGGGGGTTCACTGTAACCATGATTTATATATATACTCTCGAATTGCCATGATTAGCGAGCAAATCATATTAATTTATCATCGCACATTCACTTCATTTCAATTATTATTACTCAGAAATGAGGTAAAGCTCCTTAAAGAATTACCACCAAGCCTCCCAAGCCCCTCGCTTCCTGCCTCGATAGCACCCTCGGCGAGACCGCTCGATGCAAAAAGCATCACACACCCTGCGCAGGAGGTGGCTTTTCAGCCACAGCTTACTATCGAACGGTCAAGGCCGCGGGCGCTCTTGGCATACAGACACCCCAGCACTGCCCTATGCAACGCAACGTCAGCTGGATGTGTGAGCGCAAACGCCCAAGCTCACCGCTTACTACTTGGCGACGTGGGAGCTGGACTCTGCACTCCACTACGCCGAGGGCTGAAGCAAGCTGTGCTGTACATGACTGACGCCGTAGTCATGTCGCTTGCAGGGAGTTGCTGGATGAGGCTGGTGGAGTCTCCGGTGATACTTCACGAGCCCAAGTCCTTATCAGTATATCAACGTGCTCAGTTCCATTTTTCCGTCGTGTCTATTTCTACACACGAGTTCTTCGTTTCTCTTTCGTTCAATTTCCGTCATTTCTTTCATAATCAGATTCGGTCCTCCTCTCCACCATGGCTCTCCTCGTCATAGCCGGCATCCTCATCGCCCTCGCCCTTCTCCTCCACCGCGCCCTCTCACCACCCTCAAACTTCCCCCGCAATATCCCCACCATCCCCATCTGGGTGTCCCTCCTCGGCTTCTTTACCAACCTCGATCAACTTGAGATCTACGCCCAGTACATCAAACCCTCCATCGCCGTCCACGGCGCCGTCATCTACTTTTTCGGCGGCCGCTGGAATATCCTTGTGCAACGGCCTGAGCTTCTATCTGAAGTGCTGAAACATGAAGACGTCTATGCTAAGAGTGGAAACCAAAAGAAGATACCGTATAGTGTGCTTGCGGCATTTACGGGTGATAACGTGATTTCAGCGCATGGCGAGACCTGGAAGAGCTATCGGACGGTAATGCAGCCGGGCTTGCAGAGACAGGATTTCGACTTCAAGGGGATACAGAAGAATGCGGGAAAGTTGGTGGGATTGATGATAGAAGCGCAGAGGAAGCTACCAGTTGGGAAGGGGGTGATGGTTAATCCGTTTATTCAGAGGTTTGCGATGCAGACCCTGGGGGAGACGGTGCTAGGGACAGATTTTAAAGTATTTCCCTCCATATTCGACTGATGAACAGACATCATGCTAACATTGATATCAGACACTCGACTCAGACACCCCCCCCATCCACACCATCCACTCCCAACTCAAAGCCCAGATCTTCAAACCGCTTTACCTCGTCGCTCCTTTCCTCGACAAATTCCCTATCGAATCTCGACAAAAAGCCAGAGTGCTCGTCCACGAATTCGAAAACGAGCTCGTCACCACCGTACTTGAGCAGACCAAAGACTTCCCAGAAGACGACGATCGACTCATTTCCCTCATGAAGCGTGCCAGAGCAGACGGGACATGGACGGAGCAGCAATTCCGTATGCCCCCTTCTCTCATCCACGACCTTTCTTCTCTCAACCCATATCTAACATGTAGCACAGGCGACAACCTCAAAATCACCTTCATCGCCGGCCATGAAAACGTCCAGCAAGGCCTCAACACCTGCCTCTACCTCCTCGCCGCCCAGCCCGCCTTGCAAACCTCCCTACGTGCCGAGTTTTCTTTTCCATCCCCCGACGCAGCCATCGATATCGCGAATATGAAAGCGAGTCCAACACTGACCTCATTCCTCCTCGAAACGCTCCGCCTGTACCCGCCCATCCCACAGCTGCTGAATCGGTGTACGACTACCTCCACGACTCTCGGTCCCTCTAATATTCAAATCCCGAAGGATACGTACGTCGGATGGACAGCCACAGGCGCTCATAGGGATACAGCTGCGTGGGGCGAGGATGCGGCAGTGTTCAGGCCGGAGCGGTGGGGAGTAAGTGCGGAGGAGATGCATGCCAATATGCGGAAGTGGACGGCGAGGGGGAAGTTTGTGCCATTCCATGGAGGGCGGCGTGCGTGTTTGGGACAGGGGGTTGCGATGGTGGAGCTGAGAGTTGCAGTTGTGGAGTGCTTAAGAAGAAGTAAGTTGAGCTTGGAAGACGGAGCAACGGTAAAGTTTACCCCTGCAGGGCTTTTAGCGCCGATGGGGTTGAGAGTGCGATTTGAGGAGTTGGAGAAGACGTGAGGCGGAGAAGGCGTGAAGGGGGGGGGCAGCCTTGAAACCAAGAGTTGCGAAGCTGAGCGAGCTCCTGTTGACGTTTGATGGGGATGGGGGTGAGAGAGGTGGAGATTCGGCTGCCGGATGGCTCGCCGGTTCCTGCGGGTGATTCATGAGATGCGGTTCTTTGAGGCGAGTTGGATGCTTAAGTTCAAGGGGATTTATTGTTTCTCGTACTCGATGGGGGATACGCATCTGCTGGTTTATGCGACGGGGAAGAGTCCGTTAGGACCATTTATGTATCGGGGCACGATACTAGAGCCGGTGGTGGGGCGGACGACGCATCATTCGGTTGTGGAGTTTGAGAGGAAGTGGTGGTTGTTTTATCAGGATGCGAGTTTGAGCGGCGGGATCAATCATTTGAGGTGTGTGAAGGCGAGAGAGATTGTGTATGATGAGGAGGGGGCGATTGGCCTTAAGGAAGCGCAGTGATAAGTCGGTGAAGAAGAAAGGATAGAAAACGCCGACGAATCAGTCACGTCAATCAGGTATCAGAGAGAAGTAATGACACGTTCTGACATAGCTGCTAGGAGATTTGACAAAATGAAGCGTCCCAAGCAACCAATTTGGAAGTCCTTCAGTAGCGTATCATCGAGTTCAATTCATGATTTTCGTATCAGGGCTTCAGTCTTTTCATCATTCCTGTCTTTCAATCTCATAGCTCCAGTACTTTACATCGTAGTATCTTTTCGTCCAATCGCCCAGGGGTATCTTCAATCTTTGTTTGGGCTATCAAGGACCTGAACAACTCAGTTTCCTTTGAATCTTCTTATCCTTCACAGTATGGGATCATCTCGGTCGATGGCCGGTCTAGTATAGCTACTGTGGTTATTTACATCATGAGCACAGATTTTCGAGCTTCCGAGATGTGTCTTCACTCCTCCTATAGCCTGCCATAAGGTCTGCACACGGTGATTTGATTTCAACTCGTAACTCCTTCACATCAAGGAAGTGTTTAGGTCGAACGAGTTTATAGTTAAGCTACTCCCACTCTTGACAACAAGAACGCAGATTTTCAAGCTATTCGGAAGTATCTCAAGCCATCACATATTCCACAGAAAGCTTGGATAACGGTATCTTTGCAGAGCTTCCCCGTCTTTTAAATCGGGGAATCTTCTCGGTCGAGCGTCGTTCTGCTTTAGCTCCGCCAGTACTTTACATCGAGACCACGGGGTTTCAAACCGTCAAAAGGGGGTCAAACTCTTTACGTGGCTTAGCAAAAAGTCTAAGTAACATAGTCTCATCTAGGCTCATCAATCGTTTACACTGTGGAAGTAATTCGATCCGAAACTTCAGGGGCACCATCACCCCTTACGTACGCTATGAAACTGGAAGATGATATGGATCCTCGGAGCTTTAGCATCATGCGGAAGTCTTCTTTAAGCGGCTCGAAGGTGATGCACTCGTTCGATGGTCTGCTAAATCACTCGAGCCCACCATTACGGATCAAGCGATGCAGCTTTTACATCGTGGGAGCATCATAGTCAATCAGTCCAAGGGTATCGTCACTCATTACGTGCCATGCCATAATAAATATAACCACTAGTTATTCAATTAACACCGACCTAATATGGGCCCTCTGGTTCTTTACATCGTTGGCGAATCTTCTCGCATAGTCTAGGGGGGCCATCCGTCTCTAGGTGGGCTGTCAAAATGTACACAACTAAGGGTAGATTTGTATTCATGTGCGAGCAGTATACCCCCTTAGCGACTAGATCGGCACTGGTCTGATTTAGGCCCCAAGGTTCTTTACATAGTCTGCATACCCTTTCGCACAGGCCAGGGGCGCCATCCGTCGATAGGTGGACTGTTCAAGTGACGATAGCTACATTGCAATTCGGGAGCGGTTGCAATTTAATGCCACTGTCAACGCGGCCCTTTCATGATCTAGTAATATCGCAAGTGCTAATCCAGTCCAGCATCTGTCAGTGAACCGAGCAAGCCTTATTCAATGTACCGATGATCTTCATCTATTCTTTTATCTATGACACAAATCGTCAAGCTAAGTGCTTTTCTCGTCGGGGATTGAGCGCGGCTTCATCCCGGGTATATTAGGTACAAATGGGAGCGGTGGTGTTCGCTCAAACCATACGAAATGCGTGAGAATATAGGAAAAGCTCGAAAATGGTGACGGCCAAGTATTAATACCCTTGAATGAAAAATTATTGAATTTTGGGATCTGTCTTGACACAGAGCCGGAAGTGCTAAGGGTGATGCCCTCGTGACGGAGCACAACCCGGGCGTGACGGAGCACAACCCGGGCGCGACGTGCTGGTCTTGCTGCTTTGAACCATGGCGTCCATTGAGCGTAACGATGAGCAGAGCTGTAACATCGGAGCCAGCCGGTTTACAGGGTGCCGGGAATGCTGTCGCTAGTGACCATGCGGCGGTAGCCTCATTCCCCCTCTTGCTTGATGGTAGATTATTCAACAGAGTGCAGAGCCTCATAACCGAGCGATATATTGGAAGGCCGTGTTAATCATGAACCTGATGTCTTGTAACACTATGTGTCTTCAACCCCACTGTTCTTCATTTGCCCAAGACGTAGATGGAAGAATGGCATGCCGCGATGGATTATCCGGTTGCCTTCGAATGCCCATCTGAGAGGTACTCATGTGAGAAGCGTGAGAAGCCCCCATCTGGGAAGGGACCCTATCTTTCGGTGGTGGCGGTGGAGGTTGCTGAGGTTGAGGCACTGGCACCCGCCTGCTCGCGATCGAGACTAATCGAGCACGGTGGGATTGAGGCGTGGGAACAGGAGGTGGAGGTGCTGGCGTAGAGGGCGCGGTGTATGGCGATGACATTGCTTTTGAATACCCCATAGTCGGGTCCAATTGGTTCACGGGTGGTGGCTCGTTCGCGGAGTAGTCCATGAAAGACCCAATATGATCAAACGTCTGGATTCCGGGGTCGTTGAAGAAGCTGCTGTCGAACAATTGGCTCTGGCCGAAGTCCACAGATAGAGGTTGTGAAAAGGTATTGTCGATGTAAGTCGTTGTGGGTAGGGTCACCTGGCTCGCGTTGGGTTTCAAAGTCTCTTGAGAGGGCGCTTCCCAGTGAGGCTGCTGATATTGTGGAGGTTCCATTTGAGGAGGTCCTCGGTACTCATGCTCCACGGGGATTTCCATTTCCATCTCCATGTCATTGGAAGGAACAATCTTCGCCTCAACAACGTCGACTTCCATGGACTCGGTCTTCTGCTCTTTCGACTCAACCGCTCCTAGTTCGTAGACCTGTTGGATAAGGTTGTCGACGTCAAACGCACGCGAGTCCCAGCTGTCTTCTAATGAGAATCTTAGACGATTGTACTTGGTGAAGCTAGCCGTCTTCTTAGGATCCCACGAGAAATGTGGCCAATGGGAGCTGTCCCCATGCTTAGTCGCGAGATAGTTGTTCCACGCCACCGAGATTCTCGATTGTTGGAGCAAGGCGGTAATGACATTCGTGAACTTCCAGTCCGACTTGGCTGCGCCGTCTTCGAAGTGCTGGGCAATATGGTCGCACCTCTCCTCCCACGATGCAAGAAGCTTCGCACAGAAGCCACAGCCCCAGGCGTCTTTGTTGTGCATTGGATGCATTGCTTTCTTCACACACATCGACGGCTTGCGCGGGTGTCCAGGTCCTACGTCCTTGCTCTGTTCACACTTCTCGCAAGCATGGCACTTGTAGTGGTGCTCGCGAAAGCGCTTTCCGGCGTTGAACCATTGGTCGCAGTCAGGGCACTTCCACCTCTGTGCTTGTTCGTGGAACTCCTCTTCGTGTGACTTCCAGTAGGCCTTCGTCTTCAACGTCTTGTCACAAAATGTGCAACCGAACTTCTTAGCCGTCGTGACACTGGGCGCTTGCGACATGCGAGACGCTGCGGTATAGCAGCTCCATCGCGTATCAGTGGTGCTGACCGAGTCTCTCGGGTTCGAGAATATGCTGGGTGCTCTGGACGGGATGCTGAGGTAGGATGACGCGCGACTGTCGATTGTCGAGATTGAGAATCGATCTGTATGTTGTTAGCGTTAGTAATCAGTCTCAGAGACGGGCCGGCGCAATGCGTACCAGGACCACGAGCGACCCGCAACAGATCCAATATCTGCTGGTCGTCCAGATGTTTCAATCCGTGTATGCATTGCAAGACATCGTTGGTAACGCGAGCCTGGTTTGGGTGAGGCGAGGGCGAAGCGCCCTCGGGCTCGGAGAAGGGCGTGGAGCTGTGAAGACTGCGGACGGAGCGGGAGGCGTTTTGGAGCGGCTGTGAGGCAGGATGGGCGAAGAATTGAGGCTGGTCGCGGTCCATGTTCATCGTGGGCGGCGCGTCGAGGCGGTGGGCATTCCGGAAGATTGTTGCGAACGGGCCCCCTTTATTGTATTACTCGCTGCGAGGGCGCGGACGAGGTGTCGAGTGCGGTGCGGTCGGCAGCTGGGCGAGCAGGTGGTTTTGAGCAGGCCTGAGCGCTGCGTGCGGGCTCGAGGCGTGATAGCAGAGCGGGCTGGCTTCAAACCTTCGGGGCCCACGCGTGGTGGTCGATGCCCGGGAGCTGGGGCGGATCGTGGGTGTTTTGAGAGGATCTCGTTTCGTCCACCTCGCTGCGCATCCCTGGCCCACGGGGCTGCTTGGCGTGTTCCGTGCTTAGGGCTGTGTGTTGCCGGCATGCTGGGGCGCCCTCGACTAAGCCGATCCTGCTGCGAAAAGGGGTATAATTAGGGCGTCATGATTTCCGCGATGCTCTTCACCGCGATCTGAAAACCTCCGAATCGCGCGCCGTCCGCTCTGCTCGCTGCCTCCACACTCTGCATGGCGCCCAGCCCGCCGAGGCACACGGCGACGGTCCGCGGCCCTCTTGCGCTCGTCTGCCCAGGGCCACAGTCTGAAACGGCACTAAGCAGCAAACACGTCGTTTTCTGCTCGCCCGGCGCTGGCGAAGAGAACGCGCCCGAGGGCCTTCAGCTCGGGAGACCCAACCTTGAAAAGAGCCTCCTCGTCCTGCTGCCTCGAGCACTGCGCCGCTGTAGGCTGTTCCTGCCCTCGTATCGCAACCTGAAGCCGGCTATGCTTCAGATTGAGCATCAGCCGTCACAGGCCGCGAATGAGGCGGCCTGCTTGCTGGACGGGCAGCCTGCGCTGTACTGCAATGTCCCGGTCGCATGAGCCGATCGTGCATCGAGTGGCCATCCGAACCGATGTGTGCCGGGCAGCGTGTTCGTGGCTGGACGTCCCGGATTCGCTGTGCAGGAGCGCGTTGAGCCGCCATATCGAGGCTTCAGTGACTTCTGACACTTCCGTGATCTCCAGCACGTGCTGACGTGTCAAACAACAGCATTTGCGCAACGTAAGCATCAGAGGTTATTTCTACTCACCGGTATTCCCGCCGCCGTCGAGAATCCGGGGTAGAAAACACTCCCGGATGCTATTTCGAGACTTGGTGAGGCTGCAGCCCCTGCAAGGCCATCCTGTTGACCATCAGCGACAGCTTCGCGTGTCTTTAGTAAGCGTTCTTGGCGGACGTTGGAAGCTGGAGTTGCTGAGAAAACGTCTATGTAAAGAACCTGCGTCGTCGAAGGAGGATGCGGTTGGCCTGGAGAATTGGACGGCGTGAAGTTTACCACCTAGCATAGGATGCCTGATGACGTTGTCGCCGACGCGATTGGGCGGGACGAGCCGTAGGCGATCAATGAGCATGGCGACTGCTCAAAATAGTACACTATCTATTCATGTCTATATGCCTATCATATTCTTCCATTACTGCATGTGAGGTCCGGAGAAGCTTTCCAAGGTTTCGTCTGCACTTGAAAACCCCCCTTTCAGCTTCAGCACGAAACAGGCGCAGTACCTTGCGAAGGCCACGCACCGTTATTACCTTTTCGTTGACATTTTCTCTTTCCTCGTACCTTACTTCAAATTACTCAAGTTGCACAAAGTGTATTGGCCCGAATTGAGCCCTGTGGTGTTCTATTGGATGACTCACTCGTTTGTCACTGCTTGGAGTGCTTGCATAGGGGTTCAGAATCCAAACGCGATGCCGAAGCTCCTACTGCGGATTCTAAGCTACTCTTTGACTAGCTGCTTCTAATAGTCTGATAGTGACGTCTAACTTCCAAAAATAGCACTCAAACAGTGGTGTATCCGTGTCTAGGCTTATGGCCCATCAAAGTAGATACTTGAAGCCTCCTTAATAGAAGATGTGTACCTGGTAGCGTTTGAAACGACAAAACACCACCCTCCGCGCATCCGATGAAACAATACCCTTGCCACATCATAGATACCCCTTTCGACAGGCCAGCACCTCACCCCATTCAATCCTCAGAATAGAATGTTACCCCCAGGAAGAAACGCAGTTTTCTGCATGAACACCGCGATAGAAGCAATCTCCTCGGAGCGGCGGAGATAGCGTCCGTATCGATGCATGATGGACCCCTTTGCGGTGATCTTTGAGGATCTGGTCCCACTTTCTCTCCGTGCTTGCCTTGATGAAGCTTTGCAACTCAATCCGAGTATGTGCTACATTGTGAAGCTAAGGATCTAGTTAACAGCCACTTCATGATAAAGATCTAGACTGTAGCGCCCGAAGACCAGTCCTAAGCCACTAAAGGCGGACCCAGGGTCTGCTTCACAAGACGTAACATACAGCTCGAAGTATCTGATGGTCGAGGCTCGCAACAATCGAGCGTTGTGTACACCATCAGATACGGGTCCGAATGCCAGAAATTCTACAGAGAAGTACTGTTCAGTCGCGAACTTAAGGTGAACGTGGTGCAGGAACCACTCTCTGATAAATTTTTGGTCATGCTCAAATGAACCCTGGCGAGAGAATATGATCGCGTGCTAATTGAGGAATATGGAAAGATACTTCCTTTCTGGCAAGAAAAGCTTGACACAGCACCCATGCATAGGTTCGTGCATACACTCTTCTACCATGGAGATATGTTGAAATGCGGGTGGTTGGGCCAGCCCCTCTTCGCCAGCCACCTCAACCGGGTATATATAGCTAAGCTTTGTGCCGTCCTCCCAATACAGTTCCTAAACAAGCTTCTCGTCTTCCTGATTCTCACCACGTAGAAATGTGTGCAAAGATCGATGAGGCGTTGAGTAGGTAAACAAGGAATTTTTCAGGGCGGCATAAGGACGGCAACGAAATGATAGCTTGGCGCAGCATAACAATATTAGACAGATGACAAGGGTACGCTCTACTGTCATGGCGAGTTGTTCCTCTTTTGCAGTGCTGCCCAGCTGATGGACGGAGGAAAAAGAGGATGAATTTAGAGTCACGTGACGGATGATCTAGTTCTCGCTTAGCGCGCACAGCCGGGAAGTTGACCTGCGATTGATTTTCTCGAGAGCCAACTCTGCCGCCCACGACTCCACCAAGTGCTCTCTAATTCCTCCTCCACAGCGTCAGGCAGCAGACTTCCATCATGGCCGAGCAGTTGGTTCTCCGCGGCACCCTTGAGGGCCACACCGGCTGGGTCACCTCGCTGGCGACCTCGCTCGAAAAGTACGTGCGAAACCAGCTCCCATCCGAGCGCGACGAGCTTCAATAGCTTCAATGGACTGACTGGCAGCTAGCCCGAACATGCTCCTGTCCGGAAGCCGAGACAAGACCCTCATCATCTGGAATCTGACCCGCGACGAGACCTCATACGGCTACCCCAAGCGAAGCCTTCACGGTCACTCGCACATCGTCTCCGACTGCGTACGTTAGCCCGGAGGAGCAATTGGATATTGGTAGCGCTGGCTAGAGCAAAAAGGCTGATAGTTTGAGTGTACAGGTCATCTCCTCTGACGGTGCCTACGCTCTGTCGTCCTCCTGGGACAAGACCCTCCGTCTCTGGGAACTGTCGACTGGAGCCACCACTAGGCGATTCGTTGGCCACACCAACGATGTCCTCTCCGTCTCCTTCTCCGCCGACAACCGTCAGATCGTCTCCGGCTCCCGCGACCGAACCATCAAGCTATGGAACACCCTGGGAGACTGCAAGTTCACCATCACCGACAAGGGCCACACCGAGTGGGTGTCGTGCGTGCGGTTCAGCCCGAACCCCCAAAACCCCGTCATCGTCAGCGCTGGTTGGGATAAGATTGTGAAGGTATGTCTTATTCCGTACACACAAAACTGCCTTCAAATGATGCTACGCATAAATAAAGTATTTGCTACTTCAGAGCTCTCGAGCCATGAGACAAACATTCACCATTGCCCTGATACCTTGTTCAAACCACACGTCAATATTCAAACTAGCAAACTGAATCAGAAGCTGACGGCATATGCATAGGTCTGGGAACTCGCCTCGTGCCGCATCCAAACCGACCACATTGGCCACTCCGGCTACATCAACACCGTCACCATCTCGCCCGACGGTTCTCTCTGCGCTTCCGGTGGAAAGGACGGAACCACCATGCTGTGGGACCTGAACGAGTCAAAGCACCTTTACTCGCTCACCGCCGGTGACGAAATCCACGCCCTCGTCTTCTCTCCCAACCGCTACTGGCTGTGCGCGGCCACCTCCTCCAGCATCATCATCTTCGATCTCGAGAAGAAGAGCAAGGTCGACGAGCTGAAGCCCGAATACATGGAGGTTGGCAAGAAGAGCCGGGAGCCGGAGTGTGTGAGTTTGGCCTGGAGCGCTGATGGCCAGACCCTGTTTGCTGGATACACCGACAACCGTATCCGCTGCTGGGGCGTGATGGCGAGGGCATAGGTTTGATGGCTACTAGGTGGTTGGAGAACTTGGGGGCTTTGAAATCTTCTGTTACGTGCCATGAGGAGAATGAAGGGGTGGGCGACTGCTCGAACGGCGAGCAGTCCTTGCCTATGTTTGCCGGTACAGCACTACTAAGGCGGCGCTCAGAGCAAATAAAAAACTCATTCAATCCATCACTTAGTGCAAAATTCCTGTGATGTCTAGAGTTGCTGATTTTCTATTACTTGGGTATAGGGTTGCGGTGAGATCGAAGTTGCTCATGCTCCGCCACTTGATCAGAGATGACCGGCGATGTCTGGAGCTCTGAAGTTAACCTATCACGTAAGGATACGAAACGAGGTGGTGATCGTCGAGCCGATGGTACGTGACTCCTTGGGAATCTTCTTGGGTTTGATATTCGCCGTCTGGTACGCTAGGAACTGCCACCCACGCGCTGTCTCCCAATCTAATTTTCACACGGTTGAATTCATTACTTTTGGTGACTGATATGCCCATCGTCTATCTACACCGAGGGGGCACGTTGCGTCAAAACGACCACGGCTCGTCTACCAAACCAGGTTTCACGCGGTTCGATCCGTGACTTTTGTTACCATATGTCGACATCACCTACGTATTACTTCACACCACCTGAGCGTATCGCCACGCTTCGTGAATACATGCGTAGATACATCCCTCACCTCAACCTCCATCCCCATCCCCACGCCTACAACTTCGCAAACACCGGCCTCGTCTTCTTCAACCCACTCAACAAGGCATCCTTGACATCCCCCGTCTGCACCATGGCCATATTCCACACCGCCGTATACCGCAACCCCTCCTCGACCGTGCGGTCCCGCGAATAATTCAGCAACTCCTTCGTCCCCGCCGTCGCGACGGGGCTCTTGCTCGCAATCGCCGCCGCCAGCTCCGCGCCCGCCGCCACCGCCGCGCCCTTATCCTTATACACGCCGCTCACCAAGCCCACCCGCAGCGCCTCCTCGGCCCCGAACACTCGGGCGCTCAGACACACGTCCTTGACCCAGCTCGCGCTGCCGACGGCTTTCGGCAGGCGCGACAGCGTGCCGATGTCCGCCGCGAGCCCGATGTCGACTTCCTTGACGGAGAAGGCGGTGCTGGCGGCGGCGAGGCGGACGTCGCACGCGAGGGAGAGGTCGAGCGCGAGGCCGTACGAGATGCCGTGCAGGACGGCGATGACGGGCTTCTCGCAGCGCTCGAGGGCCGTGATGCAGGCCTGGAAGGCGAGGATGTCGCGGCGGAGCGTGTTGGCTTTGCGCGCGACGTCCGGGCTCGGGGAGAGGGGGTTGATGATGGAGCCGCCTTGGGAGGCGGCCTAGGGGGTGGGTGGGGTGTTAGGTTTGGGTTTTAAGGGGGGTTGGGGAGTGGGGAGGAAGCGGTACGGACCTGGACGTCGAGGCCGGCGGTGAAGGCGCGCTCGCCGGCGCCCGTGAGGAGGATGGCGCGGACCGAAGGGTTGTGGGAGAGGCGGGCGAAGATGGCGGAGATGTTGAGCCACATTCTGGGAGTGTGGGTTAGGTTGGGAGCGGAGAGGGGGTGTTCTGGAGGGGGTTTGACATATATAAAGCTTGTGGGAACGATTTTCTGATGAAGGCTACTGCGAAGAAAGGAGAGATATTGGAAGGTATGTAGGGAAGCGTAGCTTATGAAAGAAGGGTAGTTGGTAGTCCCCATTCGAAGTATGTAGCCATCTTTATCAACTGGAACATGACTCTCATAGGCTCCATATATGCCACCTCCATGGCATATAAACTAAGAGAGGTTGATATAGAATAAAGCGTCTCTCCCTAGCATGACTGGGACGCGATGATTCCGCATAAGCACACGAAACCCAGACAAAGAATCCAGAGACGAAAGTGTAGACGAGAATGAGACTTAAGCCCGAAGGCAAACAACAGATCATCATTGCAGAGGATAGACGGTGATCGGAAGCACGTGACTTTTGAGCGTGTGGCAAAAGATGAGATGATTCTCTACTCACTTCTCAACAAACGCATTCAGCTTCTCCGGCCGGCTAATCTCCACATGCGCCACGTACTCCTGCGGGAATGACACATTGAAGTACTCGTAATTGTACTCCTCCGCGGCCCCTGCCGCTGGTTTCTCGCCCGCTGAAACCATCTTCTCTATAACACCTCTTTTCAAGTTAAGAAGGAACCCTGTACGCGTGTATAGGCGATCTTGAAAGCGTTGCAAATGGAAGGATAGCAAGGTGGTGGTTGTACGTAGTGCGCTGGCAGTTGGTCGTATGTCTGATGTTGGGGGAGCTCGCTCGGCCTTTGTGGTCCAAGGGTCGTGTCTGTGTCTCACTTCGGTCGACGCTCTCACATGCCTCGGCTCAAATCCAATTGGGTGTGAAAGACCGGATCCGACGACTCAGGCGAGCGTTACGGGGATGGGGTTTGGGCCTTGGTTAGAAATTGGATGAATGCTCCTAGGCACGTGGTAAATGGGTCACACTCAGACTCGGATGATTTGGTTGATAGGTAGGCATTATATCAGATGCTAAACAGCTAACCAACGACGCTACATGAACTCCAATAAGCCCACTTCTGCCACCAAAATGCTCGACGTGATACCAGCCATGCTAGATGATGATTTACCGACCCCATACAAAAAATAATGCGAAAGATGCTTCTTAAATGGACAGATCATTTGATCGAGAGCTTACTCCTCAACCGCCCAACCGACTTCTTCTTCTTCCACACCGTCCGGTAATACGCAGTCAGCGCCGGGAAACTCTCCTTACTACAGATATCCCCATTCTCGATAATGTGGTCTAGCACCGGCCACGCCGCACAATCGGCAATAGAGAACCTCGACCCTGCAATGAACTGGGAGCTGTTGCGAGCCAGGCGATCTTCTAGAGCCATCAGCGTCTCTATGAAGACTTCATAGAAAGCAGCACTCGAGCTCTTTTGGAAGCTCTCTTGGAGCTTGAGCATAACTTGGAGGACTTCGTAGGCGTTTGCTGTGACCTCCTTGCCGTAGTCGTCTCGGTCGAGATGGTGGTATCGATCGAGGTAGAGTAGTATTGGTATGGCTCCTACCACCTCCGTATGCTTGAGGTCAGCATCTCGGTAGCATATCTGGCGGCCTCCTTCATACTCTTTCTCAATCGTGGGAGGTTCCATGACCGTATGCGCGAGGCCGAGTTCAGCTAGACAGATAGCGATTTGTCGGTTCTCCACCACCTCGTTTGAAGCAAAGAGGATAGGGTTGTCTACAGGAGGTGCTCGGAAATGAAGGACATCAAAGCCTTCCCCATACACTCCATCCCAGTCGAACTCTGTGCTGTGATTTTCTTTCCCAAAAGCGTGAATGATCTTCTCCGTCTCTTCTTCATCGTCATTTATAACGTCGTTAGCTGCAGACCGGTCTTTCGCTGTGGCACCCTGGCCCCATACCAGACGTGTATCACTGTCCAAGAAGGTCCCTATCTGGCGGAATGTCAAGGAAATCCGCATACCGCTGAACGCCTTCTCGACGTCCGACCGGTCAGCAGGTGAGCGTTTGTCGGCGGTGATACCGTGCAGCCAGCGCATGTTAGAGTCTTGGCCGAGCACGAAGATGGAGTTGTGTGGCATTGCAATACGTTGGGTGCTACGTGCAGGTGTCGCATCGTCGGAGGCTTGTTCGGACTTCGCAGACTTCTTGGTTCTCAGCCGCATTGTCCTTTGCGCGCCGAAGCTGACATTTACGATGCTCGATCCTCGGACTATATCTAAGGTTTTGTCTGAGTGCTCTGAAATATAATCCTGGCCAGATCGGTAGAGTTGAATGAGAACATGGTTGACCGGATGGTGTACGACCTTTTCTACTTGTTCACGTATCAGTTGAACGGTCGGGGAGAAGTGTAGTAGTGGCATCGATTGGTCTGACGGATGTCGATACACGGGCATTGAGCCATCAGGACCAAATTCGCCTTGAACGCACACCAGTCGTGGGACTTCTCCTTGTGCATGATACATCTTCTGCCATCGAACTTCGTTATATAGCTGAGTGAATACAATATCTTTGAGCAATTTCTTAGAAGTTTTCGGATGACACATAGTAGGAGGGAAAAAATCGTATATGATGCGTGAGTCACCTTCCGCGATTGTGTCGTCGGGTCCCAAGACGGGAAATGTCGCGAGAGATTGGATCTTCTTCGGCATTGTTGGCTGAGTATGTGCGATTGGAGCCTTGTCAGCGGCTTTTGGAGATTTTTCTGGGGCTTTAGGAGATTGTTCTGCGGGTTTAGGAGATTGTGGGCTGGACAATGGCGGCACGGCGGGTTTTGTTGAACGACCGAATGACAGGCGAAGCTTGGAGTCCTTGTCTTTGGAACTGGAGCTCAGCGCAGGTTGAGAAGCATGCGACTTTAGTTTTTGTTCTCGGCTCGATGGTCTTCCTTTAAGCATATCAGTGCTTTCTGCCCGTGCAATGGTTGGTACACGTGGTGGTGGCTCAGGAGGCGCAGCAGGCTTCTTCGAGCTTCTATCAGGTGACACTTCAGCTGGTGCCTTGGAGCTCGATGCAGCCTCTGAGCTCGATGCAGCCTCTTTGGGCGCCTCTGCTTTGGGAGCCTCCGCTTTGGTCTGGCCATCGCCTTTTTTCTTATTCTTGCTACTTCTAGACCGCATCCTTATTTTCGTCTTCACGAAGTTCTGCTTCGCCTCTTCGTCGCCTTGCGATTTCCTCGGTATAGGGCGCACGACTTGAGTCTCGTAGTCTTGAGACTCAGAAGTTCCTAAGCTGAGCTTGTTGACAAAATCTTCGAGAGTGGGACTCGGGTTGGCAGCGCCGGCTGTCGTGGGCTCTTCGTCCGCCTTCGATGCATTGGAAAACGTCCTATTTCTACCACTCAAAGCGCTTGATGGGGATTCGCTCTTAGACGACGGCGACATTGTCTTGCCTTTCGACTTTGGGCTCGCATCGTCGTCTAATTTCAATTTATCCACCAACGCTTGCAAGTCATATGTGTCTTTCGAGCTCTTTGGAGTCTCAACTTTCTTGAGCTCAGGAGCCTTGGAAAGGTCTTTCGCCAAGTCCACACTAGAGAGCACGTACGCCCCCATGAGTGAAATCATCTTCTTGACAGCCTCGGCATGCCTCATTTGTTTCCGGAAACCGAGGCAATCTTCGATGATGTTGATTGTGAAGCCATGGCGGGCTGCGTCTAGGGCAGTTGCAAAGACGGAGATGTTCGTAAGACATCCGCACAGATAGAGTTCAGTAACCAGCCGAGCTCGTAGAGTGACCAGTAGCGTAGTCCCGTTGAATGCAGAGTAGTGAGAAGTGATGATTTCTAGATCTGTCGACCTGTCGATGCATGACTTGACGCTGTCGGTAAATTCTGCCCCCGGTGTATTGGGTGCACAGCATGGCCCCTTTTTCGACGACTTTGAGAGGAACAGCTCGTCTTCTTCTGCAGGTGTCGGCGAGGTAGTGCGAGGTACAATCCTCTTCCGTGCCGACACCCGTTTGAAGAGGTCCAAGGCGCGTTGCTTGTTTCGCTGCGATCTCGATGAGGAAGCCGGCTGGGTCGGATCCTTGGCGGCCATGTCCTCGAAACTCGAATCCTCATCATCGTCCAGTCCGTCAATAGCTTCGAGGAGAACTGTGTCGCCGTCGGCACAAGGGTCATTAACCGGCCACTCGTCCTCGAAAACGGTCCGCACCCAGATGACATCGCCAGCATGCTCGCGAAACTGGGGGATAAAACTCTCAATGCGTTCGACGAAACCGGATCGGGTGTCGATGGGCAGCTTGCCATCGGGTCGGAGGAAATCGTTCTGCAAGCCGATGGCCAAGAGGGCCTGATGAGTCTGAAGCGTGGGCTGGTTCTTCTTGAGAAGATCCAGAAGCGAGGCCATGGCGAATATCACTGGATAGGAGAGTTCAGAGTGTGCAAGTGGACTGCCAGGCGGTGCGCACAGCGGATTGGCGAATTTTGAAGTGTTACAGCGTCCTCAGTGGCCAAGGATCCCACTTCTAACAGCCACCGAGACATTTGAATTCGGGAGGTCAGATGGAGTTACGAGTAGCAGGCGCAGAACCGGTGAGAGGAAGACGACGGCCGCATGGCTCGCGGTAGCAGTCGCACGTATGTACAGGTCACTTGGAAGAATTGGGATGGGTGGAGCGGTAGATGGTAAGCGGAGCAATCAGCGACGGGCATGGTCGTGCAGGGCGAGCGGCAGGGCTGGCCGGTTCCATCTGCAGCGTGCGATGGTGGCAGTCCGAGAGGGAGGGCGAGAGAAGAGACTGTGGAGGATGCGAGCAGGCGGAAGCCGGCGGGTGCAAAGCTGCGAGTTCTTTGAGCATTCCCCAGCCTTCAAAGTCACATCTCGCAGTCATCGCTCTTCGGCATGCTCCACGGCTGTCAGCAAATCGAGCGTCACGAAGCAAAGCACAGGTGTGAGGCGGTGGACCCTGGCCGCACATCGACTCGTGGGCGACCGTCGACTGCACGACAAAGTGCACGGGAGCCACGGGAGCCACGAGAGCCACGAGAGCCACGAGAGCCACGAGAGCCACGAGAGCCACGAGAGGGCGGGCCCACAGCCATGCCAGACGTCTATAATTGCTGCGCTCCCGCCCTGGAGCGGAGGCGGTAGGACTATCTCGCACAGGGGCCCGCCTCACTGTTGAAGCACTCCGCGCCTGTCTGAGGCAATATCGCATCCGAAAGCCGTCCCAGGCGGACGGCACCCATATAGCGGCCACGCCCACATCGACACTTCGTACACGGAATCCTCCGGGGAAATTGCTAGCCCGCCATGGCTTGCATCGACGACTTGTCACCCGTCACGTAGACGCCGTCCTCACCGCGAGTGGCCCCTCAAAGCTCCCACCTCCCACCTCCTCCCACCATTCCCGCCACTGGTGCAGCTGTGCCGCCCTCGCAAGCCGCCCATCCCCCCCTTGCAAGTGCAGCTTCACAGTCTTCTGTACGCACTTCCTCGTGCCCCGGATGGAATACGCCCCGTCTCACTTCCATTCGGCCACCTGATCCCTCTTGCCGTCAGCCGGTCCAGTGCTCCGATGGTATATCAAAACTTCACTTTCCGAAGAACGCCGTGATTTTCTGACTGCCATCCCCGGCCTTTTTCTTCGGACTCGCCTTCGCCGCAGTGCCATTACTCGTTGCGCTCCTAGTGTTCCTCGTCGGTTTGGAGGGCGTTTTCTTCGGAGATTGACTCGAGGGCTCCGCGGACAGCTTCTGCTTCTGTTGGGCTGGGCTGTCTGCTGTGCCACCATCATCGTCTGTCTCCCTATGCTCACGCTTGACTCCTCTTCGGCTTTCGGTGGGCAATGGGGCATTGTCTTCGGTACCATCATGCTGGTAATCAGTCTCACGAGTCTCACTGACGTCGTGTTCGACCTTGATTCCCTTCTCCGTCAAATCATCTTCCGTCTTTTGCACCAATTTCTGCTCTCCCTTGCCCTTAGCCAGCTTCTTTTGATTTCCAAAGAAGTTGGCAATATTACTCCTATTCTCGGCGCTATTGATTGGGACCACAAACTGCGGCGAGTTGTTGCCCACCTTGCCGACGTCTTTGCTGACTGGATAGCATTCTAGCTCACCGCTGTAGGGCTTCAGAAGCGATTGAAGGTCCTTGCTCCACTCGGTGCGAGCAGGGTCCAACCAGGTCCGGATGGCATCAGAGCCGTTGTCCAGTATCACCGGCATGCGGTCGTGCAGGAAATTGAGCTGCTTGTTCGAATCTGTAGTGATGATAGTGTAGCTATAGAGCTTCTCCTCCGAGTCTAAACGCACATGATTAGAGCGTAGCACCAAAGACATGAATATGACGCACCTTCGTATTTGACGCAGTCCCACAATCCCGCGAGGCACATCAACTGGCCATCCTTTCGTTTGACAAAGTGTGGGATACGCTCCTTGCCATTGTTCTTCTTCAGCCATTCGTAGAAGCCCTGTATGACCACAATGCAGCGCTTCTTCTTCTTCATGGACGTCCACATGCCCCGGTCTTCGATGAGTGAGTCGTCTCGACAATTGATAGTCTTCAGCATCGAGCCATAGTCCGGGTTGCGCTTTGTCCAGAACGGGATGAGACCTGCGAGCCCAGTCAGCATACGTGATACCGAATTTGAAATAATGCATACCCCATTTCATGGCCTGCAGCTTGTACTTGGTGTCATGACTCTCTGACTCGTGCTTGACTTGATTGTCGTCTAGCGGGGTCTCTTGTGCTGTAAGGGAATCAAGAGCATCCTTGTCACTGGTATCTCTTGCGCCCCCAAAGCCAGGTGCATCAGCTCTGTACACGATTCCATGATTTCCTGGTGCGAAGTTGTAGGTATGTCTAACTTCACTGTCCTCTGGAGCGTCGTCAACTGGCATCTGGGCGTCCTGGAGCTGGTGCCGTATTTCCGAAGGCCTCTGAAGGACTGTGTCAGAACAATCGCCCCATTGATTTGGTTATGACAATGCTTACCAAGGCCAACACATAGCGCCCGCACATTTTGATAGCTGTTCCTAGCACATAGTGTGGTGTAGAACGCGTGGGCTGGCAGCACTTAAAAGGCACCAAGCACGCTCGAGCGGACGTCATTGGCGAGGCGAGAATCATTCAGCCCTACGAGAACGACTGACATCTGCCACAATTGGTTTCGACGACCGCCAACCTAGCGACCTCAAGGGGCCCTTCCGGCCATCAGTTCTTCCCACATCAGTCCGTAATACTTCTGTTCATCCGCAATGTTCTCTAGAAGACTCCCACGCGCCTCCCAGCGCGCGTGCTCGCGGCTCTCACAACCTCCACACCACCCCCTCCAGACATTCGCAAAACTCCCTTCACAGACACGAATACCGCGGCCTCAATGCTTAGCAAGGCGAAATATATCAACCGCAGCAGCCGCAAAGAAGCTCTTCAAAGAAAGCCCATTCCTGTTCCCACTCGCCGGCTTCTGGTACTTCAACCCCCATACCTAGTCACTCCACCAAAGCAAACAGCTTACTGGCCTTCTCAAGCATTATAGCAGGCATGGCCGGCTTCCTATATCTCCCGTATTACTACCAAAACTACATCATCGCACCCTATCACAACTTCCCCGAGCCCGTGGCTAAAAAGCTGCGGCGCGCCATATTCTACAGCTCCGGTCGCAACGTCGACGTGCGGGAAGCAAACAAATATTTCCGCCAGGGCATACTGTTAGCGAATGAGCTGGGCATGGATCCGTTTAGTGACGAGATTCTGGGCGTAAAAATTGCCATTGCGGCCATGTTCGAGCGCGAGCAGCACTTCAACCTTGCGATCGAGGTGCTGGAGATTCTGCGCCGCGACTGCTACAGATGGGTAGAGGAAGTAGGCCCGAAGCACTGGACTGACGGAAAAAGAACCAAGATACTGTCCAAAACCGTAGAGCTCAACGTCAAGCTAGGCGAGCTCTACAGCAACAAATACGTCCAAGACACCGACGCTGCCGAGGAGCGCCTCGTCGAGGCCGTCGAGACCATTCTCAAAGAGAAGTCCCGGCGCGAGAAAGACGGTGTGCAAACCGGCGAGGGCGAGTGGATGTCGGACGAAGAGGTGGGGGCGTCGCTGGAGGGTAAGTTTGGTTGTCTCTGATCGTATTCGCACCCAACCACACACCATCCCCTCTCACCGTCTCTCCTTGTGCCACCACCCCAACTGACACTCTCTTCAAGCACTCGGACACCACTACGAGGAGAAGGACCTCCACTACCTCGCCACCCCGCTCTTCCTCCAGGCGCTGACGCTGTGTCCGCCGAAATCCTGCCACTCGGTCGTACTCAGTGAGTCCGCTGTTCGCATGCGGTCTAGATACAGACGACTGACCCAACTGCTCCAGTGAACAATCTCTCCATCTGTCTTGCGCAGCAAACACCCACGCCTACGCCAGACGCTCTCCCGAACTCCGTCCCGCACATCCCCCCTCACTCCCGCGCTATGATCATCGACCAAGCCCGCCAGTGGGCTAGTAAAGCCCTTGCTTCCGCCGCTGTCATTACTCCGCCGGATCGCACAGAGGAATGCGATCAGGGCTGTGCGGTTGCAACGCATAATCTCGGCGAGTTCGCGGAGATGGAGGGGAAGATACAGGAGGCGCGGAAGCGGTATCAGGAGGCGGCGAGCTTGGCGAAGGCTGTGGGGTTCAAGGAGGGGGAGATTAACGCGAAGGAGGGGTTGAAGAGGTTAAAGGGGAAGGATTGATCGAATGAGAAACGAGCTGTAAGATAGTGCTTGTAGGCTTGTATACCTCCAAATCTCGAACAAGACGAAGATGTAATCATGTTGAACTTCCTGGACACTCGTTGAGCTAAGCGTCTCCGCCCAACGGCACCGGCTACCACTCAAAAAGGGAAAGTATCCATAGACTTGGCGAAATTACACTGAAGTATCCCCGTTGGCAGCGATAGAAGAATTTCCTCCCACACAGACTTGACCCCCAATCACGTTATCACCCCTAACTACCAGCACGTGTCTCTTACTAAGCTGGGGGTATATAGTTAGTTAAACTTCTTCCGCACTTCTGAACCTTCCGATCCATGGAAAACTTGGGGGTTTTCGGGGCTGGGGTCAAATCGAACAACCTTCCAGTCTCATGGCTGTCGTCTCTCGATAAAATTGCCCGTAAACCTGTTTCGATGGGAGGAAGTGGTGCTCTAGTCAAACCACCCGACTGTCGACTGCATACGGGAAGTCGGAAGAACTGCAAAACGCGACGTTACGAACTACCAATGGCAGTTGGAGGAAGCGGCGGAGAGTTGCTCTGGGTTGGAGAGCACCAAGAACACTTCTCATGGGTATTTTGGGCAGCGAGAATCGCACGGAAGACGGGGCCATGGGAGTTGGGATTGAGAAGGGTTGTGGTGGATGAGGATAGATATATCTTTTGTGCAGTACGACATCGATTCTTGTCTCGAGTAGGTTCGATCAGTGCTGCCATCGAAGATATCTGTCATGAGCCGAGGCTGCTGGGATTCGTCAGCGAGAGTTAATACTAGAACACTCAAGCACTCCAGAAACACCGGGCCTGCTCGTAGCTCGGAAAGACTGTTGCGTTGACAGCTCCGAGGAACTCACACCATTTTGTCAACGCCGCAAACGTGTTTTGCAAGCCCATAGATACTGTCCTACTGTGCTGAGTCTACTGTGAAGTCGCGATCGAGGAATATATACTTGCTCTCAGGTCAGACTGCTCTGCCACATGACATCAATGAGGATCACGTTCTTAGTAGTCATGACCTCCTCTCATCGTAACCTTCTGGACCGAACTAGTTAGCATAAGCTTCACCACATCACCTTCACAACCAAAAGCGCCAATCATGAACAAGACCAACATCATTCACATATCTTTTTTTCTTTCCTATGTCCTCTTCCCACTTCTACTCTCCACACGCATCTTCCCATCTGATATACACCTCTCCAATTTCATCATCTCCCCAACCCTCCTCAATCCTCTCAATCCAATCCGAAATATTCCAGGTCATAAAAACCATGTCTGCAATCCATCTAGCGCAGCAGCTACAATAGTTTAGCTACACCACGTGCTTTAACAGTTCAGCCAAGAAAAGGGGTGTCATGACGAATCGAAGCCAAGCGAAGCGAAGAGAGAATCGAAACGTCGTAGTCGAAGAGGAAAAAGAAGAAAGAAGCAGACAGAGTGAAAACAAGCAAAGGAAAGCAGTAAGCCGCTCAGGCAGAGTTATTAGGACGAAGGGGGGCCGGGGGGGAGGGTATAAACCACCAGCTCAAATTCGCACCACAAAACACAAATAAATGCAACACAGAAGAAAAGTCGTCCGTCATGGGGGAAGGGAGAAAGCAAAAAAAGGGTGGGAAGAAAAAGAATCCATCATCTCCCAATGCGAAGAAGAAACAAAAAAGACACTCTCCTCCACATACTACACACAGACGACATTTATCATTCAGCACACATTACTTTTCCAGCTGCCGCTCACTCGGCGTACGTCTTCTTGCGCCAGAAGCGGGCGCTAGGGAGGCGGTTTTCTTTCTTAGTCGCTGCGCTGGGAGGCGGGTTGACAGGGTCGGGGGGCCCGGACGTGCGGAGGAAGTCTGCGAGGTCGTTGACTTCGCTCCGTCGTGACGTGGTCGCGTCTCTGGCCGTGGCAACACGGGCTTGGAGTCTTGGCTTGTTGGATCTGGGGACCGAGCCGGTGCCGCTTCCGCCGGTCATCATGGCGGGGTTATTCGAAGTCGATAAACCCGCACCAGAGCCAACGCCAGGGCGGTAGATAATCGGCGGAGCAGCTCTTGAGCCTGCTGCTGCAGCCGAAGTGGCGCCGTTCCTGCTAGAGGAGGCCTGCGAGGAGCCATTCGGACGGTTCTTGGCGGCGGCGGCAATCGCACCAGGGGGGATGATCGGTTTGGGTTCGTTTTGCGTAGGTGGCTCGGTGTTACGCAGGAAATCGATCAGACTCTCCTCGCGACGTCCCGATTTGGGAAGCGCCGTGAGTAGATCTTCGTCCTCGTCATCAGTGTCGATAGCGTACGGGTCCTTGACGCGCCGACGCTTGCGGACAACTTGGGGCTCCGGATTTGATTGACTGCCGGCCAGGAATTGAGGGGTATCCGAATAGGCGGGCTGGACGACGTTAGGGGTTGCAAGAAGGCCCGTTCTCGAGTTTGTGGAAGCAAGAGTCGATTGTTTGGAAGTGGTAGATACCTGAGAGCCAAACGAAGAATCGACGTGACTGTTGTCCGGAGACCGATCGTTGAGCATTCTGCTGAACTCATCCGAGTCGACAGTGGAGCGAAACGGTGCAACGGTGCGAGGGATCCGGTGCTCACCGCCCGCCGCAGCAGGAGGTCCTTGGCGAATGAAGTCAATCAGGTCCGTATTCCCATTGCCTTGACCAGCTGGACTCCGAGGCTCCATGTGTAACTTCGATCGCACAGAAGAGGCTCCATCACCTCGTTCATGCTTCGCAGGGACTGCTGGACCACTTCGGCCGGATATTTTCCTGCCGAGACCACTAATAGGGGAGCTTGATTTCTGGGATGCGGCAATAGGCTGCGATGACCGCGAGCTTGATTCGTGGGGTCCAGTAGACCGAATGAAATCCGCGAAATCCCGCATTGACTCCGTTTGAATCCTTGGTTCTCTTGCAGCGAGCTGACTAGTTTTACTCCTTGACGTACTAGTTGAGCTTGGACGCGAGTTTTGAGTCGTATAATACCGATCCACGCTGGCGGTGCTCTTTCCTTTGACTGGTGATCGGGCCTGTGCGCCGAATGCTGATGATTGTCCAGCATCAACTCGCGGATAGACGGTGACTTGAGTCGGGGACTTAGCTGGAGGCTTCGGCGCCTCTACCGTCTTCGTAAGGGGGGATTCCTGCTTGGATTAATCTTCCATATTCTATAACATACAACAGTAGGGCACCTACGTCCAGATCGCGCATGCTTTGCGGTGTCAGAGTATACTTCACTGTTTCTTCCCCCATGACGAGTGAATCGAATTCTCTCTGTCGGTCTTCCTCAGATAGCCTCTGGCTTAATCCTCGTGCGCGGCCAAGACTTGACTCGGATCCTTTGGCACTGTGGAGTATTGAAGTGGTCAGAGACGGCGATCTGGAAGAGCTAGACGACACGCGCTGTACGGTAACCCGGTCGGTAGGATATCCCTCTGCAGTTCCGCTTCTTGAGCGATTGCCGTCACGAGAACTGTCATTTGATTGTCGTTTAGCTGACTTTTCTTGTGACCGAACGGCAGACCCATTCTGGACTGATTTATCTGGCATGTCAATCCAGTTGGTAGCCTCTTGTAGCGCAGCCAGTGGGGGGTTGCGAGAGGAGGTAGACGAAGATCGAGGTGGAGGGGCCTTCGATTGAACTGTCCTCTCAGTAGGACTCGGCGTTTTCCGTGATATAGGTGGCGAGACCGACAGACGGCGTGATGGCTGCTCCTTGTAGTCGTTCGCTCCGCCAGGCAAGGCTGAAGCACCGTTGGTAATTGGCTCGTTTTGCAGATCAGGAGTCGAGGAAACCGGAACATCAGAAGTACGCGCGACACCAATTGCGTTGCGATCATCCTCTTCAAGCTCAGATGTAGGTGTTATGGAAGTCTTGTGAGTCTCTGCAATCGGCGTGGCGAGTGGAGTGGCCACAGATGATCGATTACTGCGCGTAGAAAAGGTTCGGACAATTCCTGGTGGGCCAGAAGACGAGATGGACATTCGTTTGCCTTGCATGACCACTGGTTCGACATCACTCACGCCGGGCGTTTCAGCATCGTCCTCGTCGTCGTAAGACCTGGTACCAGTGACAGAAGCGACTGCAGCTGTTGCCATAGCAGCTGCGCCTGCGATAGCTCCAGAAAGCACGCCAGAGTTCGAGACATCATGTTCTCCATGATGCTCATCAATCAACTTGGAGTTGTCCTCATCACCTTCGTGATTGTCTGATGTTTCCATGTATGACTCTCTTGACATCCTCTCCATCGGCGTTTCGTAGGCATCATCCGAGAGAGATGGTGCGGGGAAAGTGAAGGCGCCCCTCTCAGGAGGCGGCATTGAGAAAGGCCTGCGTTTCCCAGACCGTGAAACGAAAACGTCGTCGTCTCCTGCAGTGGTACTTGACGGCAGCAAAATGAAACTCGAGGGCCGTCTCGAGGTAGCCACTGTCGGTGTTTCTGCGCCACTTTCTTCATCATCAAATTGACGAGCTAGTCCAGGAACTTCAATCTCTGCCACATCGTTGCTGGTTATCGGAAGTGGTATGTTGGCGGCGATGTCCGTCTCGGTGACTTCGTGCTCAGGCACTTCACCGAGCGATCGAGACCTCTCGGGATCCTGACTGAGCTCGTCTGAATTCCCCCGGACATGATGAACGATCTTGGAGCCAGAGCGGCCAACTGATCCTCGGCCAACAGAAGAACCAAGTGGGACTATCGGAGCCCTAACTCGCTTTCTCCAGGTCCTCCAAAGGCGTCCAAGAGTGGAATTCAAGGCAACTTTCTCCACGTCAAAGTCTTCCACGACAATGCGCTCGAGCGGGCTTTCATCCTCATCTTTCTTCATTTTGGCGGATGCCCTGGAGAAAGCAGCTTGCCCAGAGACCATGAGAGTTTGCTCGGCAATGTACTCGACGACGGAGGTCAAGAAGATGGCAGCAGCCCATGACACGAGGCCTAATTCGTCATTGCTGCCATTGTTGAGGCTGAGTCCACGCTCTTGCTGGACATAGCGCTCCTCATCCTCATCCTCCAGCTCGCCCAGCCGAGTGTAAACCATTATCCGTAGACGTGTACGCTTCCACACAGTCTCCACATCCCACTTCTCGGAGGGGTCTTGGCCATTCTGCAGCGCAGGGAACTCGTCATCATCCTCGCCAGCCAGGAGACCTTGCAGCTCTTCATCGGCCGTTGCCATTGCCTCGCGCGCGAGTCTGGGTTTGAGGACATCGGAAATAGCGGGCCGGATAGCAGTGAGCGATGGCGACCGCGCGGCGGCCAAGAAAGAGAACAGGAGGTGGTCCAGGAAAGCATTGAGCAAGCAGAGGGCCTCCTCGGAGAACAGCGCGTTGGTCAGATACGGGGAGTCGTCCTCCAAATCGAACTCTGCGCGCAGCTTTGCATTCTGGTGGTCGCTAACTAGCTGCGAGGCCACTGATGCAGCGATGTATGCGGGCGCAGGGCGCACATTGGAAGGAATCTGGAAGGACGTGGAGCCGGCGAGAGAGGGTCTGTCGCTGCTGAAGCTGGCCGCTCTGCTCGATCGCGGGGAGCCGAGCTCGCCGGCATCTGAGCGAGTGTGTCGATGCATTTGCATTATGGGAGGGCGCTGCTATAGGCGGTAGTAGATGGCGTGGCGCGGCAATATGGCAGAGTATATTGGTAGCAGTGCTACAGGTGGTTGAGGAGGTGAGCGTCGGACAGTGCTCGCGACGGAAAGAGGGTCTCCGGAGAATGGCAGATACAGCGAGGCGGAGGGCGACAGTCCCGGCTAGCTATGCATGCTGGAGAAGCAATTGCTGGAGGGGAGGAGGGCGAGCGCAGCGCGGTGAGGTTGGAACGGACTGGATAGGGGACGGCAATGTCTGAGACGTTGGAACGCCGGTGGAAGCACAACCCTAGCGACGATCGCTCGGTCGGTTCGGTGGTCTCTCAGATAGATTGAGCAGCGAGCGCAGGGCACACCGAGGAGCGGGCCCTCGACGCAAGTCAGGCACGGCGCGGGAGGTGAAGACAGAGCCTCTTGGACGACGGCACGGCGAATCTGCACAGAATCTTAGAGGCGTGGATGATGGCGAATTGAGCGGACCTCTGGGGTAGACTTTCCACCAGCCTCACGCCAGCGCCGGCCACTAGCACGATGCAGTGCGGGCTGGAGGATCCTGACTCGATGCGCAGACGCCTTTTCCACAGACGCATCCACCGCGCATCCACAGAACGCTTCTCTGAAGACGACAGCCAGTGCGCGCCGTGTCTGCTGCACCTTCGTGCGTCTGACACGCATGCCGATGGCTTCTGTCGACAACCGCATCCATCACTGCCCCATTCGTTCCTTTGTAGCCTCGCGCGACGGAGCCCACGAGGAGATTGCGCGCCGCGGTGGTCATGCTGTCTCTTGACTCGTCGACACCAGAGGGTTGCTCGCCCCTGAGTTCTGTTACCGCAGTCCCACCGAAACGATAACACCCGTACACTTCGACACACATGTTTTGGACCCTCTGTCAGCACGTCATTTGCGTAGTCGATACGCCTCATTCACCATCACCCTGATCTTGCCGAAGCCGCTCCAACGACACCACATGGCAGAGAGCGCTAGGCTGCTGCCATGGCTAGTTACGGTACATGCCAGATGCGACAGACCGCGTTCCTGGTAGATCCACAACCCTACTTTCCGCCCTGACCAGAAGCTTTCGGATGCCACATGGCCGCTGAGCCCGAGGGTGAACGTTGCACTCAACGTCTTCGTCCGTCAAGTACAATACGGGGCCTTTAGTCTGTGGCCACGTTTTCATCATATCGCAACATCATTTGGTGTACTTCAGGAAGGTATATGAGAGTTCTGACTTCGTGAACGAGGTACAGCTTCTTTGAGGGTAGGCACACGTAGATTTAACCTTTTGAAGATCTGGATCGGGTGGATACCAAGCTGGGCCACCCATGGAACTGACATCTAGATGTAGCACTTCACCGACGAGACCAATGTCCTAGTACTGTACCATCTTCCACATCCCGAAGCACCAGTATGGTCTCACGTTTGGCAAGCTATGTTGCACTCAATCATACGGTAGGCTTGTAGTAAATTCGGATTTCATTGATGCAAGTTTCGCCATTATTTCGACCTACGTCTTTCAAATCGCATTGAAGTCTGTCCTGTTCTCCAATAAAAGGCGGACGCGGCGTTCTCTGCGCTCTCTACGCCTTCTCTCACTCAACATCTATCCTGTTTCTCCATCTCTTGCCCCACGGAATCATACACAATCAAACTGTGGTATACCATTTTGGGTGAAGCTCTCGACTGATGCATAATATGTTGTCGTGTCGAAGAGGCTCCTTCTGCCGACGACCGTAGTAAGCTGCTGGAGAATGTCGGGTCAGCTAGCTACCCATCGCCTTGACGGTCAGAAGAAGTACCTGTGAGATAACAACACGGCCGTAAGTCCTGCTCAGCGCCATCCCAACGCAGCAATCCCATTGCTATTCCGAACCAAGAAAGCGAAGAGGCCGCGAGGACAGGAAACTCGACGAGGTTTCGGTTGGCGAGGCTATCTCATCTCTGGATGTTGTCTTCACGCGAATATCTCATCTCCAACCCCTCTCGCCTCACCTCAACCTCTCCCCCCACCACCTCCGCATATTCCTCCCAAACCACCACAGTCGCCTCCCCTGACAATCATACGGATACCCCTCCAACCCCACACTCCGCTTCCGCACCTTCTCCTCAATCTCCTTCCACCCGCCATCGCTAATCCCCGCAAACGGCCTCCAGCTGCCCCCCAACGCCTCCCGGTATTGGCACTCGTGGCACAAGTCGCTGCTATTGCACGTCCCCAGGCTTTCGATATACGAGCACCCGGTATGTCGGCCGTTCACGATTCGCGAGCGGATGCAAGGGTCGCCGACGAAGCGGGTGCGGCCCCAGTGGGAGCAGGGCGTGTGGTAGACGTGTTCGGTGTGGCACATTTTGCTCTAATTCAAGCCGCAGAGGAAGTTCTGCTGAAGACGAGCTCGCTCGTTCGTAAGATTACCAGACCGGGTCAGAATGTAAGGCACAGGATACGGCAGCTCAAAGCCCACCATCAAAGAATCCTCACACAGACACAAACCGCTTCAAACCCAAGACCTTGCGGCGGCAGTGCGTGCTAGAAAGGAACCCCGCGAACAAGAAAACACTCCCCCAGCCCCCGTCTCCCCTCCGTCTATAAACACCCTCCAAAACCCACCACGTGCGGACAAACACCCATCCCTCATCCACCAACACCTCCGGTACCACGCTGCCAGCACAGCTCCTCCGCTTCACTCCTCACTGCCTCTGCCCACCACCGCTCGGGGCTGTTTGCCGACAGGGCGGTGGCAGCAAGCCCTCGCGTTCCACGATGCGTAGACGCGCTAGTGACCCCCCTCCACCACACCGCCAAGCCCTCACAACCACAAAGTGTTCGAATAGGACCGCCGCCTCCCACCCGCCCTCGCCAGCTGATAGGCCGTCATCGGCAGCGACACGTGGGGCCCGCCGTTCCCGCCCGCCTGCAGGCAACCTTGTATTGCTAGCGCGATCGGATCTCAGATGGCGGTTGGCAGAAACGCGACGCACAGCACGCACGCACGCACGCACGCACGCCGATGGAGAGATGTGCTAGAAAACAAGGCGAAGAGGAAAATGCTGGAGGGCTGGCTGGCTGGCAAATACGCAGGCGGGGAGCAAACATTGCCACGGGGGCCGATGGCGCCATTTTGGGAGTAGAGAGGGCGGTTGGACTTGGGGTGCGGTGCAGTTGGGTGAGGAGGATATGGCAAACTTGTGCTGGGCTGGGGGGGTCACGTGATGGGGGAGCACGGGGCTTTGTGATCCCGTGTTTTCCCCACGATGGACGCGGGTCATCTGGAGAGGGTTTTCCCCACTGTCTGCAGGGGCCGGGGGATTGGGTTTATGGTCGTAGGGTGGGCTGGGGTAGGGCGGTGAGGAGTATGGCTTCACTGATTGTTTTTACACACCGGTGGCTTTGGTTGTGTGAGTCCTATATGCTATCAGCTCTCTTGATACACGTTCCTTCTTAGAAGAGAGTACGGTAGATCAAAGAGGTCATGATTGAATTGACGCTGTCCAATTGGCCTCTGGGACGAAACCTCATGCCGTGGGACTAATGATGACAGCACCGTCTGATCGTCCAGACGCCAACCCCAGTGCATGCCCCCAGCCATGCCGGAGTCCCGGTAAACAGCCTGTCCTCCTGGCCCTGAGCCAGACCGGGACGCTCAGGGCCTCCGGATCCCCCGGTACAGGGCCGACTGCTGTCTAAGGCTGCACCGGCTGCTTCCCAAGGCTCTTGGATCACTGTGGAGACTCCCGCCGCTCCCTCGTGTTCTCATGCAGGTACCTCGCTCTTCCTCTCCTTGGCTACATGCGGTATGGCCCGTATGTCGTCAGTCGCCAGCAGCGATGAGCCTTTCAGGTCCTATGGTCAATGCAGTCTCGGATTGGAAGCCCATTGGCCTACTCCCACGGTCAGGCCTTGAATAGTTCTAGCAGCACCTACCTATGAGTGCTCTCCTTCAAGTCCCACATCCTAGCATGGTGTTTCACCCACGGGCAGCCTTGCTCTGATGCACTCCCACTCGGGGGACGTGTGAGCTCAGGCCGTCTAACCATTTGCATGCCTAGCTCCATCTGCAACGATCCGAGCTCATATTGCTTGTTCTCCGCGCACAAATTTGCGCAGCATCTTCTCAAGTCAGCAACCGCAGCTGAGACTTCTCTTTCCCTCGCCTCGCGACGCCCTCAACGGCGCCTGTCTCTGGCTCTCTCAACCCCCAACGTCGCCGGCCGCTGTTACGTACGGCGCATCGTTAATCGACAGCCAATCAGCGCGGCTCGATAAGAACGCCCAAAGTTGAGTCGCCGGCGGCCCTCTCCGGCCTAGCGCTGGCGCGGATTTTGGCGGGGTTGGGGACGAGCGACAGGGCTGGACGGTGATCCGACATCGCTCTACGTCCGCTCGTGTGCCCGTTGGCCCTTCTATCCGGCCCAGCGCCTCTTCAGCATTATCCAATGCGTGGGGCGGCGGCAAGGATGACAAGCGAATGGAGACGAAAGGCAAGAGAGGTTTAAAAAAGTGCAGCAGGAGGGGCGTTGGCGGCGTGGCAGAAAATCTCTGCGGCGAAAATCGTGGGGAATGGGCGTAATTGCCGCATTGGAAGCTCTAGACGGCTGGCCAAAATAGATCGCCTGCTGTACCACCCCCCGGGCACATTCCATTTTGCAATCTACGCGGTGCCAGGCCGCCGGGAAAAGCAACGGGTGTGGACCTGGTCGGGTGAGTGCTGAGGAGCATCTTGTTTGAGGGTTTTGGAGGAGTGAATGCTGGACTGGCGAATGGAGGGGTGGTTCCGGCGAATGCTCGCATGGGACGGCGCATCGAGACGAGGGAGGCGGCTGCTGTCGCGTACCTTATCGCGTCCGAGGTCAGCGGTGCCGCGGCACTGTCAACAGCGGAATGCAGAGTGCGAGGGCAATTGGTATGGAGGACTGGGCCGATGGTAGGACGGCGGGGCCACAGGAGGAGCGTGAGCTGGAGGGTGGGATTAGTTCGATACCAAGAGCTACCCTAGCAGCTGCGGGCCCCCGTCCTTATGCAGGTGCACGTCGAGTCGTCTGAGCCCTCTGATTTCCAGCACGATGATCGGTGACTGCTGATGCTGATGAGCAGAGAGGGCTGCTGGCGGTGAGACGCGGTCAACGAGTCGGCTGGCCGAAAGGATACCGTCGGGACAGCACCGTGGCTGTGCAGGTGCCAATGTCAGTCAGATAACCGGCGGTTTGCGGGTACACGGTACACGGGACACGCAACGGCTTTGTTTGAGGTGTCTCAATCGTGGGCGGCGCGCGGCTTCAAACAAAGAGGGCTCGGGGCGGTAGCGGGACGCACAGCATGGCCAGGTAGTGACGATGGAGCCGTAGATGAGCCCTGGCTTCCAACGCAGCGGGCGTGAGTGGGTGCGATGGGGGTGACCATCCATATTCAGCGTGTTGCTTCTTCATCCCACGGTTCGAGATGCGCCGGCGAACAAGGGCCACCCTAAACCTAAACCTCACCAGTCCCGCTACTGGCCGCCGAGACACAGGACCCTTCCCTCACCCACTACTTAAACACGAAGTGCCCTTGTTCGTTCTTCCCCACTGCACCTCAACACCGTCCTCTTACCTGTACTCCTCCTCCTCAGAGACCCATACGCCTCCCCTTCTCTCCTGCAGAAATCAGCAGCAACAATGGTGAGTCTACCGCCTACACGTGCTCCCGCTCTCCGCTGCCAGGGCTCTGCTAATACGACCGCAGGCTGAATCCACCATCATCTCCAACACAGCGAATGTAAGTCTCTCCGCTGTGCTGCAATTCCTGCCTGGGATTCCCTCTGACCGTCCCGCAGCTCGAGAAGTACCTCAAGCTCGACCAGAAGGGTTCTATCATTGCCGAGTATGTGTGGATTGACGGCTCCAACGGCCTCCGCTCCAAGTGCAAGGTGAGCAATTCCTCAATTCAGCCCCTCTCTGCCTCCTCGGACCACCATGCCCCGCAGTGAGCCCATAGAGCTTCTGGTGTTGTTCCAGGCCAATGGCCGAGCTCCCTGACTCTTTTCTTTTGGCCGCTTATCTCGTCGCCCGATAAGGTGGTCGAGGCGAAGTCCAGCCACAATGCGGCATGGCGGGGTTATAACGACAACACCACAAAACGTATTCTCGGTGCAAGGAACCATGCTAATCTGCAATTGCGTGTCAGACCCTCACCAAGAAGGTCTCCAGCCTGAAGGATCTGCCAGAATGGAATTTCGACGGCTCGTCCACCGGCCAGGCCCCGGGCGACAACTCGGATGTCTACCTTCGCCCCGTCGCCTACTACCCGGATCCCTTCCGTCTGGGTGACAATGTCCTCGTCATGTGCGAGACCTGGATGTCGGACGGCAAGCCCAATGCCTACAACTTCCGCCACGACGCTGCCGTCGTCATGGAGCACCACAAGGCCCACGAGTTCTGGTTCGGTCTAGAACAGGAGTACACGCTGCTCGACTTCTACGGCTGGCCATATGGCTGGCCCAAGAACGGCTTCCCTGCTCCCCAGGGCCCATATTACTGCGGTGTCGGCACCGGCAAGGTCTTCTGCCGCGACATTGTTGAGGCTCACTACAAGGCCTGCCTGTACGCCGGCATCCAGATCTCTGGCACCAATGCCGAGGTCATGCCCGCCCAGTGGGAGTACCAGGTCGGCCCCTGCACCGGCATTGACCGTAAGTTGCTCCTTGATTTTACAATAGAACTCATACTAACACACCTCCAGTTGGTGACCAATTGTGGATGTCCCGCTTCTTCCTCCACCGCGTCGCCGAAGAGTTCGGTGCCAAGGTCACCTTCGCGCCCAAGCCCATCCCCGGTGACTGGAACGGTGCTGGTCTCCACACCAACGTCTCCACCAAGGAGATGCGCGCCGAGGGCGGCCTGAAGTACATCGAGGCCGCCATGGAGAAGCTCGCTGAGCGTCAAGCCGAGCACATGGCTGTGTACGGCGAGGACAACCAGCTCCGTATGACTGGCAAGCACGAGACTGCCTCGTACGACAAGTTCACCTGGGGTGTCGCCAACCGTGGCGCCTCCGTTCGTGTCAACCGCCAGGTCGCCGAGGAGAAGAAGGGCTACTTCGAGGACCGTCGCCCGGCCTCCAACGCCGACCCGTACCAGATCACCGGCATAATCGTCGAGACTGTAAGTCTATCTCGAAAGACACACACTTCCTACAATTCTAACCAAACTCCCAGCTCGAGGGCAAGGTCGAGGGTGCCGATATGGCCAAGAAGGTCGCCGAGGCCGACGTCGTCATACAAGACACGATCGTCCCCATCGCGAAGCCATAGATTGCCCTCGTCACACCTCCTAACTACTCACTACCGCTCTCGAACCCCCCGACCTCGATACCACTCACCACAAATGTTATCACCGCCCCCTAGACGCCCTTACAACCCTTGCACGATGTAATGCATGTTAGCCATTTCCCCTGGGCGCTTCTGTGCGGATATAGAGGTGACGCCTTTATACTTGTAGCGGATGCTTGTCCCCTTTCTTTCTCCCTCCATGGGTTCCCTGCTACACGCAAGGGATTCACACCACACAAAACCCCCCAAACAAAAAACACTACACCCATATGTACTCGTAGAGAGAATTCATGCTTGGATCGGAGAAGCTTACTATCTTATAACTTGCTTGTGATGGATGATGATTTCGTATTTTGACCCCTCGCGTTCTCACTTGAGCCTCTCGCAAGCCCACCAAACTCGGTCAGCCATTCATCCCCGCCCCATTACCAACACAAAACGCCATCCCACGTGGCCATCACATCACATCACATCACATCACATCAGATCCCATCGGCGAGTTTCCCCTGCTCCTGACGACCCGCTCCTCCCGCTCCCGATCCCGCAGCATCGCCGCCATGCCTCCCCCAAACCCACTCCGCCCACACCCCCACATCCCCGCTCAGATCCAGCGCCCGCCCCACGCGCCGCACCGCCGCCGCGTCGGCCTCGGCGCCGTCCTCCGCTGCTACGATGTTCTGCTCCGCGACGAGCAGCTCCGCGTTCGCGAGCACGTCGATGGCGACGGTGAGGGGGGCGCTTAGGGGCGCAGGGGAGAGGATTGCTGCGAGGGGGTCGGTGGAGACGGAGGTGTCGGGGGAGGAGGGGTGGGGGAGGTGGATTGTGAGGCGGGGGGTTGGTTGGGCGTAGTGGAGGGTGAGGTCGATTTGGAGGGTGGGCGAGGGGGGAAGGGGAGGGGGGTTGGAGGAGTTGGGAGGTGCTGAAGGGATCGTGGGAGGAGGGGGTGGTGGGAACGAGGATTGGAGGAGGGAGGTTAGGAAGGCGTATTGGCGGAGTGTCTGTGGTGTGTTAGTTTTTGGGCTTTGGGAGGGGGGAGGGATGGAGGGGCTTACGGGGAGTATCTCGACTAGCTGCCGCGGGTGCTGGAAGGGTAGCTCGTCGAGGGCGCGGGCGTATTCGGTTTTTGGGACGTAGAGCGAGTTTGCGTGATGATGCTCTTCCTCGTGCCCGTCTTTGCGGACTACCAGCACGTTCTTCTCGCTTCGGATCTCTTGTGTTGTTTCGCCTGCTAGGCCTACGGCCGCGGGGTCGATTTCTCCTGGTCGAAGGGCAAGGCCGACGAAGGTGGTGGCTTTGATCGCCTCTTGGGGTATCTCGTTGCCTAAGGACTGGACAATTGCTACGGCTACGGAGAGCGGGACGACTAGCGGAGGGTTGAGTTTCGCGACGAAGCGGACATTTGGGAGACTCCCAATGTTAGATGCGCCGTCTGCCCCGATATTCATGGTATGGTGGTCCTCGGCGCCTGGTGGATTTATGTATGTAGACGGAGGTTCAAGCCAATCGATGCTCGGCCCTTGGAACATGTTTTCAGGATCTCCAGCCGGTTTTTCTACTTGCTCAGATATCCAGGCATCGGAAACGCGAATGGGCTGGTATATAGTTGCTGGTGAAGGTTCGCATTCTATCGACAACGAGTATATCTTGTTCAATTCGGACTCAGGTTCAGAAGGCGTGTCGGAACCATCACTGTCAACATCCATGTGATTTTTGTCTAAGGCAGCTTTCTGCTTTGTCTTCAAAAGCCGCGGGAGGACATGTCTCCGATCCATCCAGTATTCGAGAGATAGGCCAACACATTCTCCTGCGTTCATTCGTGGCCTCCCACTCTTCTTGCTCAGAACTTCGCGTTCCGCTTTCTCGTCAATGTTTCCGGACCTCGAGTTTATGAGCGTTTTGGCGGCTTGCTTCTCGTAATCGAACAGCTTCTTCAAGCTTTTGTACACCCCCGACACTGCCTCAAAGCAACTGACATCCTGCGAGCTCAGCCTATCCATCCGTGCCAGCCGTTCCAAATTATGCGCGAAACGGTCCAGTGTGAGGTTGATACGAGAAATTTCGGGGGTAGGAGAGAGATTCTTCCTCAGTGTCTTCCCCGCCGTTTTCGAGAAGGGCGCCGCGTTCTCGTATACAGACTCAAACTTAACCCGCTCGACGGTATCAGCGTCAAAAGTGACCTAGGCACGCATTAGCAACCAGTATTCCCAGATTCTCCACCTTGCTTTCACTCACATCCAGAATGAAAGACTTCCCCGCAATCGCCTTGATAACCTGCCCGTTCTTCTGCGTCTCCGACGAAAAGTCCAGTCCACACCTCTTGCTCAGCCGCTCCACCCCTTCCTGACTCACTCGCCCCGGTCTCGCGCGCAGCGTCGCTATTATGGCTTCCAGTCTTCGCCGGCGCTCGTCGTCGTCTGCGCGCCCGCCCATGGAGCTCCCCGTCAGGCCCAGCCCGCTCAGACCGCTCATGCTGATCCCCATGCCCACGCCGCCTTCGAGGGACAGGCCGAGGGCGGCGGGCGAGTCGAAATTGATCATGCCGGGCACGCTGCGCGGGGCGGGGGAGGAGAAGGCAGCCAGGTGCTTTTGGGGCGTGCTGGTGGAGGGCGTGGGCGTCGCCATTTTGAGCTGTGGAGCTGCGTGCGGGAGGGTGGTGAAGAAGCTCTGCTCATGCAATTACTAGAGTTAAGGCGAGGTTTTCATGCTGTGGAATTGGGGGCGAGGTGAAGAAAACGAATGTGGGGAGGGCTGGAATGAGTGAATGAGTGAATGAGCAAACGCGAACGCCAACGCGCAGCTACGAATAGAGCTCTTTGTCAGGCTTGGCATTAGACATCCCTCTATATTTTTTCAAGCACGTTGAAATGGGTAATTCCACGAGCATCAAAAGAGGCAATCTATGAACAATGTTGAACTTTTCAGATCTATCTGCTATCTAACTACGTCACGAATAGGCCAACAAATAGGCCAAGTCGCAGACTGGAGGATAACGCCTCGCCTCATCTACCCACTCTTTCGCTCATTTAAGTTGTGAAAGATTTATCTCACCAATAGGAAACACTTTACCATTCTGTTTACGTGTCTCCTCCATCTTGTTCCACCGCTCGATATACGATGCCTTCATGTGTCCCGACACCAAAATCTTCACTTCCTCAATCTAGTCGAGGTAATCTGCGCCGTAAGCATATGAAATGATCCAATCGATCACTATTGCCTACAGGCGACAATTGAGGCTAAATATCGCGAAATCCTCAGCCCCCAACGCTTTGGGAGCATCCTCCCCATCCCAGAGTACCTCCCACCACATGCCATAGCGCCTACGTCCGCACGTCCGAATAGCTTGAATGTAGCTCGGTTCAAAGCTGAGCTCGATAGTTCTGACAGACGGGATCTCATTCAGTACACTGGCCGCTCCCCACATCTTACCCTGCCAGTCCGGGTGATTAAAGGGCTGGAGAGGCACGGCGAAGAGCTGGATGTAGTCTGTCATGCGGAGATTTAGGTGGATCTTTTGAAGTGCCTTGAACTGGTATGAATCGGAGAAATTAGGTATGGTCCTTCCTTTGAGCGGGCCGCCTCCAATTATTGAAGCGGCAAATGGGGGAAAGTCTGCTGCCTCGCAGAAGTATTTCCAGGTTTGTTGCCACCATAACTGCTTCTTGACAACTTCGTGGAAAAACTTGCTGACTCTTAGAAGCGAAAGATTCGGGGCTTGCACCGATTGTTCGTTTGACCGTCGAAGACTGTGTATTATTATTTCGTATTTTTTGGCCGGCATGTTCTTTCTAGGCATGTTATTTCTACCACCTCTACGGCGTACTTTCTTTAATCTGGCTGACGGGCAAAGAACGCTCCCGATTGCGAAGGCAATTATCTTGTCTATGAGTTCCTGAGGAAGATCCATAATGCGGAAAGGCTGATTGGTTGCACTTGCGGCACATGGCGCTCGTTGGTCTTGCTGGACAATTGGCTTATTGCGATGGCTCTCCAATTTTCTGCAGTCGGTGTTCCTGCATTCAGATTAGCATAGGAACAACTGATTGGCATTTCCTCATTGAGAAGCTTACGACGAGAGACATGCCCTTCATTCCTCGGCATGCCCTTCATCTTCGGAGAATGTGTCGTTGTTTGCTTCGAATGCTTCTGCTTGCGAAGCGTTTGTGAATGAATCTGCCGCAGTCCTTTAGGAAAACATAGCAGACGGCAGCAGTCCCTACCTGGTGGTCTAGGTATCGATATCGAGTGTTCTTGGGGTGCTGAAGATGTGTGGGAAGAGTGGTGAAAATTAGGTAGAAATATTCGTGCGAAAAGCTAGGATATTCATAGTACCAGCACGAGTACCATGGTTGTCAAGCGCACCTTAGCGACCACAGAAAAACAGACAGTATGTGATAGGTGGACAGATTTCCAATCCACCCATGGGTCGATACAGAATAGGCTACGAAGTACAGTTGGACCTTGAATCTCAAACACCAAGACACTGCTCTTCCTTCTGAGGCTGGGTCGTAATGAGTTTCGCCATATTTATTCGCATCTTTGTGTCTATATATGTTATCAAGCCGTGCCATACTATTATTTAGCTCAACGTAAACTTGCATAAGTCGTATATTCTAACAGGGCGCTCGTTCCTACAATGATTTTACAGTATTTTTACATGATCTACGCTCTTTTCCGAACAGGGCTGGGCGACCAGGCTTCCGGCTGCCAGTCCTCACTTGGGCCACCTTTAGGACCCTTGTACCACGGCGATTCCTTGACCTCCCCTTTGTTATTTAGCCCATGGCTAGCCGCTCTCTTCGGCTTTACTCCCGCTTCTTGAGGTGCATCTCCGAGGCTTTTCGGAATGTCTGATGGCTCGTCATGCGCGAGACTGATAGCCGGCTCTCTAGATGCAAGCATTGGTGTTGGTTGCTGCTTGTCGGGAGGGTCAAGCATGGACGGTTTCGACGCCCATCGCTGGTCAGCCGCCGCAGCTAGCACCTTTGTTTGTTCTACTCGCATCACGTCGGCTCGTTGTTCGTTGAGGGAAGGAGGGTCTGCTCTTGTATGACGAAGCCACTGCATCCATTGAGCTAGAGGCACATAGTTAGACGACATTACGCAAAATGTCGATGGAGGAGCAGCATACGTGATACATTGACATCGCTATGGTGCGTTGATCCAGCGTACTTGGCTATGCGACGTACGCGGTTCTGGTTTATGGCATCCTTGAATTCCCAGTATGTATTCCCGGAGAGATCAAAGCCTGCACAACCGAGTCAGAGCTTGCCATTATCAACATTTAAATCTTTTTATTCTCAGCAGCATTTCCATCAAGCAGATATGCGTGATGAGTGTCGCTGAAGTCATTCGGGAGAACCTTTCGCAGATTACTCTAGTAGAGCTTGCGGCGGCCGTATGGAGGTGAATGAAGCCAGGAACTAACCTACTAGCCACCGCTTCCGCCATGGAAGCTTCATCTTCTTCCAATTGTACCATGCTTGACGTATTGAGCCTGGTTGGGACGGCATTGTTTTGAAACGAATAGTGTCGTCGTCAAAAGTCTTGACGCGGCTGTTCCACCGAGAGCGTGATTAGCGCGGGGACCACGTCTCCGAAGTTCCGCCGACAGAGTGGCTGGTTGCCTATTCAGGGCTAGCCTCAACGCGACTCCCGCATCAAAGTCGCGTTGCTCTCAAAGCTCTCGTCCACATACATCCCCGCGTCCTATTTCTCGAATTATATCACCACCACAACAGCTCATGACTTCAAGTGCCGATTGAAGCATCGTATTTTCTGTCAGAACCTCCCTCCTATCTACAAGACTAAAATGTCTTCCCCCGCCTCCAGCACGCGCTCCAGCCGTGCTACCTCCATCCGAATTCCCTCGCAGGACGCTGAGAACTTGTCAATCGAGCATTCACCAAAGCCCGCACGAACTCGAACTAGCCCTTTGAGTCAAGAAGATTCCGATGAGAATGACGCGTCAATTGCGTCCTCCGCCTCAAGTACACCAACCAAGAACACGGAAACGCATCGCGAAAGTCTCGTGAACAGCGATTCGGAAGAGGAAGATGAAAATATACCAGTTCGGCAACCACGAGGAAAGCTTGCGGCACGTCTGTTGGGTCAGAACTTTGGACCAGGCTTAGCATCGAAAAGTGTACCAGACGCGTCGAAGCATGACAAGAGCAGGACCCAGCTTCGGAAGGACTTCTCGGATTCAGATTCTGCCTCAGACAACGCAGCTAGCCAGGATGAGGAAGAAAGCCCAGTGAAAATGGGCAGTCGCCGTAAGGTTTTGAAACGAAAGGCAGCAAGCCCATCTCCCAGACGCTCGCAAACACCGCAAACACCAATCACTCAGTCCCGTGCCTCTTCACCTAGCCTCTTTGTGTCTCCAAGCCGTGATTCTCCCATCCGACCGAGCGCTGCCGCGGGCGCCGCTTCAGCAGAGTCCGACTCAGACTCACCCCCGAATCCTGCGCATAATCCTCGATTCCTCGAGCTCGTTGCCAGAAAGCGAGCAGAGAGGAAGGCACAGGAGGAAGAGAGTCGGAAGAGGGACCAGGAAAAGATCAAGCGCCTCGAGAAACTGTCCGCCCGTTCTCGTAAAACTGTCACAGCAGACTCAGAGAGTGACGCAGATGGAGAGACCGGAAGACGTCTCACACAACAAGCACGCCCCACTCGCAAGGCGAGTAAGAAGGCCTTGGAGGAGATGCACAGAGAGACACAAAGAATGGAGCGCAACATGCAGCTGGCGCATCAAGCGAAGACGAAGAAAAAGTTCAACATGCAGGATTTGGTTTCCAGGCTCAATCCTGTACAGGAAGACATCAGCACGAAATCATCCGCCCAGGAGACCATCGAATTCAATCCAAGCTCCGTGGCAGCATCGTCGGATGTGGAAGGACCCCATGAGCATGAAACTCCACCGACCAGCCCGCCAAGTCAGGATGAACACGCACAGAAAGATATTTTTATGACCATCGACCCAACCACAACGGCAGACCATGATAGCGACCAAGAACTTCCGGACCTCGGAGACATTCTCTCCCAGCCAAAAAGACTAGACAAAGGCAAGGGACGCGCAGCTGACTCTCTACACATTCCCTTCAATCCCTTAGCGGCTCAGACCAAGAGACCTGTCATCGCACGGAACGTTCGTGTAGTTCTGCCGAAGCAACTCACATCAAAAGAGATCGATCTCGACTCCGATGAGGATCTCGAGGTTACCAAACCAAGGAGCCGATTTCCCGTATTTGATCGAATGCCGAAGGAACAACATAAGGATTCGAGAGCACTAATCACCCAACGAGTCTTAGCCAATCTCACGTCACCCGGAAAGCAAGGACCGAAGGGCCGTATCTCGATAAACCCTTCCGGTCTTCAAGCAAAATTGCAGCGTCTTGCACGTCAACAGGCTCTGAAGGAGCGAGACGAACGCTTAGCCGAACTCAAAGCTCAGGGGAAAGTCTTTCAAACGGAGGAGGAAATTGAGAGAGAGCAGCTCCAAATGGACAGCATGCTGGAAAAGGCTCGAGAGCATGATGCGAAGCTTGCGAAGAAGGAGAAAGCTGATGCAAAGAAAGACGGCCAGGGTGGTGATATGCTGGACAGCGATGACGAGGACGATGAAGATTGGGAAGGAAGTGGGAAGGAAGAGGTTGGCGACGAAGACATGGAGAAGCAGGTTGAAGAGGATCTTGAATTATCGGGGTCAGAAGATGAAGAGATGGCAATTGAAGATGAGGATGAAGAGGGTGACGAAGACGCAAATGATGAAGAGGCAAGCAAGGACGCTGAGGTTACTGACTTGTTTGACCGGGAAGCCGGTGAGGACAATGAGTCTGAGCACGAGGAACTAGACGCTGATGGCGAGGCGTCGGACGAAGATGCAATCTCTGCGCCTCATCGACAGCGTGCGAAGAAGCGGTCAAGAAAGGTCATTGTCGAAGACGACGAAGAAAGTGATGTTGAATCTCCGCAGAAAGCTATGCCTTCGCAATCTACCTCCGATGATGGCATGGCCGCGTTTGGTTTCGACATGGACAACACCACTTCTCTAGGGCTCACCCAGATGTTTGCCGGAACAATGGCGAATCTCCAATCTCAACCGCAGCCCAACGAATCTCTTGGTCAAGATACCCAAAAAGACTCGCTAGTTTTCTTCCGATCCATTCCTATCACCCAGCCTAATTTCGACGAGGCGATGCCAGATGCTCCTCCCGACCTGCTTGTCCCGAACAGTCAAGCCATCGGAAATTCCCAGACCGATCCAGGCCGGAACCAGCACCAGATCGCTTCTCAAGAACAGCCGTCTGATACCCAGCTTTCCGAGGTTCCCGAACCTACTCAAGACGTAGGCTTCGAGCTGTCTAGGCTACCTGCAGGGCTTGTTCCGCCCGCGTCGACAATAGATACCGTGATCATGCCAGTACCAGAATCACCAATCATCAAGAAGAAAGGAAAACTCCATCAACGGGCAGCTGCAAGGACAGCGCTCTCCGACGTTGACGAAGATCTCGCTATGCCATCTGCTAATTCGGATGGTCTTGACAGGTCTGACGATGCTTTCGAAGTTCTGAAGAAAGCGGCCAAGAAATCTGCTGCCATCCAAGACTTTGATCGGAAGACGAGCGAGGCAAAGAAGATGTTTGAGGAGCAAGCCGAGGAATCAGAGGATGAATACGCTGGACTAGGCGGTCAGAGCGATGACGAGAGTGGTGGGGAGCAGGACGAGGAGGTTGCGAAGATGATTGATGAGGGTGAGGTCAATGTAGATGAGAGGAAGATTGCTGCATTCTTTGCGTCAGTTGCCTAGCCCTACCACCGGTCAGAGCTTTAATGCTAACGAACTATCAGAGAGAAATCACGGGCCGACGATGAAAAGGTCATTGACAAGTTGTACAAAGACGTTCATAACGGAGGTCTGAGGCGCAAACGCGGTAATGACTTCGATCTATCCGATGCAGAGGATGAAGAAGAGGAGCGGCGCAGAAGGAGGCAGCTAGAGTACAAGAGGATGAAACAGGCACTTTATGCTGACGAGAAGGTCGGAGCAATAGGTATGTCGATGATGATGCTATAGTAGGAACATGTCTAACTCATATTGTGCAGCACAAAACCCAAAGAAAGCAGCATTCCTACGCGCTCTCGAGGACTTCGACGACGATGCTGATAATGATTACCTTCTCGATGGTCCTGACTTCGAAATCGAAGTTGATGCATCACAGTCTGCCGAAGCTGTTTCTATTCCAGATTCTCAGCAGGCCGAGGAGGCGAATAATACTGCCGCGCCGACCAACCCACTGAAGCGCAAGCACGCCCCTACTGATTCTCAAGAGAAAGAAAACCGCCCTCCGCCTCACCTGCGCCGCACTGGGGCTGTCGATGATGCCCGCAAGCCTACCTCTCTTGCCGACATCCGCGAATCCGTCTCCTTCCTAATCGACGAACCCCATTCTATCCCCGAATCCCAGTTCTCAGCCTCCGAGAGCGAAGGCGAGGAAGACACAACCCAGGATACCCGCACCTCCCGCCCCATCATCGACCGCCTCACACTTTCCCGTAGCAACTCCGCCGCCGAAGCCACCTCAGGCGCCATGGCCTTCCACGCACCCGCCACCGGCTCCCATCCTGGTTTCCGCGTTCCAAGCCTGATCCGCCGTGCTGCATCCAATCTCTCCGCCAAGAGCTCGACCCTGAGCTCCACCACTAGCTCCGGTGCTTCAACCCCGGTTGAAGCCCCTCAGGGCGTCCGCCGTGGCGGGAGTGGTAAGTCGAATATCCATTACCAAGCAAGGGAAGCGGAGAGGCGTGCCGCGCTGGAGAAGTCAGATAAGCGTAGACGCGAGAGTATCAGGAAGAAGGCGGTGAAGGGGCGGAGAGGGCTTAGTGCACTTGCCGGCCTAGATTCTGGGTTTGAGTAGACTGTGATGGGTTGGGAGATGGCGTTCTTTGATATCCTGGGGGTGTTTTGGGTAGGTGGTATTGGGTGGAGTTTAGGTAGTCTGTCAAGATGAATGGACGAGTATTTCTGATTTACCACTTGCGGTTTTGAGATTGTGATTGTGAGGCCGAAGTGATGGGGCTGAATTGAGGTTGGTGCTTTTGGTAATTGTGTTGGTGTTTTGGTTAAACGGTGCTGGGGTGAATTCATGGCGCAGATACTCTGTCAATATGAATAGATAGGTATTCACGATTTGAACTATTAGTCTCTTGATATCATGGGGTGATTAGGGCAAGATGTGTAGAAGTCCTGCAGCAGTGTGTCGTCGTTGTGAAACGATATGGTCTGAGCTGGGAGCTCTTGCTCTCGATATTGAGCCACGGAGAGATAGCGCTATGCTTCTGGTCGTCTATCAAAAGGACTCGGGTTGCAGCAACCTAGGGTCAGCAACTCATACGGTTCACCTGCGTGCACACCACCCCCCTAGGTATCCCTTACTCTCCCTTTCTCTTCCTTACGGAGTTGTGGTGCTTCCTTGCTGTCAAGGGAAGGGAGTGCCTTTCCTTGGCGCCTTCCTTGCTGCCAACAGAACGACCAAGGGAGCGCCCTAAGGGATAGTTCATATCGTTCCTCTATATAGTCCGCCTTTACGGCATCTACAATACAACAGAGTTCACATCAATTTCAACCTAAATAAAGGCACAGTAGCTCTTCAGCTTTGTAGCGATGTGAGATTGTGGGTTGGGGTGTTGACTAGGTCTGGCTATGTGAGGCTTTGAAGGTGTGAGTTTCAGCTGTTTGGAGGTGGTCGAGTTGAGATGTTTTCGTTCTTTACATCTTGGATGTGTTTGGTTGATGTTGTTAAAGTTGGCCTTGCGGTCGATTTGGTTTGGATCCAGCCACTCTGGTCCTTCACTTCATGCACATGTACTGGGTAAGCAATCTAGAAGTCCTGCGGTGGTGCACTGATACAGTGAAGAGAGCGTTTTGATTAAGGCACTTCGGTTTCTGACATGATAGAGCTCGGGCAGTCTACCAGTACGATCTGACTTAACGGTTTGATCTGGCCATCCTAATTTCTTGCATCTTGAGAGCATTTCAATCGGGTGGCTATAGATCGTCTGGTAGTTGGTCGAAATGATTGGGCGAGCCAGTCTCGGCTGGCCAGCTCGTTTCTTCCCGTCGGCAATCTGATTAGATTAAGCCGCTTGAACGTGTTATTGCTTCATGCTTAACTTACTCGAAACGTTCATTTAGAATACATAATCCACTTAGTGGAGGTTAGACTACAGTGTTATTTGCAGCCTGGTTTTCGAAAACATTTCACTCTAAGCGATATGGATCCTTTCTCAGCTGAAAGATACAGCAGATGAATTATGATGTGAATGAAGAAGCTCTTACTGGCGGGTATCAGCCCGACGGCAATATTTTTTTCGACACCGTTTTCATCACCCCTGATTCAGGAAACTCCCTTTGCATTGTCCGGGACAAAAATGCGGTATATACACAAATTATCCACTACCCTACCTTACGCAAGCGAAAGTGCTCGTTTGGGGGAGGCTTTTTGGAAGATGGAGGTCGAAGGGATCCTGGTTCACTTTCCACGGTCGCTGGTGTGAATAGCTTCGTCATCTATGTACTATTGGACATTTCCCACAAACACAACCATAACTGCGCAATATCTGATTGGGGAATGTAAGCGGTGTGTATGTCTAGGTTGTAGGGTGTACTCACGCTGCGGTAGCCGAGAAGATCTCATAGTTCCGAGACTGAGTGAAGATAGAGAGAACAGAAGAGAAAAGACCTGTGAATATACCAATGATCCAGAGTCTCCCAGACATGTTGCTGACTCTATACAAGACTGCAATGGGTATAGTCAGAATAGCGATTGCCATGAAAGTGGCGAGTAATCGGGCGATGACAAGTGTGTAAGATGTGTTCACCATGATGACGTGTTTGTCATTTGATTTATGAGTATGGGATGCCTGTAACATATTAGCGTCGCTCCATCGCTCACCATAAGAGCCCTAACCTTATAGAAGCCCCACTCAGCAAGTTTAGCAACACATCCACTGATGAAGATATCCAAACCACCATAGTCTGCTCGTTCTCTCGGCGATATGAGGTCGTCCCAAGTGTTTAGAAACTCGGACTCCTCTGCAACTAGTGGCTTGTTTCCCTTCATCCAGTTGACGACGCTCTCAACGTGAGTACGTTTTGACGGAAGCCGCTCGATATGTCGGTAATAAGCCTCCAGACCTTTATCTTTTATCTTTATGTTAATAACAGCACAAGAGGCTTACATTCACGAAAGACGTACCGTATACGTACAATTTATTCCCCATCTCTTCTAGAAGCACCTTACGTGCCGCATTTTTATCTTGACGCCTTGAATTTAGATTGAACGAAAATGTGTCTTGCTGGTCCAGCTCATGAAGCTGTTGCTCTAGTTCTGCAAGCTCGTCCTGCATATCCAAGAGAAAACGGACGTGCAATTGCCCAAATCTCCGAAAGACCACGAAATCTCTATCACTATTGATGAAAGCAGCCAGCCGCGGGTAACCTTGCTGAAAGTCTTCAACTATGGGCTCAGTGAGTATTTGACCGGAAAACATCAACTTGCCTACAAACTTTTCTTATGAGTGTTGGTAAAATTGTTGATGTACTGGTTCTGCTGAATCGGATGTGGGCGTCGATGGACAAATTGGGAAGACTGTGGGGTTTGAGCCATAATGTGGTAACATCGAAGCGTTGAGACGGAAGGCGACGTGATACCTAGGAGCAGAAGATTCAATGTCAGGGGGAGGAAGCAGCTTCAGCGTGTACTGTATTCACCGGATGCTTGGCAATTCGTCAGGTTTTAGAAGGAAAAGGCGCTGCTCCTTGACTGCATAATTGGAGTCCAACTTGGCTGCCTGACGTGCGCTGATCTGGTTGGCTACGCTTCATCCTCACGTGAATATTGACCCCACCTTGCCCACAAACGGCGACAAACAAGCTCTCCTCGCCTTAGACATTAATAGCGTAGGTTTAGCTGTCACCAATCTTATTAGTAAATTGAGCTAACATACAGAAGATCATATCAGTTCATTGCCCATGGCATGTGCGAACTTCAATTTTCGAGGGCATTGCATCGCAAGCAAGAGAAAGAGGGCCGGTAACTCAGGCTTTGCATCGATATATCAACATACCTAGCATCCAAACTTCCCAATCTCCCACCAACAGCGATGACTTTATAGATTTTGCTTACAATCTTGCCAGTTGCTACGCCAACGGCTTTGGTGTTAAGAAGGACTTTAGAGTTATGCTCGACAGACTGAGCAATTCTTCTGACCTAGACTTTATGGAGAAACAGAAAGAACGAATTTCCCTCGCACTTTCAGCAGATGCCAAGACGCTCGATACAAAAGGAGACGACGATGACGGATGGTTTTCACGGTCGATCATTGAGTATCAACAGATGGCGAGGCAACGATACATCAACACGATTCAATATGTCAAGGTTACACAGCACGCCGATCCGTGCTGACCTCAAGACGTACAAGTTCGTTTATGCGCAATGTCTAACGTACATCTCACGCAAGTGCAGGTCGTCTTCGAAAACGAGATCTTCTCGCATCCATGGCTACACTATGCGGCGCTCACGAACGACATATCCCTCGCATGTAATCTAATCAGACGCGGCTACCCTATAGACATATTGGATAGAGAGGAGCGAACAGCCTTGTTCGAGGCATGCTGTCTGGGAAATGCAGAAATGTTTTCATTTCTGTTAGAGAACGGTGCAAAACCATCTCTAACCGAAGATACTGGACTCACTCCGTTACATCTGCTGATCTTCTTTGAGCCTGTAGTCATTCATGATGTTGCCGCTCAGTTAATGGCCAGAGGTGCAAATATTTACGCTCAGACTAGACGGGATCACGTTTGGATACTTCCCTGGCATGGTATATCATTAAAAGGAACTCCACTTCATTTTGCGGTAAGCTGCAGGAACATGGTCGCCATCAAGACCCTTCTTCGCTTCGGAGCAGATCCAAATCAGCGCGCAGGATTCTTAAGCTCTCTCGATCTCGCCGCTTCATTCAACTTCCCAGAGATCTGCGCTCTACTTATCGAGCATGGCGCGACGACAAATACACATTGGTTTGCTGGTAGATCCCCACTCCATTGGATTGGCGACCCAGTGTTTTGCTCTCCACTTGGAAAGGTACGTTATCGCCTACATAACCATGGTGCAATGCGCGTAAAATGGCACCGTCAGAGCTAAAAGCCGCTGTAGCTCATTATACACGGTCCAAAGTATAGAGAGGCCGTCGCCTTATGTGTCGACATTTTGCTTTCTCACGATGCAGTCATCGACGAACCGGACAACGGACACTTGCTCGGGGAGAATTTGTCGTATTCATAATTGTGTGATATTTCCGATCACGCGATGAACAATTCGGAGGACAATAGATGTCGATTCTATGTAGGAATCTGGCTAGGCTATATACACGTAGGGGAGGCCTGTGCGGCCTCCAATTAAACTAGATCTATATCTTTTGCGTATATAAACCTATACATCACGTGTTCTATACATTACGTGCCCGAGTATAACCTAAACGCTAAGAATTCCACAATTGCGTAGAAAGCTTGGCGTTTTTTTCCTAACACTTAAGAGTCAAGTAGGAAGCGAAGGAATGCAGTCAAGTAAAAGCCAAGGCTCAGCGGCTTAAAAGCCAAGGCTCAGCGGCTTAAAAGCCAAGGCTCAGCGGCTTAGAAGCCGCGACGGTATCCAACATATATCAAATGGCTGGCAGGAGACATCAAGAACATAATAAAATCAGCAACTCGTCACCTTAGCAGGAGTTTTGGATATTAAAGAAAATAGTATTGATGTGAAACACATACTAGAGACAGGTAATGCAGAAGCCAAGGAGTATGCAACTATACTCAGGTTGAAATTGATGTGAACTCTGATTTCTATAGACGTCTAGCTAGTT